GAGAGGTTATGGATTTTATTGAAGAAAGAAAAATCAATGAATGAAATTAAAAATGCAAAAAGAAAAAAAATTATATGATCTAAGAGATCACATTTATTTATGCACTACAATATTTTAAAGCCAATTTTTACTGCTTCAATTTTCTTGTAAATAAATGAATATACACGATAAACTTATATTAAAACATTTTGACAGAACTAATAATAATATAAATAACAAATAATAGAATGTTGTAAAGAGTACAATAAAGAAAAACATTTTAAGTATAAAATAATAAGTTTCTTAAGTAGAATAAACATATTTTCAATATCTTATTAACAAAACAACTAGATTATGTGTTATTAAGAATATAAAACAAGTAAAAAATAAGAAATGTTATATTCAAAGCAAATAAAAAATACACTAACATAGCAAATATTAAATGCATTTTTTTATTTACTCTTTCAAATAGTTTCGAATATACTGTACTGTACATCTTGCAAATTTATAATTTTAAATTTATTAAAACTTGAAGATAAATAAATAATTACATATTTAAAAAATATTAGAAAAATATATATCAATAATGCAAAAAAGATTACATCAAGATAAACTTCCAAATCAGTTCAATAAAAAAAATAATTGATGCTTTATGTTAATTAATTCAAATATCAATCAACAGATGGCGGCACTCCAAGTCCCACCATTTTAACCATTTTATTTTTTCTAAAAATTTTACGAATTTCAATTTTTTAGTTAATTACTCTGCATATTTATTTAAAATTAAAAAATAACCACACTTTTTAAATTCTGTCTTTTTATATACTGTATTAACTTATCAATCAATACCAAAGCTCCTTACAATAATATACAGTAAGTTTAATTTAACGATTCTTATCAGAATGGAAAAACTCTTATTGCTAAGCAATAAGAACACTGGTTTCGTGTTTAGATCACGTATTGCAATTAACCTATTTTCACTGCAAAGCCTGTACTCAAAATAAAATCCTGTAATATAAACTATATTTTCTTGGATTAAATAGATTCTCAATGATAATGCGACTATAGTTAATTTGCATTATTTCGAAAGAAGAGACTATCAAAAAAAAGTTTATGGAAATAATTATTCAATTTTATTAATATAAAGGACCTACAATCCACTACAACATAACAAATTACATTTAACAGAGTACATTTTTATTCTAATTGTTCACATTGTTATTTTTCAGTCAAATAACAGAGAAAAGTAAAGAAAATATAAATCTCTTTCCTTATGGAATTATATTGATATATGGAAAAAAAATTAAAGATGCCTTTGATTTTATGATAAAATATCAAATTAATATTTACTTTTTAATGCTTTAATATAGAAAAATTAGAAGCTCTAACAATTATAAAATACTGCATTTAAAAATTTTTCTTTATAAGTCATAAATACAATTGAATTCGCTCTGTGTCAGACAACTAAAATACTAGTAAAACAAGCTAATTTTACTTATTTTATAGTAATAAATCTCAATAAAAAATCTTTTTTTTTATAGAATGATTTAAAATAAATTGTCATTAAAATTTAAAGAAAACATAAATATAATTTTTAATTCTTAAATGGTAATTTACGGATTTCAACTTTCAAATCTTTGAATGAAATCATGTAAAAGTGTTAATTCCAAATCTTAATTTTTTTGTTATTTCAGAATTTTTGTTTTAAAGAATTTAAGTATCTAATGTTACTTAAGAGCACGTTCGAAAAGTCTCTAGGAGTTTAATGAATGTAACTCATTCACCGACATTATCACCAGAATATTTGCTATAAATGTCGAATAACTCATCTCGTTAACTTTTCGTTTAACTTGTAAATACCTTTTGAACATGCTCTTTATGTCCTGACCTTGGATAATATCAACTAAAACCCTGAGCCAGGGGTTAGTCTAATATGTGGAATCTTCGGGGGAAACTCGAAGAATTGCAGTTTGATGTTGATCTCTTGATTGAAGTAGATTTTTGGCTTATAAAATTTTAGAATATTTTTGAGTGAAAGATCACAATAATTTGTTAATTTCTTCTCAGTTTTTATTGATAGATTCGCTGTTAATAATTACAGAATTAAACTATATCATTAAAAATAAAGCTATATCTGAATTATATCAATGGAAGTAATTCAGAATGAAAATATAGCTTATTAATTTATATGTTACAAGAAAATGTACACTACGTAAACAAATAAAATATATAATTGATGTAAACGTAATTAAACAATCATTTTTTCTCTCAAATACTGTATTAACAAAGAAAACAGGATAGTAATTGAGATAATTTCAATTTTAATTATTGTATATGAAAAATTTGAACGTATCACTATATAATTTATGACTATAAGTTTTACAGCTTATGGAAATAATTCAAAATAAATGCTTTCATTTATCATGATATTGCTTTACCTTAATACGATTAATGAAATTTTAAATTCGATTCTTCAGAACGAATAGTTCTATCATCGATTAATTATGAAATTCCTCATGATAATGTAGGCTAAGTTTAATTTTCCAATTCTTATCAGAATGGCAAAAGTTCCATTACATTGAGATACAGTAAAAATTCTTTAGAATTAAGATTTACGATAGTCTATTAAAAATCTTTACTTTAATAGGCTAATAATTTTAAAAGTGAATTATATTATATTGTCAAAATGTTGTAGACCTAATTAAAACTTACAAATAGGCCTATTTTATAGGCCTATATACAAAAACACGCACATACACACGCAAATATATAGACCTACATATATTGTACAGTACATATATAATAAATAAACAATCCAGCACTATCACATTAAATTCTTAAACATCACTTTCTGACCATCAAATGGTTAATATGATTGCTAACAAACAAACATATGGTACAATAATTGGAAATTCTTTCTAACCTGACATTTATGAATACATAATACATTCATTCATTCATTCATTCATTCATTATTGTACAGTACATATATAATATATATATATATACAGACCGACTCCGCTTTGGTGCGTATAATATAATATTAGGCTATAATTGTTTACACAAAATCTCTTCTACATTTATGTTTTATTGCATTTTTCTATGAACAAAGCAGGACATAATCAAATACCACCTTAACCATGCCCCTATCGCACAATGACAGGTTCAGGTGGAAGACCGATGATTCAACAAAAGTCTTTCTTCTGCTCGCTGCTTTTAAAAATATTTTTTAAAGTTCAGATAAATATCTGTCAACTAGCGGAAAAGAGCTCCTAATCAATTCTGCTACTTGATGAACTACATGAGTAGCACAAGTTACATGGATCATTTCTGGGAACCGCTTTTTTTAAACCTTGGCATGATTTGATCATGTATGGACTGCATCGATTAGAACGAGTAACAAATTTTTACACAGAAATTCCAGCTCATTTCTCAGAGTAGTTGTAGAAAATTGTCTACCGCTTGAGATACCCGTAACATTATTGCATCACTCCAGAAAAGAAATATCAAATAAAATAGAAGGCTTTTCAAGCTATTTGTTCAACTTGCAAATTAAAATTGCTAAGATAAATCTACCATTATTTAATGCAGTAATTTAAAACAATATTATCTTTAAAGGAATATGTCANTTTTTTGTAAATTCTATTATAAATGATTTTTAAGACCTTGAGCACCTGACTCATAAGCCTGATTGTTCTGTATTTATCACATGACTTGGCATCAAACCAACTTTTATCAGTTTTTAGCCTCTCCCTCAGGATTTAATGATGATAATATATGGATTGTCCCTTGGCAATTAGAAACGGTGCTTTAAAACTTAAAATATTGTATAAAAATAATTTAAAAAAAGTTTTTCCATTCACAAAAGCTTTAAGTAACATTAGAAACGCGTTGTAAAACTCTCGCCATTTATTAAATATCACATCCAATAAAATATTTACAGATAATTATATATAATTGAACGAGTATATTGTATTTTAATACGTTATCTTTCTTGAATGAAACGAAGTTCCAGTCGGATTCTTGAGATAGGCGCCGCTGCGTGGGATTGTGGGATAGCGTGTTTACCTCCGTCCTCTTACAATAATCTTTATTCGGTACATGTGATCAAAAGTTCGATAGTAGTAATTACTTTTGTGTCTAAGAAACATACAGACAGATTATGGATGTCGTTTTCGTCGGTAAGACTTTATTTTTGTCATTTTAACGAATCGTATAAGTAATATCTTCGGGAGAAAGTTTTATCGGGATATCGTCGATGATTGGGTGTTGCCACCACTTAAATTGCATCTCGTTGGTCTGTCGAGTCAATCGATCGCTGTTTAGAAAGCGCTCTTAACCGTAAATTCTTTCGCTCGAAAGTTTAATTTTTAAAAAAAAATATATACATGTTAAAGTAGACTTTATATAAAAATCTTTTTATATAAATTAGTTTTCCGTTAATGTAAATAAAGGATTTTATTACATGCCGTGCTGTTATGATATCTTTATTTCCTCTGAGATTATTTTAAATGATAATTAATATTACAGAAAAAAAAAGAGGAAATAGTACGGCGTTTTTATCATTTGCGAGACTTGTAATTTCATGTTTGCTAAATCATTTAAAGAAACACGTGTCTAGTGTAAGAAAGTATAACCGCAATAAAATATAATACAAATAAAGAATGTGTTCGAGATATTCGGGCTCTTGCTTGTTGCCTGACAACAGTTTAACATTTTGTCAATAAAGATCAGTTTCATTTATAACAATTAGATACTTTGATCTAAAAATGTAATAGATTATTTATATTACATGTTAGTTTCATAGCAACATGTAATAATTGTTTTGATTTGATTTTCTTTTAATTTAAATATGCTAAAAATTTGTTAATTGATGAAATTTACATGCTTATTTTTCTAACTTAATGATTACTTAAATTTCATGGATAAATTTTATAATACACTAAAGTTTAGGATATATTATTCTAACTTGTATAAATAAATGAATAAATAAATTAAATTATATATATTTTTTTATGTAGATGAAAGGGAAGATGTACAAAAGAAAACTTTTACAAAATGGATTAATTCTCAACTTGTTAAGGTAAAAATTTTTTATAATTGTTATGTGAGAAATTTTTGTTGATTATATTGAGATGAATCTTATAAAACAGAAAGTATTATAACTGCTGAATAATGATTTTTTTTACATTTACTGTCAGTAATTTATTGAGTTATTGTCATGAATTGGTTTGCTTAAAGCATTTTGTTCCATGATTATTTTATTTCCATAGCAAAGAATTCTCTACATATTGGGTTTTTAAGGTCAGAGTTTATTTTGCTTGTATACCATCAATTGATTTTAATTATTAATATAAAAGTTGTAATTAAATTTTATATGTAAACTGCTGTTGTAACTATGTTTGAAATTTTTATATTTTTGGGTGTTGTTTTTTTTATACATATACACATTATGATTTGTCTTATAAAAATAAAAGTTTAACAGATGCAAATTAAAAAAATTAGCTTTTATATTGGTATTTTACAAATATAAAATAATCTGTCATATCCTTCATCATATTCTACCCTATAGTGTTAGTTTGGAATCTATATATTACATCAGCAAAAATATGTCAGCTTTTACCCCTTTGTCATCATTGTAAAAGACCTATAATATTACATCATTATAATCATCAAAATCATCTTTATTTATAAAATAGATACAAGTAATTTGAAGTATGATCAATTTCATATTGTTTTATTTTTTACACCATTTACAGTATATATATAAGACATAAAATTCTAGTGGTCTCAATCCATATTTTAGCTATCCAGTCATTTCAACTGTTTATGTCAATAATTGGCAATCTGTCAAAATGCTCAGTAGGTATTACAAGCAAATAATGCTTGTATATACCAAATATCATAGTTTTTCATCAATTTAAATATAAATAAGTTATACTGCAGACTAATAGTTAACTTTTCTAATGTTTATTTCTATATCATCTTTGTATAACAACTCAGTGAGTTTTTTTATTTTTAACTCTTTCTGTTCTTATGGCACTAAGAGGAGTTTTTTTCCATATCCATTGAGTTTAACCTGATCCATAATGGGAATGGCCAGGTGTTGAAGGACAGGGCTCCATCATTTGGCTGGTATAAATCATCCATGAAATATTAGATATTTCAGTATTGTCATTGATTCTTGTTGTCTTATGACAGCACTATGTACTAGCCATTAGAGTATGCTGGTTGGCTTTGCTGCAACTGATTGGATATTATTGATTTTGGAAGGCTTGGTCAGACTTCTTGCTAAAGCAGAATAAATATCACACTTCCTGAAACAAAATGCTCACATTGATGCCTGTGATTACAAATGTATTTTTAAATATATTTTTTTATGTAATAAAAATTTATTTTATTAATTAATAGTATCTTCAGGTTTTCTTTTTTATAAGTGTCAACTGATAGATGTTAGTATGTATCATAAGGGAATTATTAGTCCTGTTGGCATGCTTGCCTTTTCATACTATGATAAAAACACATTAAAGTGATTCAAAAAAGATGCCAATTCTTCCAGTTGTGTTATTCTGGCTCTACAAAAGACTTGACAGAGTGAGTTTTGTACAGAGAAGCTTCTACATGCTTCAAATGAACTGGCACAATAGTCACATGGTACTTCCCTTCAGCTGTGAGGGAAGAAATGACATCAAGTGGAAATGTACTGTGCTCCTTTTAATGTCAAACCCAAGATTTGCAGTTCTTTTTCTTTTATATTATCAAATGTACGATAACTACAAAAATAAAGATGTCAAGTAATGATTACATCATCTTGATGCAACACCCTTTCCTGTCACCAACTTTTATCAGTTTTTAGCCTCTCCCTCAGGATTTAATGATGATAATATATGGATTGTCCCTTGGATGATTACATAAGATTTAAAAGCTCTATTTATTTACAAATGTTATGTAAGCAAAAATGAATCAAAAGATATAAAAATCAGTTTTCTAAAAGGAATGGCATGGTACGAGGTAGGTGCCAAAAGTTTTTGGTCTAACTATATTTTAAACATGATAGTAATAAAACAATGATAGTATCAGATAGCACCATCTGTATGTGGACTAATAAAACAGTTTTTCCTGCAAATTTGCATAAGTCGCTTGGAAGCATTCATTTTAGTTAGACTTATTGTATTAATTTGCATCATGTTCATATCTTTCAGGACAATGTGCAAGTTCACATGGCTGCCATTGCTAAGGCTGCTGTAAAGGAGTGTGGGTTTGAGGAGGTTGACCATCCACCCTATAGCCTGGACCTGGCTTATAGTGATTATTATCTGTTTCCAAAACTCAAAAAAGTGAAGAAGAGTTACAGGAGGCAGTTTATGAGCATTTTGTAGACAAATCTTCAGACTATTTTTTCAAGGGTTATTGAAATGCTAATTCGAAGATGTAATAAGTGTGTTGAACTACAAGGAGACTATATTAAAAAATGACATCATTGTTTTATATCTATAACATCTAAAACAGTTAGGCCTGAAACTTTTAGCACCTACCACATAGGTATGAATAAGTCCTTTGAAAAATTTATTTGAAATTTGTTTTTGGCTATCCTATTGGAAATTTCCCAGATTCATTCTTGTGTATATAAGTTTATGTAGCATACATTGCATTAAATTATTTTAATACTAGTTATAATCCATCAAAAAGTTAGGAAAAGAAATAAAACTTATCAATTTTAAGTGAGGCCAAAATATTGGAGTCCTTCTCACTGCTTAATAGTGGGCCTTATTTGTAAAAGAATAATAGATGATATTTTCTCTAAAAATTTTATACTTGTTTAAGCTGATAAAAAGAAACTTTTTTCTTTTTAACTAAAATCAGCTTATTCCTTTAATGTATTAGTTTTGAATAAAATAAATGTTTAAATAAATGAGCCTTATTTAAATTTTTTAGTTATCAAATAGCAAAACTTTTTTAAAATAAGAAAAAACTAAACTCTTTTTAGAATCCCTGGAATCTAGGGTTCTTCTCATTTGCAAACAGAATAAACCAATAAATTTGTCATTGACAATAGCACTGGAAATAATTTATTTTCTTGAATGTAAGTGAATTGAAACTCAAAAATTATAAATTTAAGAGTTAATTAGTTAATTAACAGTTAATTAATTAACTATTAAAATTTACTGTATTGTTTTAAGAAAAAATTTCAATTTGAATATAATTGCTGTATAAACACACATTTCATTAGTAAAAAGAAACTTGCATAGAGTGTATGTATTGTACATATTATGATAATAATAAACCAAATACTGTATTTATTTAAAAATGTTTTCATGCTTTAAATATACTGAAAGAATATAAAAATTTGAAATTTCACTTGCACTTTATTATATACAGGAATCCCCTATTAATGTGAATCAGAAGGACAAGAAAAGCTGAGTTCACACTAATGAGGTTCTTATTAAAGAAGTATCATGTTTAAAACTCCCTTTTCTATTGTAGATCTGAAACATAAAATCTAAAACATGAAATATACTCATATTATAGTATTCAAAATATTAAAAATTATGAGCATTTTTGCTTATTGGCTTTTTTGTTTAATATCTGATGAGTAAGAATAAGTTAATCTTATTACAGTCCAAGTCAACAATCAAAACTGCCTTACAGTATTCTGATTCTGTTAACTACGCCTATAGTTTTCTAAATAAATTATCAATGGTAGCCTGTTTCTTCCTACATTTATAGCTATTACTTACTTAATACTTAATAATTGTAATTGTTTTCATCAGAAAAAATGATATTGAGTGTTGCAACTACTCTCATGGCTTGGGAACATGAAGGGACAGCCACTTTTCTTCTTTTTCTTCTCCTTCATTGGAATTTCTGACTGAAGTTCATCACAGGTCCTTGTGGCCCCTTCCTCTACAGCAGCATCATCACTTCTTTTTTATCACTAATCGTTACAAGATACTATAGAGAACACTTCACACTGGGTGTTAAATAATTCTCACCAAAAACCTAAAGTCTGGTGTCAGAAAAAATCCCCTTCACTAACATTTTCAGGCTCTTCTGGAGTCCTGCTTCAAGTGAACATTGCCTTTTCTTTGATGGAACACCAATTTAAAATCAATTTTAAATTGGTGTTCTGTCAAGAACTCCATACAATAGCACCGGAAATACACAGCATCTGATTATTCTAGTTATTGTATAAAGGGTTAAGTCTCTAGAACAGCAATTTTCTTATTTTCTATTCAAGCTCTGATCTCTGTACCATGATCCCAATTATCATTCAAGACAGTTCCCAAGTAATTAAATTTTTCTACTCTTTCAATTTCTTTTGATCCAATCATCAACTTGTCCTGAGTTGATGTCTGACTTATGACCATATATTTGGTCTTTTAGATGTTGAGATCTATACCACATTTTTCAGTTGAGGTTCTGACTTGATCTAACATCATCTGAAGGTCTTTAAATTTGTGAAGAGTAGTGCTATGTCATTGGCTTAATAAATGTTGTTCAAATATTCTCCATTTGATTTGATGCCTATGTCTAGATCAACCAGTGCTTCTGAAAAATATTTTCAGAGTAAATGTTGAAGAGTGGGGGGGGGAATATACACAGCCTTGTTGTACGTACACCTCTGTGGATCTGAATTTGCTCTGTCAGTTGACCTTCCACCCTGATCTGTATGGTTTGATTCCAGTAAAGGTTGCTGATGATTCTGATGTCTTTGTTGTCAATGCCAATTCTTTGCAGTGCCTGCATTATCTTTTCATGTTGACTTCTGTTGAAAGCCTTTTTATAATCTAAAAAGCATATATGTATGTCACATCCTATATCTTGGAATTCCAGAAGCCAAATTGTGTTCCTCCAGTGTTCTCTTCACATTTTTTGTAAATTCTATTATAAATGATTTTTAAGACCTTGAGCACCTGACTCATAAGCCTGATTGTTCTGTATTTATCACATGACTTGGCATCAACATTTTTTGCTATTGTGACAAAAGTTGATTGCAGCCAATCATTTGGAATGGTGTCAGTGTCATAGATGCCATTGAAGAGTTCTGTTAGTTTATTAATGTTTACTTCTGATAGGAGTTTCAACATCTCTACAGGGATATTATCTGGACCATTTGCTTTCCTGTTTTTCAATGTTCTAAAGGCTCTTATAACCTCACTCTCCAGTATTGATGGTTTGATATTACTGTTTATGATAGGTCGTTCTCTTCTATTGTCATTGAATAATTTTTCTATATATTCTTTCCATATTTACTTGTCTTTTATATCTACTTCCAGATACCTGCCCTTGTATTTTAGCAATGTACATATTTTCTGCCTGCACTTCCTAGTAGTTTCTCTGATCGTCATGTGCACATGAAGATCAGAGAAATTTTCTAATTCCTCTTGTACTGTCTGTCTTATTGTTGCTCTTTATATTTCATCTTTCAACAGGATGGTAATATCATGGCCAGTTTTATTTGATTTGGGGATGGACTTATGCAGTTTCAGATGCAGATGGCAAACCAATGGGTTATGGTCTGATGATACATCTGTACCAGGATAGGTCTCAGTCGCAGTGATGCTGTTATGAAATATTTTATTTATTATCAGAGTAAAGTCTGTTTGATTTATAACAATGTTAAAAAATACATATGTAAAACATTAAATTATTTTTTCTTGTAATTATTTCTTGTAATTATTTATCTGTAAAAGATATTAATTTACATGTGGAAATGTTAACTAAAAAATATATAAATAATTAACAATATTGAACAGAAGGTTTTAAATCACATAAAAAATAAACAGTTTAAATTCAGAATTATAGAGAGGAAAATTAATTACATATAAAAGAAAATCACTCTTGAGAACTTAAAATGATGATGTCCCTGTATTCATTTGTATCAACTGATAGAATCTATAAAATTCAAATTTTATAGGTTAATTTGTTGGATTTCTTTCTTTCTGTTTATTAAATTTACTTTAAATATTTTAAATATATATACTATCTTAAAAATGAATAAAGTGCTAGATAATTAATGAGTTTTTATTTTTAAATTAATTTTTGATTATACAACAATCACTGGTAGTTAAAAACATTTTTAGAAGAGATTTATTTTGAACTTGATTATTCTTGGTAACTTAATTTCTGAGTATTAGTATATTTAGTATATTATATTAGTTGAAGCTTTGTTTGAATTAGCTAAAATTAAGATATTATATTAGTACATCTGACTCAGATAATATTTATTATATAGTATAAAAAAACTGTAAATTATGTTGCCAAATTATATGGGAAAAACAATGTCTGATGACAAATTCTATTAATCAGATTTGAAATTAAATTTTTATGAACAAACAGTCCATTTTATTGGAATTTGTATTAATACTTTGCTATAATTATAAAAGATAAATTATTATATTTAATTAAATAAATTTTTGAAATAAAATATTCAAATATATGTTTTTGTAGAGCGTCTTTAAAAGATTAAATTTTTAAAATTACAGTAAAACTTCTATTATCCGGACTAATTGGGGATGAAGGTAGTCCGGATAAGGAAAAATTTGGATAATCGAAACAAATACTTTAATTTGTCTATTAATGATAATACAACACGTTTTCTTTTCGATGACATATCGGTAATATTAACAATAAATACTTTATTTAAATCGTGATCAAATTTTCAAGAAACAAACGTTCGTATTGAATTTGGTCTATTACTGACCAGCGCTAACAGACTAGCTATTGTTTAAAAGGCCTTCTGGTGGCTCAAGAAGACGGATTTTATAAAATAAAAAGCAGTTGAAACTGCATTTTTATGAATAAAAATTTGACAAACTATTTATCGTTTTATGACGAGTAAAATGTTTTCGTCGCGTTCTCGGCTTTTAAGTAATGCATAAACCTTCGAGGTGCGAGGCCCTTCGGACCGCGAGGCATAGGCGGTGGCTCACGTTGCCCATGCCTTACGCCGCCCTTGGTCATAGAAATGATGTGATTTGAATATAAATTATTTATAAATACGTATGTCAAGTTATATTTTTATTACAACCCAAAATATATTTAAGAGTTTACGACCANTTTTTGAACTTTTTAAGGAAATAGTAATCATAATTTAAGTCTTCTATTTAAGGTCATCTGAAGAGACAGCTAACAACTGAAATTCAGTAAAATTTATAGCAATAGGAATATTTTTGAAACATGATAATCTCTATCTACAATTCACTCTCTACGGGATGACACCACAATGAGATCTTGCACTACCTCAAATCTTCCTAGAGCAGCCTCTGGTTCAGCCCATGGAAAAAGTCTTCTTTCCAATCTGGCCTGGGGGCAAAAACTGTTTGCCACCCCTGCTCTAACCAGATGATTTATTTATATTTGATTTAACAATTTATGATTTTTGTAACATATTCAATTCTTTATCTTTTTCTAATGTTGAATATCTTGAGCTTGTAATCTGATGACTCATTAAATAAGTTGACTGATTTGTTTAAATATGATTATTCACTGTTAAGGTGTCTAGTTTACATTTGTTCAACCTTACAAAAATACAAAAACAAATATAATTGAATCTCATATAAAAAATTGAATTTGTTATATGTGATATCACATAAGTTGTCTACAGTTATAAGTTATAACTGTAAATAATGTATAATTTAGATCACATATAACATATTCAATTTTACAAAAATACAAAACTGGTAATTAGGCATATTTGATTATCTGACACCACTCTGATTCCATAGATGTCAGATTAATGAACTGTGTATTTATTTATATTAACTTCATATTATTAAAAGATATTATTTAATCACACAAAGCTTTTATTTATTTAGACTAACCAACCATTAATCAAAGATTTATTTGAAGATTTAAGAGATGGAACTTGTTTATTATCATTGTTAGAAATATTATGTCAAAAAGAACTGGTATGTTTTGTTTTTAAATACGTAGATTAAAATAAATTCATTTTTTAAATTATAATAATGTGGGTTATTTATCTTTAATAGTATGTTTGCAGCTGTTAATAATTTTAACTGATAAGTTGTTTTGTAAAGTTGTTAGAAAACATAATAAATAATAAAACCATTAGCATTTATTAATAATATATTTTATTTTCTAATAATTATATATTCTAATTTAANGGAATTTTGCCTCCATATTAATACGCTTAATTATCATAAACTTGTACAAATTCATTTGATATCGAAAATATTTTTGATTGGCGCAGTATGCGGGTGTGAAGTAGACTGCCTACTCGTCTGGGACGCTAGCAGTTTTTTCGATTTAGCCTACTATATGATTCAAGCTAAATATCGTTGAAAATTATTTTACTAAATTACTGATTTTAAATAATTGCAGAACAAAATGTCTACAAGAATGTGTATACCGAAATATTGATAATTTATCACAAAATCAATATATTACTGGATATAAAGGCGAAAAGTCAAACTAAGAATAGAAACACATTTCACTTTCTGTCTTTCGAATTTCCGAAATTTATTAATTAAAATTATTCTAAACATATTAGGAACAAGCAATATTTTATTTCCAAATTCGTCTTCGTTCAGCATGTTCTGTCTAAGAAGATTACGGTATTTTCGCCGGAAGGAATGAGAACGTGCAAAGTTGATTAACTACGTTATTCGGTTCTGACGGTTCTTGCGAAATTCAGATTTATAGTGAATAGAATCGAGCATCATTATAAATTTTAAATTTATTTTTAGCCAAGGGAGAAAGGGCGCTTAAAATTGCATCATCTTAATAATGTTGGACGTGCCTTAAAAGTACTTGAAGAAAACAATGTAAGAATTTTTTTTATTTGAATTACACATAAATAGATAATGTATTATAAATACATTCAATTCTGTTATGATAAATACCCATGATAGATATGTTCCTGAAATATTCATGTAAAAAAATTCTGTAAAAATCTTTTAGCAGGATTTTCAGATACTGTTTATATGAAAAAATGGAAGATTTGTTCCAGACCTTAAAAACCAGTAAAAATAAGGATAAGCCAATTAATATAATAGGAAGTGTTTAAACAAACTATTTCAATTTTATTTAATAAATCAGGAGGGACAATAGTAACTTTCTTATCAGCAGAATTTAATAAATTCATATTATTCACTCAAATTTTATTTTTATTTGGCTTTTTCAATTAAACAGCAAAGTATTTCTAGCTTTTAACACCAAATGGCATACAAAAACTATTTTCCATTGAAAGAAATCAGAAGTAATATGATCATACAAAAAAATTATCAAACTTCAAACTAAACTTTTTCTAACTGCTTTAAATATGGAATAAAGTTGGAATGAAAGACTGACTGTTGCTTCACATGTTCAAATAAGTTTTAAAAACAGCCAAATCTTAAAATTTACTTGAGCATGTGTAGCAATCATATGCAAATTCTGATAGCTAGATGGCTGAGATGGTTAAGGCATCAACTCTAGGACCCAAAATTGAATCCAGGCAAACTCCAGGAATTTTTCATGAGTGTATATGTTAGGTCATGTCTTTCACTATCTGGTTGCTCTCATTATGGACCTTGCTGATCCTGCAATGAAAAAGGCCCTCTTGTTAGGTGTATTAAATACTCGGTTCAGATGTCACGCCAACAGTTAACTTAATCAAAAACTTCGTTAAGAAACTTCAGACTATGAGGCATTAAATAAAATTAGAAGAAATATTTTAATCTTGCAAGCACTTTCAACGTAAATATGACGTACATATTTACGTTGAAAGAGCTTTCAAGATTAAAATATTTCTTCTAATTTTATTTAACGCCTCATAGTCTGAAGTTTCTTAATGAAGTTTTTGATTAAGTTAACTGTTGGCGTGACATCTGAACCGAGTATTTAATANTATGCTTATTTTATAAATTATTTTCATTTTATATTTTAGGTAAAACTTGTCAACATAAGTACCAATGATATTGTTGATGGAAATCCAAAGCTCACATTAGGTTTAGTTTGGAGTATCATTTTACATTGGCAGGTAAAAATTTGACAAATGAATAACAATTATTTTTAAGTTATTAAATTGTAATTTTGGGATAGAATTATGAATTGATTAGTAAACAAAAGTTATAAGCAGCTAATATGAATAAAGTCTTAAAATAGTGTTAAGAAAAAAGCTCTTTCATTGTTGTTACTAAGCTTTTTCAAGCATAACAAGTTCTCAAATTTAAACTTATTTGAAAGTCGGCATTGAGTGAAAGTGAATTGATTAATTATTCTAATTTTAATTAAGTTTTCTACCATATGAAATGCTTCTGTAATTTAGCAAAAGTTATTTTAGAAGAAGGGTGAAGGGAAAAAAAGGAGTTAAACTGGAAATTCAGATTCCAGCATGTATATTTCTTTTAAGAAATGTCATTTGTACATTTTTGATTGTATAAGCTAATGCATACTTTTGGGAGAGAAATTAAATTCAACTTATGTCCCAAAAATCATGGTTTTAAAACTTTTTAAAAAAAATATACAAGTTAAAATTTCGATTTAAAAAATTCATGAATATACTGAATTATTGTCTAATAAAATATTTATTACATATAAGTCTATATATATACAATAAAACCTGCAAAAACGGGAACTTGATAGGACTATCTTGTTGTTTCATGTCTTACAAGTTTCTGCCATTGATTAGCTCTTACCATTTTTCTATTGTTCTTTATTTCCTATACAGATACCTTGGAAAGTGTTTCTTTTCCTTTTTAAGATTGGGTGAAAAATTAAGTTTTTTACAATATACATGGTAGAGCATTGATTATTTGAATACCAATCAACTGAAACAACGATTAACCAAAAGTGTTCCAGTCGGCAAATTCAAATTTTTGCTAGTGCTGTGGCAATGCAGCACACTCCCCCTCCCTGCCAACCTAAACTGTAGGCCTACTTTAATGTACTACTTTATGTAAGATATGTATTTGTAAGACATGATATGCAATGTGAAGCAAAGACGTTTAACGAATCAAGAAACTAACCCGGCAGAAATTGAAAAAATAAAATTTGAACAAAATTTTTTAAATGGGCTAATTGAAATAGAAAAGTATGACCGTTTATCAAAATTGAACGTAGAAGAAGCTATTTCAATTTATCCAGAAATTATTCGCGATGCAGCTAGATCTGTCACAGCAATGCCCCCAACACAAGTCAGTGTGGAAAGATTATTTTCAGCTTTGAAAATAATTAAAGCTGATTTAAGGGCATCTATGAAAGAAGATTTAATTGAAGCTATTTTGTTTCTTAGAACCATTTTATAAAATTCAAAATTATAAATGTAATTTAGTTTTTTTTATTTAAGTGAAAATATAAAATAAATTTTCTTATTAATTTTTAAAAATGTTTTGTATTTTGTTATAATTCATTTATTTTAAATACAAAATGCAGCAATTTAATTTATTAAATATGTAGTTTTCATTGTAGTATTTGTGTTTAGTATCAATAGTTAAATTATTTTTACCCAATTAAACTTGAATATTTTTAAATCGTTCTTTTATTATTTCTGCTCTAAATAAATATTCTATTTTTCTGAATGAGCCAGACTAAGTGATCAAAGTATATATTTTTCTTTTCTGAACAAGGGGCTGAAATAACTAGATCGCACACTTTTTATTTGGACTAACTTTTCTGCAAGGGTAAAATTGAAGTGCATATGCTGTAGAATAAAAATATGTAAATGTAGAATTTTATTGCTCCCTTTCTCCTCTTATTAAATATTTTTTAAAAATAAATTTTTTTATACAAATAAATATTAATGTAAGCTAAATATTAAAAATACTAACTATAAAAGTATTTGGGTAAATGCCCGGGGCTCCTTTCACAGTTCAGAGTAGGGTACCTCCCTATGAGCATTTCTGCTCCCATATAATGACTTTGTATTTAATTTTGCCGGAGTCGGGAGTCTGAGTCGGCCTACTAAAATTATCTGGAGTCAGAGTCAGAGTCGGGTGTTTTTTACCAACTCCGCAGCCCTGATGAAAACAGTGACAAAGAATCAAATGACAATGAATCTGAGTCATCTAATGACTGTAACTGAACAATTAAAGATGTAAAATTTATTCCTTATGCTTGATTAACAAATTTTCATTCTTGATTTCCTGGGGTTGGCTTACAATTGGTGTCTGCTTATAATTGAATAAATGTGGTATTTTTATCTTTTAAAATTAATGAAATTAACAATTAATATTAAATTACAATTAAATGAACAACCAATAAAGATATTAATTTATATATATTGACTTTTTTTTAATTTTTAATATAAATGAAATTAAATAATCTGCTTTAGAATTTACTATTTTTTGTCATTTAATTGTTTTTAAAAATAATAATCAATCCAGTAATCTAAATAAATTCATTTGTAAATTTAAAATTTTTTACATTTTTTATATTTAATTTTTTTACATAGTTAAATGTTTAATAATTTATGATAGGTTCATGGAATATTAAGAAGTGTAGCTCATGAAAGCCAACAAACTAATCTTGAAAAAACTCTTTTAGCGTGGTGCAGAGATGCAACTAAAGGGTAACTGTATTGTTTAATTTCAATATAATAATTAATTATTATTACATTAAAATTATTAATGTTTTTGTTATATTTTAAATATGTAAATTTTTAAATTAATATAATGGAATTTGGACAGTTTAAAATTGATGTATATAATACAGTAGAACTTGAATAAGTCAAACATTTTTAATTTGAATTTGGGATGATTCCAATATTTTCTCTAAATCCTTGAATTTCCTATAAAAGTAATGGAAAAAATTTCTCTTTAATTCAATTTTTTTTTTATTAATCCAAAGTAAAATTATGAGAAGCTTTAAAAAAAAATCACTTGCAATATTGAGATAAAATGTGTGTTTAGGCACTAATGCTAGTAACATTGATTAGAAAATTCTAGAGTACAATATCCAGTGTGTTTCTTACTCTCAACTTAATTAAAAATTTGCTTTTTAGCTTTAAGGAGAGAGTGATTTGAAAATAAGGGCAAAGTAAAGAACATGGGAAAACATCTGAAGTTTTTGATCACTTAATTAGTTTGTATTCTGAAGTAGATAATCATTAAGTAAGCTACATTAGTCTTAATATTAATGTTTTTATCAGCATATAAAGCTATTCCCATGTTCAAATACAGTGGATCCCAAAAGTATAGATAATCAACATTTTATTACTTTTCAGAATTGTTAGGAATTTAAGAGAACTGTAAATGATTTCAATTATAAATGCAAATTACTTTATACTGATTTTTGATAATTTTAAAATTAAAGATCATTATATTAATAATTTAACAACAAAAATATATTTTTAGCTGTCCCAAAAAGTATAGGTAATCAAACAGAATTATAAAATTTCATGCATAAGAAACTTAAAATTACAAAAGTAATAATAAATAATGTCAAGTAACACTTTAACTTTGTCAAGTAATAATTTGAATATTGAATTAAAACTTTCCAAAATGCTACATGGAAGAGAGTTTAGTGTGGAAGAAATTGCATGAATATGAAAATTAAAAGCATAAGGCTGTTGTGTTAAGGAAATTTCTGTTTTAATGAACAGATCTACTCCTGGAATTTATAAAATTTTGGAAAATCATCACCAAAACCTTCTAAACGTTGATCATGAACAGTGTTTCTTAACGGGGGCTGTGGCCCCCTGGGGGGATCCATAAGAAGTTTGCTGGGGCTGCCAAATTATGCAAAATTTCCTTGAGAATATAATAAAAAGAAAATTGATGTATAACTGAATATCATATTGAAAAGTGAAATAAGAAAAATAAAGTTTTCATATTTAGTTTTTTTTATTTATTTCTTATTTCTTCCTACATACAACTTTGCCAGTACAGAAGAAATAAATGCAAATATGATACTTACATTGCAGTATTTACTTCTTTTATTCCAAAGTATTTCTAAGAAACTATTAATGCTTGGAATTTTAAAAATAAAGCAATAATAAAAAAAATCAATTTATTACAGATAATTTAACAAATATAAATTATTATTTAAAAAAATGGTGGTCACAAAAAAATTATGAAATATTTGGTGGGCTGCGAGTATAAAAAAAATCACATCTCAAAGGGATGATAATTGAATTGTGCATCTTGCATCATAACAGGATAAATCAGTTTATCAAATTTTGTTTGGAAGTGAATTAAAAATATCAAAAGCACTGTTTATCAAAGATTTTCTGTAGTTCCACATATGAAATTCGCTGCATGATGAAAAAACAACCACTAACAAAACAGCACAAATTGGCAATAATGCAATGGGCTAAAGATCACATGTTGTGGAATGACCAATGGCTCTGAAAAGAAATTTAATTTGGATAGCCTAATTACTGGCATGAAATTAGGAAAGAAGAGTGCAGTTATTCAGCGGGTAAAAGGGCGATGGCTCTGTTATTTCTGTTATGGTGTGGTGCTGATTTGGATTTAATGGTTTATCAAATTTAGTGATTTTAAAAGTGATTCTAGACATCTAAAAGTTATCAAGAAATTCTAAAAATTAATTTAATTTGGAGAATAAATTGGAGGACCTGATTGAATTTGATTTTCTAACAGGACAATGAATACTAGCATTGTCCTCTCTACATATGCAACAGATCTGGACATTGTAGCAGACTTTAACTGGGCCAAATCTTATCCTTGCTAGGCCCTCTGCAGAACACCTCAGATGGTTCCAGGCTGTGCACATTTTTAAATCCAGTTTTACATCTATGTGCATAAATTATAATGAGGAAATGGTTTTGTCAATGGCCTGTCAAGAGTTGATTAACAACACAGTTTAGCACTTTGTTGAGTCCTGGTAGGGCAACTCTTTGTGCAAGATTTTTCAAGCTTATATTTGTTATTTGAAGAACCTTTGAGGAATTGTTAAAAACCCGATGAAGGATGTTTTTGTTTGTTTTCATCATCTACACACCGTAATTGGTTCAGAATATGTGATTAGCTAGTATTCATTGTTCATACTCAGCAACTAAGTGGCCAGTAAGAGGCCAGGACATAAATCTGATTGAGAACTTGTGGGAGCATTCTTGGTAAAAAAATTTATGCTAATAACATTCATTTTATGACAGTTTAAGAGCTTAAACAAGAAATCATTGAGTGCTGGTTTCAAATGGATCCAGAAATCTTACACAGTTTAATTAAATCAATGCCTAATCACATTTTTGAAGTCATTAAACATAATGGCAGTTCCATTTTATGTTAAAACAATTTTCATCAATTAATGTTATGAACTATTGCTCAAAGTTTAAAATTTATCTATATTTTTGGGACATCACAAAATGAGTATTTTGTGTTTAGCACTATGTAACTGTCAAATATTGTAAAAACAATTATATAACATTGTATTATGCTATAAATAAATAATAATAACCACTTGCATTGTTAAGAAATATGTAATATTTAAAATAATAAAAACATATAGATTATCTATATTTTGGGATACACTGTACTATACTGTACAGAAAAAAATGGTACAATACTGTTTTTGGAGAGTGGCTAAATAAATTAGGTAATTTTCACTATGATTTTCTGCGATTTCAGTTCTTAAAATACTGGCATCACTAATGGCATTTGTGATTGGATTTGGGAGTGGTTTAATTGTGTGTTTTAACTATGTTTGTGTGTGTGTTGTAATTTTCTATGTACTCCTATGTCTACACATGTATGTACATATACATATTGTACTGTATTTTGTCCTATCATCCGTGTCATCAAACCCATTTGTTCTCAGTACAAAATCAACAATCAATTCAACCATTTAAAATTTCACACTTTAAGAGGAAAAATGTAATTGATAAAAGTATTGTAACATTCAAAACTGTAATGTAATGCAGTGCCTGTACTTCACTGTAATATAATTGTATTGAATACTGTAATAAATTGTTTGTTAACTTACTGTTATATACTTACATATTTTTATGCAATATTTGAACTTGTCTAATTCAGTTTTGAATTATTTTATTTTATTTTATTTTTTTGCAGTTTCTTCAACTTCAAATTATCCAAGTTGTACTGTATTTTATTGTAAAATTAATAAAGTATATAAAAACCATCTTAAGTTAATATTAACATATAATAATTTTAATAATATGTAATAATTATACAGATATCCCCTGTATAACACAGTAGTTAAGTTCTGAAAAAGTAGTGTTATGTAAATCTGTGCTATATGAAACATAGTACGAAACATAGGGTTAGGTTTCAAAAGTTAGCAAAAGTATACTACTATTCTTTTTAATTAAGAAAAATATGTATATTAACATAATCAATAATTAACTAACAATAACAATCAATAGTATTGCATGTTAATATTAATTTTTTCTTCATGCTAAAAATAACATAATAATTCATAGTTAAACAAGAATGTTTTCTTTTTGGCAAAATATCGTCATCTTCTGAGTTGTCTTGTTGACTGAAGTATCAACAATATTTTGAGTTTTCTTTACTTTTTTTTCATAAAATCTGATATTTTCATTTTCTCGCATTTGTCTAAGAGATCTTTAAAAATTTAATCATTTTATATAGTAACTTTTTAATTTAATCTATAAAAATCATTTAGAGCACAGTCATCAATGACAGTGACACTTGGTTTATAGGAAAAATAGAATAGAAAGATAGGACAAGGAAGAAGAAAAATTGTACAGTTTTCATTAAAGAAACAGTGCAAAATGCACAAAACAAGATTCAAAATTTCAATATTCTAAAATTCATGGGTAAATATGAGACAACATTCATGCTTGTTTGAATTAAAATAATATCAAATGGTGGAGTTTGCACTTAAAAATTGTGGCATTTTGTAAGAGGATGTCTTCAATTCTCAAACCATGTTAAATCAAAACCATATTATAGGAATGCCATATTTTATGAGGGATACCTGTATATGATTGTAATCTGAATATTGCTTTTTAAAAAACTGAAATTGTTCATTAAATAAATTTTTCTTGGTGGATTTTTTTTAGGCTTTGAATACTTATTTCAATGTAAATCTAATATAAATGAATATTACTTAAATTTTAAGACTGATAAAATTCTTTGGAGCAAATTGGTTTTTCTTAGGAAAAATATTTTTAGCAGTATTCTCTTTGTTATACTGTATTTGATTATCGTCATATGATAGTATTAAGAACAGATTTTTATTACTTTTCCATAGATATGCAAATTGGTTTCTTAATGTGCATATGTTTCTTGGCACTTAAAATGTCTTAAATATGGAATATTAAATGTCTTTGTATTGGAATAATAAATAATTTATTTTTATATTAATTTTTTTGTAAATATTAATTATAAAAGTAATATTTATAATTAATTTTGCCATATGGTGTAATTATGCAAATAATGAAATTTGAAATAATTTTAATTTTTAGGTATGCTGGAGTTGATATTCGCAATTTCACAACAAGTTGGAGTGATGGACTTGCATTTAATGCAATTATCCATCATTTTCGGTGAGCATGATAAATAAATAAATAAATAATCAGTTCAATTATTTCAAAACTCATAAAAACTCTTACCTTTTATTGTATAGACCTCACACTTTTGAATATGAATCACTATTACGAAAAGATGCAAATTTTCGACTTGAACATGCCTTCAGTTGTGCACATAAATTTTTAGGAATTGAAAGGTTACTTGATCCTGAAGGTAAATATTATAAATCATTTTAAATTATTTTTTATATTTTGTTTTTTGTTTTAACTGATCAGAAATTGAAATATTCTATTAAAAGTCTAATTATGTACTTAAATTTTTTAATTTTTAATAATATGTAATAATTAAATTAGATACTGTAAGAATATTATATATAGTATAATTTTGATTTAATGGATTAATTGGGAAAGGAATGTCCACTATTGCTGAAAGTCCATTAAATCAAATGTATTTTAAAAACATATGTTACTGAATAATAATGAACTTATAATGTACAGGATGTATTAAAATGTTGTTATAATGTGTAAGTATGAATGAAATATTATAATGAACATTGAGTAATTTATACTCATTGATTCTTAGTATCTTATATCCATGAATAAAAAAAAGGTTATAAATCTTTCATGTAGGGTAGAAATTTTAAGTCCATTAAATTGAGGGTCTATTGTATTTATGAGTTAATTTAATGTGATTTTATAATACACAGGTATGTCTATTATATTTCAAAATTAGTCAAAATTATTTCTTGTTTCTCAAGATGCCGAAGAAATAATAATTTCTATTGGTTAACATCAATCCAACCTATTAACAAACTGTATTTGTTATCTTTTTATGGAAATACCATCTTAGTTCTGTGCACTAGTTGCAAGTCAGTTTTATGGACAAATTTATTGAACTTATAAAATGTTAAATTAATTCTTTTTGAAAAGTATTATTTTGTGCAATGTTATGTAAATCTGTGCTATATGAAACATAGTACGAAACATAGGGTTAGGTTTCAAAAGTTAGCAAAAGTATACTACTATTCTTTTTAATTAAGAAAAATATGTATATTAACATAATCAATAATTAACTAACAATAACAATCAATAGTATTGCATGTTAATATTAATTTTTTCTTCATGCTAAAAATAACATAATAATTCATAGTTAAACAAGAATGTTTTCTTTTTGGCAAAATATCGTCATCTTCTGAGTTGTCTTGTTGACTGAAGTATCAACAATATTTTGAGTTTTCTTTACTTTTTTTTCATAAAATCTGATATTTTCATTTTCTCGCATTTGTCTAAGAGATCTTTAAAAATTTAATCATTTTATATAGTAACTTTTTAATTTAATCTATAAAAATCATTTAGAGCACAGTCATCAATGACAGTGACACTTGGTTTATAGGAAAAATAGAATAGAAAGATAGGACAAGGAAGAAGAAAAATTGTACAGTTTTCATTAAAGAAACAGTGCAAAATGCACAAAACAAGATTCAAAATTTCAATATTCTAAAATTCATGGGTAAATATGAGACAACATTCATGCTTGTTTGAATTAAAATAATATCAAATGGTGGAGTTTGCACTTAAAAATTGTGGCATTTTGTAAAAGGATGTCTTCAATTCTCAAACCATGTTAAATCAAAACCATATTATAGGAATGCCATATTTTATGAGGGATACCTGTATATGATTGTAATCTGAATATTGCTTTTTAAAAAACTGAAATTGTTCATTAAATAAATTTTTCTTGGTGGATTTTTTTTAGGCTTTGAATACTTATTTCAATGTAAATCTAATATAAATGAATATTACTTAAATTTTAAGACTGATAAAATTCTTTGGAGCAAATTGGTTTTTCTTAGGAAAAATATTTTTAGCAGTATTCTCTTTGTTATACTGTATTTGATTATCGTCATATGATAGTATTAAGAACAGATTTTTATTACTTTTCCATAGATATGCAAATTGGTTTCTTAATGTGCATATGTTTCTTGGCACTTAAAATGTCTTAAATATGGAATATTAAATGTCTTTGTATTGGAATAATAAATAATTTATTTTTATATTAATTTTTTTGTAAATATTAATTATAAAAGTAATATTTATAATTAATTTTGCCATATGGTGTAATTATGCAAATAATGAAATTTGAAATAATTTTAATTTTTAGGTATGCTGGAGTTGATATTCGCAATTTCACAACAAGTTGGAGTGATGGACTTGCATTTAATGCAATTATCCATCATTTTCGGTGAGCATGATAAATAAATAAATAAATAATCAGTTCAATTATTTCAAAACTCATAAAAACTCTTACCTTTTATTGTATAGACCTCACACTTTTGAATATGAATCACTATTACGAAAAGATGCAAATTTTCGACTTGAACATGCCTTCAGTTGTGCACATAAATTTTTAGGAATTGAAAGGTTACTTGATCCTGAAGGTAAATATTATAAATCATTTTAAATTATTTTTTATATTTTGTTTTTTGTTTTAACTGATCAGAAATTGAAATATTCTATTAAAAGTCTAATTATGTACTTAAATTTTTTAATTTTTAATAATATGTAATAATTAAATTAGATACTGTAAGAATATTATATATAGTATAATTTTGATTTAATGGATTAATTGGGAAAGGAATGTCCACTATTGCTGAAAGTCCATTAAATCAAATGTATTTTAAAAACATATGTTACTGAATAATAATGAACTTATAATGTACAGGATGTATTAAAATGTTGTTATAATGTGTAAGTATGAATGAAATATTATAATGAACATTGAGTAATTTATACTCATTGATTCTTAGTATCTTATATCCATGAATAAAAAAAAGGTTATAAATCTTTCATGTAGGGTAGAAATTTTAAGTCCATTAAATTGAGGGTCTATTGTATTTATGAGTTAATTTAATGTGATTTTATAATACACAGGTATGTCTATTATATTTCAAAATTAGTCAAAATTATTTCTTGTTTCTCAAGATGCCGAAGAAATAATAATTTCTATTGGTTAACATCAATCCAACCTATTAACAAACTGTATTTGTTATCTTTTTATGGAAATACCATCTTAGTTCTGTGCACTAGTTGCAAGTCAGTTTTATGGACAAATTTATTGAACTTATAAAATGTTAAATTAATTCTTTTTGAAAAGTATTATTTTGTGCAATTAGTCTAAAAATTAATTAGATTTAAATTAATTAGGCTAAATAAATTATAAATTAAATATTCTGAAAGAAAATTTTGACTCAACAGTTTTCATCTAGTGCAGTTGGTTAAAATGCTGATAGAGTAATGAAAAGGTTATGATGTTGCATCCTGTATATAAAACTTCATAAATATAAATAAAATTCATTTATTGATAAATTAATTTATTTTTATAAAAATTGAGGGGAGGAAAAAACAAAACTATATTTTTTGTACTGTAATGAAAGTAGTGCATGGATTAATTTATCCCACATTTCAGTTTTCCATGCTCTTACTTGAAAAAAATGCTTTCCAATGAGTTTACTATTTGTTTATTTATTATCTTGAAATTTCTCTGGGAGTACAATACATATAGTATTGTAATCATCCAACAACATTTCTTATGTTATCACTAGATATATTTATAAGAGTTATATATTATATTCTTATTTGTAGCCATAGCAAAATTCTATGCTATTACAACAACTTTACTACATTTCCTTGAGCAATAACAGGTGCTAATGTTAATATTTCTTTTATAGAAACTAACCTAAATTATTATAATTTTGATTTTGCCTGAGGAAAGATCTTTTAATTATTTCCAAATGAATCATAATTAATATGATTAATTATTTAATAATTCTTTAATAGAATGAGAAAATCCACTTATTACATTTTTGGGTTTTTATAAAGTATGATATTTTATTGAACTTTAGAAGCATGATATGTTCAATAAGTTATTTTAATTCTTATTAATTGATAAATTTGATATAAAATGTGAACATGTCATGGGATTTTATATTATATTTTAAATTTATATTAATAAATTTGTTTGATAATTGTAAGAACTAGTATATTTTATCTTACATGGCAAACTATTTATATTTGTATTTAATATTACCAAACAATATTCTGGATTATTTATTGGGATTATTTAAGGCTAATTAATAAACAGATAACATTTTGGCTAGATGTAGATTGTTAAGCTACATTTCATGATAAATTTAGTAATAATAAGTCAGTTAATTTTTAATTTTAATTTAGCTTATTCTAGAAGAAAATTTGTATTTAATATAAACAGATTAAAAAAATAGTAATAATATTCACTTTCAGTTAGTTTTCAGAGAAATTTTAATAAGCGTATTAATTTCTTTTTTTTTTATATTCCATCCAAAGTAATTTATATTACCTTTGCTTAGAATAGTTTATATTGATTGGTCATTAACAGTAAAGTTAATCTACTATCTAGCAAAACCACATAAAGATAATATTAAAATAATGACACAAAGGAATATATCATTTCAGAGAAAAGTCTCAATAAATTAAATAATAATATGGTATAGTAATTTAAAAAATTGTTTAAGACAGTATTATTATTATTATTATCATCATCATCATCTCACATATAATATTGTATGATTCAAATGTTCTAAATTTTTGTAAAAAACTTTTTTTTTCTTAAAAGATTAATGATGTTTTCTAAAAATAATTTTCTTATAGATGTAAATACTTCCCGTCCTGATAAAAAGTCTGTGATGATGTATGTGATGTGTTTTTTCCAAGCTCTTCCTCATCATAACATTCCATTGAGAAGATTACATTCAAGTGAAGTGTCAGATTCTGTAAGATTTTGTGTTAAATATTAATTGTCTTATATAGAAATTTATTATAAAAATTAATTATAAGAAGTTAATAAAACTTTAATTGAATGAAAAAATTGAAATTTAATGTGCAACATTGCTGTTATAATATCATTATTGATTATTTTATTGAACAACATTGCAGAGCACTTCCAAATTTTATTGTTTTGACACAGTCCTACTTTTACATCATTTGTAAGAATTCCTTTCCCACAGATTAACAAAATTTTTTAAATTGAAATAAATGTTCTATTATTTAACACTCATTATGTAATAAAACTAATTTTGTTATTAAATTATAAATACCTTTTCTGGTTATTAGAATAAAAGTTGTGATGCATTACAAAAGTAGAAAAACTGGTTCTTTTATAGTGGAAGTTAATTCAGAAAATTTATTTAAAATCATTCTGTAATGAAATTATATCATATTCATTACATTTAAATATATATCAAAGATTTATATATTTAAATTTAGCCTTATTTGTCAAAAATATGAATACAGGGTAGTGAATCAAGTTCCTGTATTTAAAGGGTTCTGCAGTATGTTGTAAGGTTCCAAATGGGATAAAATTTAAACTGTAGGTACTTCAAATGATGTGCTCATCATTTATTTTAAAAAATTTTGTATGAAAAATTGCCACTATGTGGCAGTGTGGCATTATAAGTCAACTAGCAAATGAGCCTGGCATTGCTCTGGCAAATGATTTGGATGATTTGGTAAATATTGTACATTTGGAAATTAAGTTGTTACTATCAAAAACAAAAAAATCACCTGTAAAATACAGTAGAAGTCATTCTTCAGTTTAAGCCTTAATCATTTTCCCTCTCCCCATGGGGGAAATTTTGAAAAATCACTTCTTAGTGTGCATTTTCATACATGTCCCAACTGTAACTGTGTACTAAATTTCATCTCTTTTGGTTCAGGGGTTTGCTCTGAGCAATGATGAATCAGTCAGTCAGTCAGGACATGTAATTTTATATATATAGATGGAAAAGCATTACAAGTGTTCAATGTGATCTCCATTGTTGTCAACAAAGTTTTCCATTTCCAAAATAGCTTTTTATATCATAGAACGTAAAAAGTCTACTGGAATTGCTAGAATATGATGTCTAATGCTGTCATTCAGCTGTTGCATCTTTCATGACACCTGATTGGTCAAAAAGCCCCATAACTATATATATTGTGAAAGATGTCACACTCTGAAGGCTGGAGATGTCACACTCTGAAGGCTGGAGATGTCACAGTTGAAGGACAGCATTACATAATTATGTTCTAGCAATTCCAGTAGACATCTGTTCTGGGATAAAAAATGCACTTTAGGAATGGAAAACTTTGTTGACAACAATGGAGGCCACATCGAACATTTGTAACACTGTTCAGTTGACTTATATTGTCACAGTGCCACATATTGGCAATTTTTCACACAAAATATTTTTAAAATAAATGGTGAGAACATCATTTGAAGTATCTACAGTTTAAATTTTATTCCATTTGGAGCCTTACAATTTACTGCAGAACCCTGTAAATAGAACTTAATTTTTAAAAACTCTGTATATTTGATATGTTATTTATTATATGTTCTGTAATTATAATATCTAAATATCATTAAAATGAACTAATCAAAATAATAAAACTGAATTTTGCTATTATTTTTAATAAAATGAATTGTTTAATTTATTAGGAAGTTTCTGAAGGTGAACATGGTCACACTACAGGCATTAATGATGTAGCTGCTTATCAAAACACATTAGAAGAAGTTCTTACCTGGTTACTTGGTGCAGAAGAAAGACTTAATCAAGAAGGCCCAATAAAGGGCAGTGTTGAAGAAATCAAACAGTTATTTCATATTCATGAAGTATGTAATTTATTTTAAATTTATAATATTTGTTTAAAGTATCAAATAATTTTATTATTTAAAATACTGTTTTATATTAGTATCAATTGATACTAGACAGACAATTTTAGAAGTAATTAGATTATTTACTTGAGGTGTTTTACATCAATTTAAAATATTTGGAAGTATAATTTAAATATGTATGGTGGATATCGTGCTGACAATTGTTCTAACTCAAGCGAAAAATTCACACAAAAGGCATTAAGGAACAATTTATTTTCCTGCAAGCACTTTTGACATAATAATGCATGCCGTCTTAAGGCAGTAATAGAACCGAGTAGATTTCAAATAGATTTTTAAAATTGAAATGATAACATAACAACTTTAAGAATAAGAAAATTTTCACATATAAGTATAAGAAAAATAGCTTACCTGTTGGTACATTTGAGGTACGTAGACGACCTAATTTTAGCATGGCAGGGCACGGAGGACTCTTTTCTGGCATTAGAACAATACCTTCAGAGTGTTTACTCCTCTATCAGTTTCACCTGGGAAAAAGAAATTGAGGGAAAAATCACCCTTTTAGACCTGGACATCTCCAAATCCCAGGGAGGTTTGGTGTTCTCCATGTACCACAAGTTTGGTAATATTTTCCCCATAATACATGTCATGGCCTTCCAGCCACAACAGTACATTAATGCAGCCATAGTCCCCTTAATTAGAAGGGCCCTTTTTAGTACCTTTCACACCACACCTTATCAATACTGAGCTAGAGGCCACTTGTGCAGCAGGATGTGGTACTGCCAAATACAATCATATCCAAAACAGAGTTAAAAAGTCCCTTTTCCCTGCCACTATCTTGTGCAATCCAATGGACTGGACAGTACTTTGTCTTCTGTTTTGTGACTGCCTTACAGCATGGATTTGCCAGATATTCAGGCAAAATGAGTTTCTCTTGCCCATTGCCCCATGCCCGAGTCTGAGAAGACTCTTACGTAATGACGGATGTGGTTTTGATCCTGGAAAAATCAGGTGTATATTCCATTCCCTTGGAAAATCCAATGTCAGGGCTATACACCCATTATATAGGCACGACCACCAGAATGCTGACTAACTGCATATCTGAGCACCGCATTCTATTGTGGTGGGGAATTGTGATACTGAACTGTCCAAGTTGATTGTGCAGCACCACCACACCTTGCTTTAGAATCGGGTAGTGGTACTCAGGCACTGTGAGGAAGGGGGCCTGGTGTACATTTGGGAGACCCTCTTCACTATGCTACTGTCTCCTTGCAATTTCCCCACCCTCAAATTGCCCAGAATTTGAATTAGTTTATACAAATGGTTAAAACATCAACATTAGCTCCATATCTACCCCTCCACCTTCTCTGCAAATTAAAGTACATGTGCATCGATGTTATGCAATTTTCAAGTTAATGTTTTAAATTTTCTTATTCTTAAAGTTGTTATGTTATGTTCCAAACAGCTAATACTGTTATTGTTTCAATTTAAAAAATCTATTCGAAATCTGTTTGGTTCTATTACTGTTGAGGACAACGTGCATTACTATGTCAAAAGTGCAGGAAAATAAAACTTTCTTTAATGCCTTTTGTGTGAATTTTTCACTTGATATTTGGAAGTGTTTTATTAACTATTCAGCTGTTATAAATTTTGTTAGTTTACTTAAATTAATTCATATTTAATTTGTTTGAAAAGTACACAAAAGAAACATGAACAGAAAATGCTGTATTTTGAATCAGCATAAACATACTGTATATTTAAGGACAGTTCCTGCAAACAAATATGAGTTTTAGTGTTTCAGCTATGTGTAATTTTACATATTGTTTACATTTTGTGGATGAAAAATTCTAAAGTGAACAATTATACAAATTCTAAATTTAGGACATTTTAGATGTACTTTCAGAATTAGTAATTTATTTAATCATAGTAGAAACTTGATTTAATGTATTTTAATGTATTTTTTCACCACTTTCTTCAAATTTTTATAAACTTCAATTTTAATATTATTACATTTAGTGTTTTTAATATTGTGTATTTTTGAGATTTAATGCATCAACAATCACTAGATGATTTTTCATCTTAAATAATGTTTTTCAAAAAAAGGAAATGTACATATTTCATATTCAGATGGTCAGGAGAATGATAAAAGTTCAATTCATTGCTGTGATAATTTTACTACCTTTTGATAGAGGATTCTGTAGTTTGTGTCATGGCAACCATAGTCAGACTTTGAAATTGGCATAGAAACTAGAGAAAGTTTTAAAAGTTTTTTTACTAAAGCTATATTTCATTATTTTTTGAAGTTTACTATAGATTCTGTAGTTGAGTAGTTGTAGCTATAGTTACTATTCTTTTGAAGCTGTGAACTTGGACACTATACAAAGTTTATACTGATAATATGTATTTTTTTGAAGTTTAGAGAATCGTGCTGTTAGTAATCTTTATTTATTTTTTTAAAAAAGACAGAACCAGCACATAATCTGAAGTAACAATAACGATGATAATTTTTTCAATGATGATTTGCATTTTGGGTGTTTAGTACAGTCGACCCCCCTATAAGATCATAGATACGTTCCATTTTTAGGAATCCGATTTCTTACGAGTCGTTCCAATCACAGCCCGACACGTGTAAAGTTTATGGACTACGGCTGATTGAAAGGTTTTCTTCCATAAAATTAATTGATTCTAGACTAATCCGACTCAACATTTCCAAAATACGTATATATTTTTTGGAAATAATCCGTATAAACTACGCTATAAACAAAAAATTGTAGGATTACTTACCGAGTATGCACCATCGGACATCCCNACTGTATGCACTTTTAAATCATTTTATAATATAAAATATATATTTTACAATTTATAATATTTTTCTTTAAATAATTTTTCAAAAAATTATCAAATCTTTCAATTTCAAATTATGAAGAAAAAAATTTTTTTCTTTAAAAGCTCTTTTATTGAGCCATCAACAGTTTCACCTATTGCCTTTTAAAATTTCTTCAAGAACAAAATACATTATTACATTTATTATAGAATATTGTTTAAATATTATTCTATATTAAACTTATTATGCTATCACTTAAAAAGTTTTTCTAGTTACATTTGTTATGGAATGTTGGATCAAATAAATTCTACATTATCAAAACTTTTTTCATTATGTTTAACTGTTATGTTCTAATCTCATCAATAGTTCTTTGAATAAATATTACATCCAATATATTTCATTTTCGAATAAATATTAAATTCAATTCTTTAAAAAATTTAATGAAAATTGAGCTTTGTGTAAACAAGCTGCTTCTTTTCCATAAAGGATATTAAAAATTTTGTTATTAGTTTTTTGTATTCACATTTTATGTGTTACACATTTAAATCTTTTTAAAGTATGAAAAACTACTGTTGTAATTTGAGGAGTATAAAACTTTCTGGTTTTGTTTTGTTCCTTAGAATACATTAAATAAATAAATAAATAAATTTATATATATAAATTTATATAACAATGTTGATAATTTTTCCAATGCAATGATCCCATGCAATGATCCACATTTTCCAATGTACAGCTATGGTATTGAGATGTAATGTTGCACAATGACACTACTAGATTGTTTGGATGTTCCAGAATGTCAACAGAAGTAGAGTGCAAAGTCAGTTGTTTTTGACTGTCATTCACTATGAATGTGAGTCGACTGGAACAACATTTGTACATAAAAATTGTAAGGCTTTGTGGGCAAAACATGAAGGAATGTCATGCACAGCTTGTAGAAGTTGTCAGTGAGCATGCTCTTTCATACAGAACTGTTGCAAAGTGGGTAGCAGCTTTTGAATATGGAAGAGTAGCAATTGCCAACATGCCTTGTACTGAATGCTCTAGGACTATTTGTATCAATGTTGCTCGTGCTGTGATTATCGAATGCTTAGAGGACAACAGACAATGGTCTCTGCAGGAGTTGGTGACAACAAACAGGTATTGACCACACAACTTTGCATCAACGTTATAAAGTATAAGCAATTAATGAAACAACTAGTTCCAGTTCTGTTTTTTGGTTTTTCTCCTTTGTTTACAATATTCCTGAGTAACCCATCTAACAGACATTATTGGTAGAGTACATTGTGTCTTTTTATATGTGTATTTTGAAATGGTTATATACTGTATATTTGTGCAGATAAGATGAGTTATAAATTTTCATTGAAGTTTTATAATTTTAGCATATATCTGTCCTATAAGACAACCCCAAACTAGCAACAGCTTATGAATTTAGTTTAGATCAGCAATCATCATTTGGATAAACACTGTATAGTGTATATGGAATTATGTCTTATTTGTAATTTTTTGAAAGAACTTCAAATTTTATTTTCTTGCATCTGGCAGCACTGCCTTACAATTGTTGCAAACATTCACACTGATTCAGGCATTTGGGTAATGACCTTGACTATTCACAAAAACGTCATATGGGCTATTTAAGTACATTGGTGAGTGATTTGTTTTATTTTATAATGGTTTTAATTTATATAAATTTCAATTTATTTTTTTTTTAATCTGTCCTATAAGACGACCCCGGATTTTGGGGGTCTTTTTTTATGATTCAACTATTGTCTTATCTGCACAAATATATGGTAATAATGCATTTACCTGCAAAAAAATTGCTGCCATGACTTAGTAAATGACCTATATATACATATATATATACATATACAGTGGAACCCCGGTTAACGAACTTAATCCGTTCCGCGACTCCGTTCGTTAACCGAATTGTTCGTTAACCGAAGCAATTTTTCCCATAGAAATTAATGCAAATGCAATTAATCCGTTCTAGTCTCCGAAATTTTTGTGATTTTATTTGTAATATACAGTAATTTTCTTTGATGAAAATGTAGGAAAACGTAGTATCTATCATTACAGCAACAAACATGTAAACTTTGTTTAATAAAATAGCACTGTACATACCTTCGTTTGTTGTAGTTGGTGGCAGAAAAGTGGAGATATACGAACCTTAATGCTTAGAAGGGGAATCCCCTCCAAAAAAATAACGGGTAGCACTTCATCGGAAGATTCTTCGAGTCGAAGTCTCTTTCGGTAAAAAAAACCCACCAGTGGCTAAGTGGTCTTCGTACCTTGAACACGGGGAGTTCGTTCGTGGGTTCGCACCTCGCTCAGACGGGCTGGCCACGTGGAGTTTTCCGGGTTTTCTCCACGTCTGTAACGCCTAAATAGGGGCCAGTTTCCCTTAAAAACACCTCCCAGAAGGCATTCCCCCTAGGCAGATCGCCCAAGTGTTGCGTTGCCATAACTTAACAAACAAACAAACTCTTTCCGTAAGGAACAAGAAATTGATCTAAAGTTGATTGTCTTACTCTTTTAATCAAAATTTTTCTCAAATGCGATAGCGCATTGTCGTTTATATTGCGTTGTCGTTTTCTATTGCCACTATGACTTTTTTCTTTCTTGGATGCCATATTGATTAAATATATAAATCACAAAACTGAAAAAAAAGCATAGCACAAACACTCGGAAAAGCAATGCTTAACTCGCTCATGCCTAACACCAACTAAAATTTGACACAAAATACCGTTACGTTCGTTATCCGAGACAAATTTTTTGCAAAATAAAAGTTCGTTAACCGATTTGGTCGTTAACCAGGACGTTCGTTAACCGGGGTTCCACTGTATATATATACTATATATACATATATATATATATATATATACACATAATAATAGCTAATAATTTTTTGTATTTTAATACACAGTTGAACCTCTAATAATGAGGCACTTCTAAACAATGGCTATTTTTTCAGGAACATTTTTTTAAACAAAAATGCATAGAATATAACCTGTAAACAACAGTTGCTGTCCTGTTATATAAAAATCCTGTTTTTAATCTCTTCAGAACAATCATTGCTCTCATAATGATATGCAGAAAATAATAATGCACTGTACAAAATTAGTCATTATCAATAAGATGGCTAATTTGACTACTGACTTTTCATGTGTTCAAATTAATAAACTGGACTGTAAATGTAAAAAAGTAAATTTTTCATAAAAATCAAAAGGACTAATTACATTTAATATTGTAAACAATGGCAAAAAGTTTTTTGTACAAAAGTTCTTCTTGAATGTACAGAGAACTCCTAAACAGATTTAAATAAACTTTTTCTTAGGCCAGTCTTCAGTTTAAATATTTAAAGAAAAAACAGTATCTTCTGCCAGCAGTTATAACTAAAAAATTTTAATACCAAGGGTTAATTGTTTTAGGTGTTTTTTAAGAACAAACAAATTTTTTAATAATTACTGCTGGCAGAGAATACTGTTTCTCTTATGTTTTTAACATGAGTTGTAGCGTACATTAAAAGATATACTTGTGTGTGTTTTTAGGAGTTCTTTGCACATTAGAGAAGAAGTTTTGTACCAAATTCTGTTTTTTTAATATTTTTTTTACAATGTTAAAAATAACAAACACATTTAGTTTTCCTTCACCTGTGCAATTTTCAGCACCTTCCAACAATGACTTTTTTTAATTTTTATCAGTGGCTGTTGTTCAGAGGTATACTGTATGCACTTTTAAATCATTTTATAATATAAAATATATATTTTACAATTTATAATATTTTTCTTTAAATAATTTTTCAAAAAATTATCAAATCTTTCAATTTCAAATTATGAAGAAAAAAATTTTTTTCTTTAAAAGCTCTTTTATTGAGCCATCAACAGTTTCACCTATTGCCTTTTAAAATTTCTTCAAGAACAAAATACATTATTACATTTATTATAGAATATTGTTTAAATATTATTCTATATTAAACTTATTATGCTATCACTTAAAAAGTTTTTCTAGTTACATTTGTTATGGAATGTTGGATCAAATAAATTCTACATTATCAAAACTTTTTTCATTATGTTTAACTGTTATGTTCTAATCTCATCAATAGTTCTTTGAATAAATATTACATCCAATATATTTCATTTTCGAATAAATATTAAATTCAATTCTTTAAAAAATTTAATGAAAATTGAGCTTTGTGTAAACAAGCTGCTTCTTTTCCATAAAGGATATTAAAAATTTTGTTATTAGTTTTTTGTATTCACATTTTATGTGTTACACATTTAAATCTTTTTAAAGTATGAAAAACTACTGTTGTAATTTGAGGAGTATAAAACTTTAATTAGATATTCTTCAGTTATTAATGTTTTTACAATAAAATTATTAATTTAATACTATTATAATGTCTCCTACAATGAAACTGTAAAATAATAAGCAAAAGTAATTGCATTCTGAAGCAAAAACAATGAGTTTAGACATGCTCTTAAAAGAATTAAAAAAAGTAATACTTTGAAGAATGAACAAGAGTTAAAAACTATAATTTTTAATATATAATTTAAAAAATTCTTTAAGAAATGTAGAAAAGTTTTCAAAACCACGAAAATGACTATATGAAAGTAAAAACACATACATGGAACCAGAAAATCCAGGAAAAAAACAATATTTTAATGAGTATTCTAATATTTTTGATTGCTTTCATCAGTCATCATCATGTTTAATTACATTTTATTAAAAGCAGTAGAAAATGTTGTTAAGATTAAGATATTGTTTTCTTTCTGAATTTTATGTTAATGTGTGTGTTTTATTGATGATTGCATCCAGTTTTTTGAACTACATATATGTTTTTTATAATATAAAAGTAAGAATTATTATTATTTTGAAAATAAAAAACAAATTGTTTGATATAAAAGTAAGTGGAAAGTGATTTTAATAGATAATTTTTAATAAAGTTTAAGTTTAAACATTTATTTGCTAATATGATATGAAATTTTAGAGTAATAATTCTGAATGTTTAAATATGTTAATGTATTATATTTTTATTTTAATTTAATTGGGCTGCAATTTGAAAAAAATTGTAAACCTATAAATTCTCACTGTTGTTCGTTTGTCTGTCTGTCTGTTTTTTTCCTTAATCTCGAGAATGGTGTTAAATAAATGAAATTGAAGACCAGATATGGAAAGCTTAGGGCAAGAGCTTTTGAGATGAAATAGTAATAATTCAAAAATGTCTGTCAAATAAAAACTTTTGCTATTTAACTATCTTATCTATATAAATAATATAGTATTTTTTCCAGAAAAAATTTATCAGTCAATATAAATTTTGTGTTTCAATATTTTTAGTATGATTATGCTGTGTATGATCTATTTTGTGTGCTTGGATGTAAATTGTGATTTAAATTGAATGTAATATGTTAATTAAAAATATTGAAGAACTTTATTTAAAAATTATTTTTGTTTAAGTTGTGGTTGTACTATGGAATTTTCAGTTGTTTCAGTTATGCAATTACCTGCATGGGAATTGCACAACTGAAACAGCTATTCCCATCAACTACCAAACTCTTCCAAATATTGCATGAGTGCAACTGCAACTAAAAACAGTTTGTTGTTGTTGAACCAATTGTAAGTGTGTGGCCAATGAATTCATTGTAAGTGTGTGGTGAATGAAAAATGTCTTCATGTTTTTACACCACTACACCATGACAATTTAAAATGGTGGAAAATTGGAACACTGAGATAAAATCATGATTTATAGAATTTATCCATAATCATAAGAGCCCATAGAATTTCTTTATCAAAGTTAGAATATTTCTCTTTTTGTCAAAATATATAGAAGATGGATTTGTTTGTTTCATTTTTCTAATCACACAATGTTGATCATAATTTACACTTTTGATCATTACTATAATTTTATTTGTTAATGTCTAATTGTGTTTCTGTCGTGTCTGAGTGCATGAATGCTTGTGTAACTCACAGCTGTCATAATTTCATAATTAAAGTTGTCTGAGTGGCTAAAAATTGCAATATGCAATTGACACTTTAGAAATATTTTATAATTTCTATATTGTTATGTAACATTTTTCAAGTTTATGTTTTAAAATCTGAGAAGCCAATTTTTGTATGTAAAAATTTAGATTAATTTATGGAATATAATTTTGATAATCTTTGTTAACTGTTTAGTTTAATGAAACTAAACGGTTTTACAGTAATATATAAGCTAAAACTGTTTAAAACGTTAAACAGTTTTAACTTAATAATATTTCAGTTTTAAAATTAAAATTTTATAACTTTATGATGTAGAAAATACTTGTATAATAACATTCATTTATATCAGTGTTTTTCAACCTGTGGGTCGCGACCCCCAGGGGGTCGCAAAGCCTTACACAGAGGGTCGCGGGTAAAAGAAAAAAAAAACAAGTGTTTGTAGGTCCTACACTACAATAAAAAAACTACAATCTCAGTGAGAAGGCTGTGCTTGTTTATTTTACAATACAATTGGTTTTTTGATCGATATTTAGCTCTCAACAGAAAGAAACTTAAATACGTAGTTTTTAAAACCACTGGCATAGTTTTAATATGGCCCTGGGGGTCGCCAGAATTTTTTAACTTGTAAAGGGGTCGCTTATTGAAGAAGGTTGAAAAACGCTGATTTATATTGAAAATATATTGTTTATTAATATACTCTTTCTTATTTAGGAATTTATGTTAGAACTCACTCAGTATCAAATTGGAATTGGAGAAGTCCTACAAAAAGGAAATACTTTAGTCAGCCAAGGTAAAGTGAGTTTTGATGAACAAGAAGAAATACAAATGCAAATTGAACTTTTAAATAGCAGATGGGAAGATCTTCGTTTGAAAGCTATGGATCGTCAAAGCAAGTTAGTTGAATATTTAATATCATTATGCTATAATTTATTTATATGAAAAAGACTATACAGTAATAAGAAAAATTAAGAAGATAATGAAAAAAAATGAAAAAAGTTAGATTTTTAAAAATAATTTTAGTATGAATATTTGAACTATTCTGAAAAATATTAAAATAATTCATAATAAGTTTAAATGGCTATTATAAAATCATGAGTAGATGAGCCATCTATTACATTAAATATATTGTATTTCAGAAAGATATATGAGTAGAATTGAAGAAGAAAGAAAAGAGAGAAATAATATGATATAATTTATGGCTTTTTACAAATAGAAAGTCATAAATTATGCCATGTTACTTCAATTCTAAGACATTCTTATTCTTATTTTGAAATCAAATTTAGAAAATTTTTTATGGCGAGAAAACTTTTATTATCTCTAATTTGTACGTGTAAAAAATGGGTAAAAATGCAATTTCAAATTAAGGAAATATGATAAATATTTTTAATTATTGATATAATACAAATAATTGTTTTTAACTATGAGAATAATAATATAATCAAAAATTCCAATAAATAGCAAAATATTTGAAATTTTTGATTATGTAATATAATCAAATTATATTATTATTAATTATCAAAATTAATATTATCATAATTATCATAATAATATTATGCTATATAATAAAAATTTATTTAATGACTCTGCCAAATATCTAATATTATAATATACTAGCTTACCCGTCGCGCATTGCTGCGATCTCAGAAGAAAGGAAATTCAAGCAAACTCGTTATGATAAAATTAAATTTACATTTTATCATTTTTATTGAAAATTATTATTATTATTATTCATTTTCATCGGGAAACATTTCAAAATGTCGTTTGAATTCTATTTATTTATTGGAGTGTTTGTGGATACACGATATTTTTTTGTTTTTCCGTCTGGTGCGTACACGAATAAATTGGAAGGTTTTCCGACGCGTGAGCCAGCCACATACAGTTGTTCATGCGAGAAGCGCGGATTCTCCAAATTTAGCCCACACACTCGCTGCGATTGTCAGAAGTGCAATATTCCCCATTTTTATATATTTTTAAAAAATCCTTTATAATTTTAATTATTTAATTGCTCCTTCCTCTCTTCCTTGGCGTGTTGTGAAATTTTTGATAGTTGGATAATAAACCGTTTTATTGTAATTTGTCTTTTTAAATTATTTTGAGTCGATATTAAAATTTGGAAAAGGGGGATTCCTAGATCGGTAAAATAGGCGAATTTCCTCCTACGACTTCGGTTGTTGTTCGGGATACAGTTAAGGTTTTAACAAAGTTCGAGCGAATACATAATTAGCAAAAAAAGTTAAAGTGATTAAACAAAAATTATTACAAATATCGTAAATAACAGTTCACAAATGCATATATAGAGATATTTTTTGAAATAGGGGGAAATGGTCTTCACAATTTGAAATAGATCAAACACACTGTCTCGATACACTCGTATAAACGCGTGCCATCTATTGTGGGTTAAATGTACTATGCCAGAAACCTTCGCGGGAGTGTATTAAAAAACTTTCCTAAGTTTTATGGCAATCGTACTATGCCACAAACCTGCGTGAGAGTATATTAAACAACTTTCCAAAGTTTCATGGCAATCGGATAAACGGTGTGGTAATGCATGAAGGACATAAGACAGACACACAGACACACACACAGACACACACACAGACATACATTCATTTTTATATATATAGATTACTTGAGGAAATTTATATTCATTGGATCTTTTATGAAAATGATTATAATCTGTAAGATTTATAATAGTAAAGGTAATTTTTCTTTTCTAATCTTTATTTTCTTTTTTCGTACCATATTTTTGTGGATTGACTGGCATGCTGCATATAATTGGTAGAGACCAGCATACAGGAAACCCCATGGTTACTAGCATGCTGATTAAACTGCAACTAAAAAATAAAATTAATCAGATCTAACAAAACTAGTTGTTAAATAAATGTTAAAGAAAACATTATTTCCAGTACAATAAAATAATAACATTGTAATTTCACTGACTTATAACCAGGAAGAGAATCTTTGTTTATAGGACAATAAAACAATTAGCATCTTATTTACTACTACTACAGTACTATTGTGGTTGTGGTGGTGATGGTGGTGGTGGTGGTGGTTAGTCAGTGCAAGCTGCACTGACAATCTGCCTTTATCTTCAAAGATAACACTATTTCAAATTTCACACAAAGTGAATGTTAACGGATGTAAGTTGAGATAATTTATAATGAGTTTTTAAAATATGATATTTATTTTTGCCTTTAATGATCAAATTACAATAAAATAAACATAAAAAAAGCACTTTTGGCATTTCATGAATATTTTAAATGGTTAGAAAGAAGACAAAATGCAGAAATTAAAAATATAATTGTGATTTTTGATTTAAAGCTGACAGTTTCACAATTTTAGAATAAAACAGGCATCATGTTTTTCTGGAGAGGGATGTATAACCTCACTTAAACCAGCATGTTGGTTTTTGCCATATGAAAATATCTGATTCCATGGTTTCCCTGGATAGATTGACATGTCAGACAATCTGCAAAAATATGGTATTAATACTTTAACTATTGTAAGTGAATTCAACAGCATGGAATTTGAACTTATTTAATGACTTATCAGAATTTTCAATAATTCAATAATAGAATAAAAACTTGCCCTGTTTAATTTTCTGGATAACATTTTATATGTAAATTAATATATTCAGATTTTTCAAAATTCAAAATCAAATCAGAATTTTTCTCATTACATGGAATGCAAGAAACAAGTTTTTTGCATTCTATATAATAAGAAGAATTATTGAGTAATCAGAATGGCATTTTACAAAAAAATAAATGAATTAATAACATGTAAATGTAATATAGTAATTTGTTTTAATTCTGTAATTTGTCTTGTAAGAAAATCACAATTTAATTAAAATGTCTTTAAAAATATGAAAATGCTAACATTTTAAGGTACAAATATAAGCATCCATTAACCTGATTTTTAGATTAATGCCAAACAATTGCCAGATTATATTGGGCTGTAATTAAATATCAATGTAATTATTATTAAATTTATCAAGAGATGGCGTCTAAGGTCTGCCTCAGGCCAACTTACTTGACATTCAATTAGTAATTAGTATTATTATTAAAGCCTAATGTAATCTGGCAATAATTTTAAGATATTTTATCTTCAAGAATATAAATCAAAAGCACAACCATAATAACAATAGTAATTCTGTTTTCACAAATCTTACCTTCAGATTGGCTTTTAGAATTTATTCTTATGAATTTGTTTAATTAAAGAATCTCTGTTTCTGACACAATAGCCAAAGATAATTAAAAGTATCTAATAATGATTATTTCCACGAGTAGATGAGCCATCTATTACATTAAATATATTGTATTTCAGAAAGATATATGAGTAGAATTGAAGAAGAAAGAAAAGAGAGAAATAATATGATATAATTTATGGCTTTTTACAAATAGAAAGTCATAAATTATGCCATGTTACTTCAATTCTAAGACATTCTTATTCTTATTTTGAAATCAAATTTAGAAAATTTTTTATGGCGAGAAAACTTTTATTATCTCTAATTTGTACGTGTAAAAAATGGGTAAAAATGCAATTTCAAATTAAGGAAATATGATAAATATTTTTAATTATTGATATAATACAAATAATTGTTTTTAACTATGAGAATAATAATATAATCAAAAATTCCAATAAATAGCAAAATATTTGAAATTTTTGATTATGTAATATAATCAAATTATATTATTATTAATTATCAAAATTAATATTATCATAATTATCATAATAATATTATGCTATATAATAAAAATTTATTTAATGACTCTGCCAAATATCTAATATTATAATATACTAGCTTACCCGTCGCGCATTGCTGCGATCTCAGAAGAAAGGAAATTCAAGCAAACTCGTTATGATAAAATTAAATTTACATTTTATCATTTTTATTGAAAATTATTATTATTATTATTCATTTTCATCGGGAAACATTTCAAAATGTCGTTTGAATTCTATTTATTTATTGGAGTGTTTGTGGATACACGATATTTTTTTGTTTTTCCGTCTGGTGCGTACACGAATAAATCGGAANTCGCAGTTTTATATAACAGTAAAAATAAAGGTTTTTAAATTATATATGTAAAAAAGCAATATGTGTATTTTCATTATTTTCAGTTCCAATAGTTATTTTTTTAAATGAAAAATATAAATTCAAAATAATGAACACAAACAGAATCAGAATTGATGAGAAAAATATCAATTTTACATTTAAATCTTTTGTATTTAACCACAATTATATTTTGACAATTACAATAACAGAGAATTCTGTCTTGTTATTAGATTATGTAAATTTACATACAAAATTTACATTTTATATGCAGTTTAAATCTTTCTCTAATAATTACAAATAATAAGAATAAAGTTAGATTATATGAAAGTCTTATCAACATGCAATATCTTTAATTTCCGTTGCAAAAAAACAAAAAGTTATACCAGTCTGAAGTGAAAATGATGAATATCTAATATAAGTAAACTTTTGTTAAGATTCTTTAGAGCAGGCCTGATCAACAAGTCACTCATGGTATCATTTTGATTAATTATAAATAATATGATCTGTTAAAATGTGAAAAAAACAACTTTTATGGAAATATTTCAATAATTGATTGATGAAATGCAGTCATCGATGTCATATTAACTAGCAGAGACATGCATGTATGTTGAATATTTATTGTTTATAAATAAATAAGTTTGTAATATATAAACAAATAAATAAAATTGTTCATAAATAAATAAAACTATATTTTATAAGATGTCAAATGAAATAAACTTCTTACAAAAGAATAAAAGTAGTGGTAAATTACAGGTACTTTAATTTCTAAAAGTAAATCACACCCATTACAAGTTGGCCAGGTCTGCTTTAGAACAATGATCTTTGAAGATTCTTTACTAGGTTTAATTTTTGCACATCAAATAATTTTTTGATGGAAAAATTAAATATTTTAAAATTCATAATTTTTATTTGGTTTTTAATCTACAAACATAAAATTTTACAATCTAAATTTCTAGCAAGTTTTTAAAGAGATTTGCTAGAAAAATTTTTCAAATTAGCATACTGACATTTTTTTTATTTCTTTGTTGTTTGTTTTAGAAAGGCAGTTCTATTGCAAATTATGCTTGTAATTGCCAGATTTTCTGAAACAGTTTAAATAATAATGTTAAAAAAAATGTTTAAGATTTTTATTTACTGTTATGTTGGAATGATATAAAGTTTCAATTAGAAATATAGATTAATAATATGTAATGTTATGAAATTATAATTTTTAAATTAAAAACTAAAAAGTTCAATTGATTATTTAAATTTAAGTTTCTTATTAACTTTAATTCTAAGAAGTAATGTAATTAACTTAATTTAAAAAAATATTAATATTGATTTAGTCAGTTTTTAAGATTAACTGATTAAAACATTTTTAGCAATCAAAATATATTTCATAATTATGAACTATAAATTGTGGCTTAAATATAAATATTTTTTTTATATGGATAGAAAATCCAGAAAGATGTAGAACAACAACAAGAAGTTGTTAATTCACTTTCTAATATGGTGGTTGTGGTAGATGAAAATTGTACAGATAATGGTATGATATTGAATTTTGTTTTTTTTATTTATAAAGAAATAGAGAAAAATATTACTTTGTTTAATGAAAAGTTATTAAAAATTCATAAAAATAAAATTTTTTTATATTTTAAAATTTAAATAAAAAACTAAAAAGACGTTAGTTTATTTGCACTTAATTAATTAATTAAAATTTAAATTATTTAGAAATCTTATGGTAAATTTTTATCCTGTTAATTTCTTGTTGTTATAAGTTTTTGTTGGGAATATGATTTACAATTTTTCAAAAATAATAATTAGAAACTTAGATTTTAATCATTATAATTCTCAGTATAATTTTCATTATTATATGATTATTCCTTACATTATTCAAATCAAATTAATTTGAAAAAGAACATAATGAAACTTTTTATTTTGGCAGAATTTAATTTTAGTAATACTGTGGTGAGATAAAATTTGAAAAATGCCATTAGTTACTTCTATTTGCTGATAATGTTGTAACTTAATATTGTTTATTATTCTGATTTTAATATTGTAAATTGGAAAAAACTTTATTTAATTCAAATCTAAACCACCAGTAGCAGACAATAGTTACACTATACATCACACTGTAGTTGTCTATGAATGCAGACAAATAATTCATGTACATCTTTTTTGACATGTTTACTATCTCAAATAACATTAGTTTTTAGCTTTAAACTTTTGTTGTGATCTCAATCATCAATAATGTTTGGGTGTCCTGGCTGTTGATGACCTTACTCAAATTCTCCTCATATCTCTCAGCCTCAAATACATCTTTCACTTCTACTACTATTTTTAGAGCTTCCAGGAACAACCTTGTGTTACATTTTCCTATCTTCAAATTCTTCTGCTTTTTAATTCACTTTTCCAATGATTTCAGAAATACCATGTTTAATGTTCATACTATTCCATTCTGCTCCCTCTTCCAACAAAATTTTGTACACTCCAGTTGTTTACTTTTCTACTATGCAATGAAAAATATTTCATAGTAGATCAAAAACTATCTTGTTTTTTTTTAAATGTAATCTTCTTTCATGCCTGTTCCTCTAACTTTTTTAAAAAAAACCTTTTTCCTCATTTATTGTTATAATGCATGGAAACTAGTAACATTCCTCGATTTCACTTCTTTGTCCTGTAAAGTTTTTTTGATCTTCTTGAAGCTTCTACTAAATCATCTGCATTCATAGTTGAGTTTCTGGTCATTTTCCTAATTCTGCTAAGTTCAAGTGAAATTTTTATTTGCCAGGTACTTTTGTCAGAACAGCATTCAGATGAATTTGTAGAACTATTTAAAATGTTTATCTTGTGTTATACATGTGTTTCAAAATATCTGTCCAGGAATACAAAGATGAATATCTGATTAGATTGCTTGAGCTCAATATGAATAATTTAGTTATATCATTTTAAATTTTCCTTTAAAAAATAATTACATGTCTATTCCTTTTTGAGGTTCATTTACAATTTTACCTGTGCTTTACATCATTACACCAATTACCAATCAGATGATGCCTTCACAATATTTAAAAATCAATGTTTGAATTTTTGTTCTACTTCTGAACACTACTGTTAACAATAATAGCTTAAAGCTATTGAAACTTTTTTCATTAAATGTCTCATGAATTTTTGCTGGAGTTTTGGTTTTACTGGTGTTTCTATATTTTCCAATTTTTTATTATCATTGATTTTTCTAAAAAAAATATTTAGGACTGATTGTAACCTTTTTGGTTATGCATACAATCTTCAGCAGTTGGGGTGAAAAATATAATCCTTTCTCAATGGAAAAATTCTTTTCCAAAAAATGGAAGCAGATAGAATCAATATTTTTTGCATTAGAATTCTAATACTAAGTAAATTTAGTAAGAAAGTTTATTTTTATTCTTAACATAAACCTAAGGATTAAATATCAATTACAATTGAATGTGTAATAAGTATGAAAGTAAAACATCTTATGATGACAGATCATAAGATCAAGTAAGACTCAAATTAACTGGATTAAGTAAATTTTAACAACTTTTATAATAAAATTAAAATATAATTATAATTTTATAATGGATGTTGATAGTAATATAATGTTTTTAAAATCTCTTTTTATTTGTTGGAATAGGAACTGAGATTTATTTTAAAATAGATATTGGGGTATGTCTGTAGTATAGATTTGTTTTAGATGAGAACTTGCATTTTTTTTGTATTTCTTTTTATTTAACGATTTTTGTAAATTAATCACATTGTGCTTGTAGTCTGTGAGCAAGTTTTTAATGGGATATGATATTTGAATTATTTTTACTAATTGTGTAATTTTATTATATTTGCTTTTAGTTATCAATGATAATTATTATCTTTTAAAATGTGCTTTGTATAATTTTGTGTGTTTAAAATTTGATATTATTATTATTACTGTTATTAATACATTTATGAAGAATTTTTTATAACACTAACAATTATTATTATTATCTAGTTTATGCAGCATTAGAAGATCAATTAGCAGCCTTAGGAGAAAGATGGGCTCATGTTTGTCGTTGGGTAGAAGAAAGAAGTAATAAACTTCAATCAATTACACCTGCTTGGCAACAATTAGAAGAAGAAGAATCATGTTTTGTTCAGTGGTTGCAATGTAAAGAACAGCAGTTATGTGATATGGAACATTCAAATTCTTCTGATTCATCTGTAATTCTTGATCATGTAAAACAGCTGCAAGTAAATATCTTTAGTTATAAAAATTTTGTAGTTTTATTAGAAAGTTTAATAAAATATATTGTGTTATCTTTTCTGTGAAAAGGGCTATAGTATTTACACATGAATTGACACTATTCATATATTTATCATAGCCCAATTTCCAAAGATAATTTTAAAAAAAAAGTAATTTTGCTAGATATTTTTAATTGAATTAAAATTAAAAATTAATTTTAAAGTAATAAGTATAATCTTATTTTTAACCAGAATGATAGCTTAGATAACAGAATAGAAATGAACCATTAAAATTTATATTTATTTTCAGTAAGAAATTATTGTAGAAAATGCATTTGAGTTCTTAATCTTTATTTTTGCATATGTATTTTGTTAAGCTTCACAATACTTTAAGTAATATACAGTATTTTAATAAATAAAATAACAGTGAGTCTTGTTAATATCAAATATGAATAAAAATAATTTACATTATTGCTACAAATATATTAAGATTGTTTTTGTTTTAAAAATGTGTAGTTTAAAGAAATCTAATAGGAGTTAAATTGAATCAACAGACAAAAAATGCATTTTTTGCAATAATCTATTAATAAAATTTATTTTTCCGTTTTAATTTTTATGTTTATAAATCTTTTAGTCCATTAAATAAATTATTTATAACTCACAATAATCATTTTTTTATTCTTAAAAATCATGATTTGTTTTATACATATGCAGTAATTTCCTTTCAGTATTAATTCAAATACTTGTCTTTTAAAATAAAAAAATACATGGTAAAATGCAAAAATATTTTTCTGTTATATTTAAATTAAAAAACAATTATTTAAATAAATCACATTATTAAAAATAAAATTTATCACTTTTATGCTTTATTAGTATTAGTAATTTAAGAATATTAAATATTTTCATTTTTCAGTTAATTATTATGTTTGAATTAAAAAAAATTATTTATTTTTCAGTAGAAGTTTATAAATAAATTATTATTTTATAAAAGACAGCTTTTTAGATTAAAAGAAATCATTGAACTTTTGCATGCCTACCTCAACATTTTAATTATTAATTTAATATTGAAATTTATTTGAGTATAAAACTTCACTTTTTTATTGTTTAATTGTTAAATTAATTACAATGATCTTGTTGCTCTGCAGAAAACTTCATTTAATTATAAAATGAAATATTTATATTTAATCATATATTACATTAATTGAATATAAATTTAGTATTTTTAATTAATTGAAATAAGCATATAACCTTATTAAATATTTGGTAAAATAAATCAGTAATATTTTTTGATTTTGCATTTTGTTTTTTTTTGTTTTTTTTTTGTTTTTTTTATACAGAGGCAAATTAATTAATTACTATTTACAAAAACTTTGGAAAATATTAAAATTAATTTTTGTTAAAGAAAAACAAGTTAAGAAATGCAGTATATATATCTCGAAAAATCATTTACTAACATAAACATATCTGTTAAACAATTTGAAAATCCAAAGATTTTCTTACTTTGAGTTTTCAATTTGAATGTTAAGAATTTGAATTGTTCAAAATTCAAACAATTTTATAGAATATAAAATCATAATGTTCAGTCTAACAACCTTTTATACCTTGAGAATGATTTCTCTACATCACAAGATGTAATTGGGCATACATAAGAGATGCTATTTTCCTAGAACTTAAATGAAAAGTTCCTTGGATATTGCTTCACTCAAAATCACATCATTTATACTGCAAGTAGTTTTTCATCTGAGATTCCTATCTAGCATATTTTTTAATTTCTCTTTCAAAGTGGCTCCTACACATCCAAGTAGACTACTGATCAAATATTACCTCATGTTTTTGGCTCCATATTATTATCTGTATAAAATGCTTACTTTCAGGTAGCCAACTGATTAAATTTTTCACAAAGGAATGCTTTTTTGTCCTGTTTTAGGACAGCTTCAGGTAGGAAATTGACTTGTGTATGTTAAGAAGCTGAAGTATGTTCCTTCATAAAAAATTTAAATAGTTGGCTACTTAAAAGTAAGCATTTTATACAATACATATAATAGACTAATAATTTTGTTAATTGCCAAGTTGACTGTATTTAATGATTCATTGAGATGAAGTCGCCCTTCCAACTTAGTAATCATGTCTTTAAGAAAACACAAATTGGTTTTAATATAGGCAAGTTTTTGCTTGATGATATTACTTTCAAGACACTCTAGAACTTCTTAAAAGCATAACATTCTCAGGATTAAAAGTTTTGACAACTTGGTGTGCATTGTGAATATTGTCAGCATAATAGATGGAATCCAATATCCAGGTACCCTAACATATTAGTACATGGGCTTTGATGGACTAGTCATATTTGGAAACATTCTTAAAAATGTCTGTCATTCTTTTTGGAGCTTTTATGAAGACTTTTATGCAGTTGATAATCTATCTATTGGTACCAGGAAACATCACACAAATAGTTTCACAAATTCTGCTAAATGAATGTTCTTATATGGAACATTTTGATATAAAACATTTTCAGCACAATAGTTGCTTTGAGCATATAGCTGTGGCTACATATAGCAATAACAGATATGAAAAGGAGCACTCTGTCATAAGGTGTGCTGTTTGGACACAAAAGTTTTAGTTCATAATTTATGCATTTCACAGTAGTTAAATGGTTGCTTCTGTGAACATAGCATAAAGCAAATATGTATTTTTAGTTGCCACATCTGCACTATCAAGCAAGTTAACTATTACAAGGTGCATCTGTGGTTTCATCAATGTATTAATACAAAATTTTTTTTCCTTCAATGTTTGTTCTGATTGTATTGATGGTTTTATTGTATGTAGGTTGTTGCAAATGAAATGAATGTTTATTAATTTAATTTAAAACTTACATATTCAATCAAAATTGTCTCCATCAACATTAATAAACTTTTCCCAATGCAATAGAAATGCATTAATGCCAGTTGGATAGAAATCACAAAAATGAGAAGTCAAAATTCATTAAAAGTACTTTTTATTGCATCCTCTTCCTTGAAGACTTTCCTTGCAAAATACTGTCAAAATGTATAAAAAAGTGATAGTCTGGAGAATAAGGTGAATGGGGAAGAATTTCATTTGAATACTTTCATTTTTGTGATGAATAGTTAAAGAACTTCATACCTCCAAATGATGCTCCTTATATCTCTTACTGAGTTTGTGTGGTACCCATTTGTTGATCTTCTTGACTTTCCCTAATACAGTAGAACCTCGATTATCCGACCCAATTGGGGACTGGGGTTGGTCGGATAATTGAAAAGTCGGATAACCGAAAAGTATGAAAAAATCCATTATTAGTGTAGTATATTATTATATCCCAGGTAATTAGTATATTAGCATATCGCTATTAATCTACTTCATCGATGTTAAGCCTAACAAAAATTTTTTAAAATAATAATCGTCGCTATTGTATCGTTAAAAATTAGAAAATTAAGCNNNNTTTCATCGATGTTAAGCCTAACAAAAATTTTTTAAAATAATAATCGTCGCTATTGTATCGTTAAAAATTAGAAAATTAAGCCTCGTTTAAATACTAGCTCCCTTTCATGGTCGAATGAGGATTGCCAGCTAAACACGTAAAAATAATATTAAAGTAGCCAAGACATGGCCAAATATTGTAGCGCCACATCACTAGCGGACATTTGAAATTTGCCGACTAGGACGGTTGGTTAACCGAGGTGTCGGTTAATCGGGGGTCGGATAATCGAGGCTCTACTGTATGTTTAAATGTTGAGAAATGGTTGAATAATGTCCAGTATGTTCAACCTTTCTACAATTTCCTGGACAGTCAGGTGATGTTCTGATTCGATGATGTTCTTCAATTCTGATTTTTTAGATCTGTATTCTTGGAATAAAATTTTTTGAACCAATTCCTGGTGGTGTGCTCACTCACAGAACCTTTGCCAAAAGTTTTATTGGTATTTCAGGTTGCTTTGGCTACATTATGTCCCTGATTATACTCATAAAATAAAATTATTACACATACTTGAATTGGCCCACTTGGTGTTTTATAGTTCTGTATTTGAATTTAATGGTATTATATACACACAGAGTAGAGGTGTTCCCATGGGCAGTCCGGCTTTCAGGGACCTCTGTGAAATGTGGTCAAATAATTGGAAAACAGGATCCTACCATGCTTCCCCCACAATATATTCCTGTACAAAAGATACATAGATGACATCATTATTTTCTGGAGGACAGCACTAAATCTAATATAGTTTGTTGATGCAATGAACGACAATCCATATGGGCTGTTCATTGAGGTGGAACAACAAAGCTCCACCAGGATCCACTTCTTGGACATAGATATCACGATTGAAGGGTTGGACATATGCACGTATGTTTATCATAAACCAAATGCTATCTCCACTTATATTCCAATTGGGTCATGTGATCCTTTTCCATACAAGATAGCAGCATTCAGGGCTTTGGTTAGGAGAGTGTTCAGGCATTCTTCCACTCCACAAGCACTAGCACAGGAAGTAAGAAATATAGAAGAGATAGCCATGACCCATGGTTACAACAACCTTATACATTATGTGAATGCCACAGATGTACGCAAGAAGCATCCACCAGTTCACAGAAATACTGAAAGATAAACATGAAGAGGATAAGGAGAGGATACCCTCACTTTTAACCTTCATTTAAAATCATTGTACACCACAATTGCCAAGAGTTGTCGAGTCAATATTGCCTATAGGAGATGCCCATCCATTTTCAACATACTGCATAATGGAAAAGACCATCTTAGGTGTTTATAGCATCCCTATTAGAGATGAAAGATGGGATAGGGAATAGCTGTATGTTGGCTCCACCAAATGCTCAATGGGGGTTCATATAAATTTAATAAAGAAACATAAATCTGGCATTGACATAATAGGGTTACAACAGCCCTCTCCACTTATGCAATGGACTCAGATATTATGGCGGACTTTTCTGGAGCCCATATTATCCTTACCACCCACACCCAGAACATCTTAAATGGTTGGAGGGAATTGAAATTTTTAAGGCAGGATGCAGGACTACCTGCATTAATTTTAAAGAGGAGATGTGCCTTTTGATGGTATGGCAGGTCCTACTTGACAATAATATTTAATTTGCAATCATATTGAAAGTGGAACGCATGCGCATTTGAACTCATCATATTGTTCAATATTATTTAAACATTTTGGAATGCATTCATATGTTGTATCCCAAATTGAATACCATTAGATAGATATTCAAAAGTTAACAGCCAGCTTGTTTGAATAAATAAATAAAAAAAAGAAGCGTGAGGAAGAACCCAGAATGGACTTTGAAAACATTCACAAATATCAATCTTTTGCACTCTGGTTAATTGGTTATTGTGAGTTGTTCTCTTTTTATATATTCATCCTGGTGTGGTGCAGTTAGGTAAAAAATATGAAGTGTTAATTGTAAAAATATTTAAAGGAATCATAAGATTATATAGTTCAAATAAATGTTCAAAAACCTTAAAATCCAGCAATATATTTATTTAACAATGTTTATGGTATTTTAAAAGTCATATTTGGATTTTATTCCAATATATGTATTCTGATTATTCTGTATTAATGCAACCTTAAAATACAGGTTTTTCAAAAAGCTGAAAACATTTATTAAATAAATAAATTATTAAATTTTAGTATGTGAACGTTTTTTCATGACTTAACAGAAAAGTGTAGAGTATTCTTCATTTTTAGAAGTTGCAAAATCTATTTAGAATGTAAGTCAGGTGCCAGTTTTAATGAAATTATATTGATATAATGTTATTAAAAGTTCTGTGTTTCATAAATGTAGAAAACTGTTGGTTTACTGATGGTGATAGCATAATTATGACACACTAAATTTCATAAAACTACCATTACTAGATATTTATAGAAAGAAACTTCTAAAAGAGAGATTTCTGTCAGCCTCCTGAAAGATATGTCAAATCAGAACAAATCATCTTTGGTTTCATTAGATTACTATTACATCTGTTGTATTGCAAAAATTCAAAAGTTTTTAACGTAAACACATAAATAACAAAGACATTATCTCTAATTTTTATACTTCAGATAATGCTATTCTGCCAGACCATTTTTAAAACTTTTTTAATACTCATTTTCTCTTACATTATTGATTTGCCATATGCCAAGAAGAGTATCATATTTAGAACAAATTAGAACAAAGAATTTTGAAAGTTGTTGGTTCTAATTTGTTTAAGGAGTTTTTTAAGCAATTCAGAAGCAACAGCATTAATCTGTAAGGATGGACTATAAAAGTATGAAAGCACTTGGAATTTGTTTGTGATGTTAAATATTATACTTCAATAAAGTAATTGTTTTGATTTGTTCTAAAACTATTGTTTTAATTTTAAAACAAAAAACAAAATAACAATTATAATCATTCTCAGATTCTATTAAGAATAACAACATTACATAACATAAGAATATCACTCATATAGTCTTATTTATATTTTTGTATTCACTTGTTACTAGTTATACTTTATTTGATATTAGTTCTTTTGGAATTTTATTAAATGTATTATTGATGTAAAACAGCATAAAATTTTTAATGAAATCACTTATTTAAAATAGTTATCATCATTCCATGCATATAAGTGCATGCTCTTATAGATGGGGCAAAATACCTTAAATAATTCTATTTTTGAAAACTTTTATAGTATTGGAAGCAGTTTTTTTTTTGCTTTTTATTTTTAATGGTTAACCCAGGTTTCACTAAATATACTATATCAGTACATTTATATTTAATTTACCTTGACACAGTAGTGCAGTGCTCTTATAAGCAGCTCAAAACAAGCTGGCACACAAGAGTATGCTCATATATGTGAGGTATGCTCATATAAGCACAGCAGTAAATGTTTTAAAAATTCAAAAACATGCAATTTTCACATAAAAGAGCATGCTCTTATTTGTGTGGAAATATGGTAAGAATATGCCAATTTTATTTTAATGATATTTATGCTAATATTTCAAAAAATAAGGTTATGTGAATTAATTTTATAAAATATTAGTCAATGTAATTTATAATTATTTCTTTATTAATTTATCCAGTATAATTAAAATTATGCTATAACCATTGTCAGTTATAGCATAACAATTTGACCTAGAAGGCACCTAACGTCTCCCTCTAAGGTCAAATTGTTTGGGTAATTTATTATTAATGTAGCTGTTATATATATATATAGCCTGATGGCATATGGCACTGGTTGGCTTTGACTTCTAACATTTATTACAAGTATAATTATTTAATCTGATATTACAAGAAATAAAAATGTTGCATTATGTTGCCTTTTTGTCATGAACATTGTTTTTAGACAATACATGAATAGTAGGGACAGGCAATATTGCCATGTCTGACAGTTTATTACCAAATTTCAAGCCAATTGGTGATATGACAATGATTTTTTTATGTGCTGATTTTTTTAATGCCTATGATAAATTTTTAAAAAAATCCTGTAAACTGCAGGACTACATTATATTGAAGACAGGCACAAAAATAGGCATCTTAAAAGTCCTGTTGAATTCACACAGAATCATGTAAAAACATTAAAAGCTTTACCAGAGGCTCTTTTTATCCATCTTTCAATCGTAATTATTACTATGATCAGCTTTTGGTATACAAAATTTAACATCTACATCCATATCAATATTTTTCAAATTAAAGTACTTTTTGTTACTTTAAAGCTAAATCTACAATTTTTAATTTTAAAGATATGGTTTTTAGCTAAATATGGGGTAATTTTGGTGAAATAACTAGTAACGTTTATTTTTGTTTACTTCATTTTTATGCAATAGATAAATAAATAATAAAATTCTAGTTGATTTTAAAAATAAAATACCTTCTTTATTCATCTAATCTGCAATGGAAAGATTTTAGATAATTTTGCAAAGTGAAATCCTAAATTATATTCTTGCTTTATTCAAATTGTTCTTGCTTCAGCTATCCATTTTTGGATAATATTAATGTTATTCACTTGTGACTTGGATAAACCATGCTTTATATGGGCAAAGTTCAAAATTTATTGATTGTTATTTGCTTTAACCAAAAGACTTGGATAAAGTTACCATTAGCCAGTTAATCCTAATTTTATCCAATTCATGAATTTTATAGCTGTAATGTGTATAATAATTATATTTTGTGTACATTAGAACATTATTATTTGAAGTTGAATATGCAAATAATATGATGATTTTTTAAATGTACTTTGAGATTAGGCATTCACAAAATAGTTTAAAAACTCTGTCATGCAGTATATCTGTTACATATATCAGTGATACATCATGGCAGTTAAATGTTGGGATAGGAAAACATTGAAAATTTATAGTATATATTTATATTTATTTTATATTAATTTATTTAATATTATCTTTGAATCAGTTTTTCTTATTTGAAGATTACAAAAATGCTTAATAATGCAGTTAATTAAAAAAGAATTTATTTTGGGATCTGTTTCAGAGTTTAAATTTTTTCTATAAATATTTTTATAGAGTATTGAAAAGGATATGGATATTCAACACAAACTTCTTAATCAGATAACAGAAAGAGCTCAACGAATTATGGCAAATTTAGAAAGTGGTTGCTTAGCTGTGATGGAAATAACTCATAAATTAGAAAAATTAGCCCATCGTTGGGATAATTTAATACAACAAATGGAAAATTTAAGTAAAAAAGTAAGTGTAAAATTAAAGTTATTGATATATAAATTAAAATTTTTCAAATAAGTTATTATTGAAAAGCTAAATCATATTATTCAATTATTATATGGACCGTTTATTTTGAAAGTGGTATAAGTCCATTTTTTCTTCTTTCAAGATATTTAAATATTTGCATTTTAGTTGATTCAAAAATATAAATAAAGTGTACTAAGTTTGACAATGTTTTTATGACTTTAGAAATATGTAAGTTGATTGCATAAAGACTTCTATGTGAATTTAACTAAACTAATATATTTTTTCTGGACCATAAATGGACTTACACCACTTTCATAATTATTGAACTGTAAAATTCATTAAATTTCTATTATGTAAAACTCAATTTCACTTGAAACACATTGTGTTTTATTCTGATTTTGTTCATATATAATAACAAGAAATAAAATAGTATAGTTTATTCTGAATATTAAAATATATACTTATTGTTAAATTATTTTATGATAAGTTTATCATTATTATGAGCTTACAGACTCTATTATTACTTATTAAACTATTTTATGAGTTAATCATTATTATGAGACATTGCTTTTCATTTAGATTCATTACATGGATTTTTTCCATTCCATCAAATTGTACATTTGCTGGTAATATTTATAGTTTTACTCCTCTGTTGTAAGGGGCTGTCTTTAAATGATGTCCACATTAAAAGGGAGGAAGGGGTTAATGCTATTTTATCTTCTTACATGACTGTATTGTCATATCAGCATTCTTATTTCAATAACAAACACTTAACCATTAAATATGCAGTAACTAACATTTACTAATCATCTAATGTTTTTGGTTCTTCAGGAAATACATAAAATTAAAAAGTTTTACAAAAGAACAAAGCCATTAATTCCAAAAATAGAAGCTTATAGAAACTGTTTTTGGAATATGAATAGTTTTGTTCTTTTGTACTATCGCAATAACAAACACTTAACCATTAAGGTTAAGTGTTTGTTATTGTGATAGGGCAGTTAAGGAAAAGATTAAGGATTCTTATTTCAACAAAAAATTAAAAACCATATGATTATATTGATATGCTTTACAACTTTAAATTTTTATCTAATATACATTTTAAAAATTTTTTTATCTTTGAATCTGTATTAAGGTTAAATGCTGAATTGTTTCTATTTTTCATTAAAAAATCAATTGAGGTATTTTGGAAAAATGCACATTCATTATGAAGTATAATTTATTTGAAACTTAATTTAAAATGATAAGACTACTTATATGAATAGCATAATATATTGACAACAAATTTGTAAGGTTAAATAGTAATGAGGATGCCTTGTTTAATAGTGAATCCTAGAACAAACTCTCAACGTGAAGTTTAACCAATAGCTGTTTGGAACTTTGCCAACTTTTTTTCATTTTATTAAACAAACTCTGTCTTGATTTTGCATACCATTCATTAGCATAGACCAGTGGTCTCCAAAGTGGGGTATGCAAAGTTATACTTGGGGGTATGTCAAGTTTCCCTTCAAATACTGTATGTGTGTCCTGTTCGCAGTTTGTCTAATCTTACAGTCATCCTGTCGAAGAAGTAGGCTCATGATCACTTGTAATCATACATAGAAAAAATTCAAATTGCTGGTAGTGGGAAATTTAGCAGGAATTATGTATTTATAACAGAAAGTTAGCAAATTTTTCTATATTATATTATATTATATATTATATATTATGGGGGTACAACTTATAATTATTTTCGTCTTAGGGGTATGCAATCAAAAAAGTTTGGAGATCATTGGCACTGACCATTTTTTATGATAAGGCAAAAATTGTTCAATTAAAGTTAGAGTACTGTACATTTGGAAGGTTGTTTTCTTTGGGCATGAAATTGATATCCAAGTTAATCATCTTTGCTCAAGTCTAATGCATAGTGAGCAGTGGCCAGATTAGACCAAAAAATGCATCCTTGTTGTTTAGATACTGTAGTACTTTTGCTGTAAGGGACCAATCTCTTCATTTATTCAGTAATATAAGTTTTATGGTTTATGGCTACTTTTGACTCCATGAAAAATGGCTCTAATGGTCTTTTTGGTTTGACTGTAAGGCCTGTAACTTTTATCCAAATTTTGCCTTGCATACAATTTCTTCTGTCATTGAGTATTTCTTCTTCATTTACAAAGTAAGTTTTAGGATGTATGTCATCCATGATTACATAAACTGTGAAAGGAGCATTTCTGGTGACTTCAAAGAGAATGGACAGGTGCTGCTGTTACCATCATTTTTAAACTGGATTTGTTTCTGATGCAAACTTTTGTCTTCTCACCACATATCCCATGACAAGCACTATACTTTTCACAGTTTTGTCTGATACACCTTTTCTTTTGGCCAATGAATTGAAACAGACCAACTTTGATATTGACAGCATGAATTTGACTTTCTTGTCCAATTGCACCCAAACTTAGCTTTTTACTGCTGTCACAATCTTTTCTAGTTTATCCAGGATCTTGTAAACTCACCTTTGTTTAAACCTGTAGTCACAAAATGTCTAATTGTAATGCACTATTCAATAGCCCAGAAAAAACCTAATGAAATAGCATTACACAAAGAACAACAAAAAATGAGGGTTTGTTGGTTGCCAGGCCTGGACATTGAAAATGGACAAAATAACATGAACAGATTAGTTTGAAATACAATTAGTGTAGCAAATGTCCCAAATTAATTGACTATGCATCAATGAAAAACAAAATATCTTAAGAGCAAACAAACTATTTACAAGAGATTATTATCATTAATGAATTTTCATGTTTTTTACTAGTTCTGAATTTTATACTTTTTGTATAAAATTCAGAACTATAATTAATCCAATTCAAAACAAAATCACAACAAATGTTTACAAACTTTCAACAATTGAGGTACTTAACTCTAACTTAAAATTTAACTCTTTACAAAAACCAACAGAGTAAAGCAGAACTTTATTAATAACAACCAATGAAAATTATTATGATTTAAACTGCCAAACCATCAACCAAAAACTCCAGGAAATCCTTTTCTTCACTTGTGTTCAGAAGTTTCACCTCATCATCTTCATTGTTGCTGGGATTTTATACAACTTGGTGTGACATCACAATTAGCTATGCCACTCTAATGTATTTAAATACTTCTGCACTAACTGTTGATTTTGAATATAATATAATTCTGTCCTGAAGAGATCATTTAAGATGACTGAAAACATTTGAGAATTAAAATTGTACTGCATGTTAAAGGTCTGAGTAGTAGTACTGTAGTTTAGTACATGTGCAGTTTCAGAGAAGTGTCATCTTGTGGAATTGATTTTATTTTTATTGTTAATTTTTATTTATTTGATTTTATTATAAATTTGAAATTAGAATAATAATCCTGGACTGAGCAGCTTTGTTAGGAAGTTAGTTTTGTTTTGGATTTTTGAGCACTAATGGTGCAAACCTGAGTTATAGTTAAACATGAATAAACATGAGTTATTTGTTATATAGTGTGTATACATTGCCCTTACAATATCATATAATATTTAATTGTTATATCATGCCATTAATGAGTGTGACTGATTGTTTGGACTTGAAAATAAATTTTTTATATTCCAGTTTTGGCTGTTGTAAGTGTAAAGGTCATAAATTGGGGACTAACTGTATTTTGTTATCTCACTTTAAAATGAATTATTTAATTTCTTTTCTAGATTTAAATATTTCTTTTTAATTATTAAATTCCTTACAAATTACTTCAATTCATTTTTGGTGCACATAATCATTTAATTGCTTTTTTCAGTTAAATGACAATGTGAACTTGTTCAGATTATATGACAATGAATCTTCTTGTTAATGAAAAGTTGCATCTGTAGATTATACACTGTGTGGATTATAGATAGGAAATTACAATATTTTAAATGAAATGGAGAGTGGGAAAATTCATCATACAAATTCAAATCTGTAATCAATGACATTGTAGCTAGGAAATAATATACTTGTTAGTGCAAAACAGAGTTGTTAGTATCTAAGTATAAAATTTGTTATTTTTAATTTATAACTAGTGAGTTAATCAGATTAAATTTTGTTTTAAAATATATTAAAATTCAGTATTTTAATGTTTTGTTATTATTTAAAAATTTTTATTTGTTATTTTAATTTTTAGTATGCAAGACATGAAGCAACACGTGATCTTGAAACAATGAAAACTATTTCAGTCATCAATCAATACAGAAAACATGTATCAAATAAACATGAAGATAATTTAAGTTTCCTATCATCACATGAAGTAAGTCTTAAATTGCTTAATTTCTTAGAGTACTTAAATAGTATTCTTTGATTAATGCATAAGAATATTGTTATTGTTTTAATAAGAAATATTTAATATTTTATTGCAGAAGTTATTTTAATATAATATGAACATAAGTATTAAAAATATTTTTTTAAACAATAAGAAATATTTATGATTGAAATTAATGTATTATTTAAAAATATATTCATTTCTATTTCAAAGACTTCATGAAGACATGATTTTAGAATTTTTCTTCTTTAAGTATAATTGCCAATAGTATTTATTAAACATTCCTTGTTTTCACCCTAGAAGAGTTAAGACAGAAATTTAAGTAGTCTTATTTTCAAAATGAATTTTGACCATTGTTTTGGTTCTCTTCATTCTAAAAATTAATTGAAGATTTTCTGCAATTAACAATATACTACATTTTACAGTAGAGATCAATGCTAAAAAAGTCTTGTAACTTACCAAGAGAGTGATGCAAATTATAAAATTCTCTTAGATATAAGAAAAATTCTTTTAAACACAAAAAATAATTTAAACTTGTTAAAATAAAATGTATATTGTTTGTTAGTGCTTTCAGTATCTTTATAGTATCATCATCAGACATTTATATTATAAGAGAATAAAGGAATTTTTAAGTTAAAAATGCTTGATTTTTCTGAAATACATTTGCTTAATTACTTTGTAATTCATAAAATAATAGACAATATTTTTATATTATTAGCAATTTGTATAATTAATATTAAAATATTGTATATGGTATCCATCAAATCTAACTAATATATATTTTCATCTACTCTTTGCTCTGTCTCACACTATCACTCACTCATTTTCTGCTGTTCATCATGTGTACTGTTGCTTTTAATAACACAACTGGGCAGTAAGAAATTTTAGCTAATTGGCTATTTGATGAGTCAACATAATTCAAGAAACAAATGTAACTTATTTTTTAAATTAGTGACAAGATCAAATTTATTCTGCAAGTAACTATAATTATTCTGTAGTTTAAATGGTAACTTGTACAAGTGGCCTACATTTGAATAATAACAGTCTTCAAATAGTAGCCATATCTACTATTTAGGATGGTTATTATTTGAATAAGGCCACTAATATTTGAGGATTTCTGAAAACTTGGGAAACAATGTAAAATTAATAAATAGCATGAATTGCTATAGGTAGATATCATATTTATTTATTTAACAAATTTTAATAAAAAAAAATATGTAAAATATACAATATACAATAGGTTTATTTTTTAAATACTTACTTATTATTGGTATATGAAAGGTAACACTCATTATAAAGAAAGATATCAGTTGCCATTTCAATTATAATTTGTTTTAAAAATCAAACTTTCATAAATAAATATTTAAATACTTTATTAACAGTGGACATCAGTTATATGCAAAGAAAATAATAATTGCCTTCTAATAGTAACCATTTTCGAACAGTAACTACAAAGAAAATATATAATTTAAAATAGTAGCCACAACTATAGTTGAGTTGTACATTAGACACACATGGAATTAGGACAACACTAGAAGAAAATGTGACCAACATTACTAATGAATAAACATCACTATCCAAAATATGTCATAGAAAGATCATTTTTTCTCATACAAAGATACTACAAGTCCTTGTTGACATAAAAAGATCTCTTACAAACAAATATAGTCACTGCAAAGTTGTGAAAAAAGAACATCACAATTACATAAAGTGATAATTCTAGCAGGCAGAATTAATTCAACACTAAAACTTCATAAAACTAGTCTGGACAAAACATAATACATGAAAAATATAGATATTGATAAATACTTGTAAATACAGAAAGAGCTCCATAACTGATATCCATATGATCTTAGTCAGAATTTTGTTGACAAAATTGTATCAGACTACTGGCTGGCTCAGAGGTACCGTTTTTCAGATGCTGAAGGGTTCAGGATTATCATACAAGATCATACACATAAGCATAAAAGAATATAGGAAGTATATAACACTTACAGATGGCACATGTAAAAGATATCATATCATTTCAGAAATAATATAATAGAGTGCAAACATATAGCACACATGGATTATTTACATAGATATAATCAAATAACAAGCATAATACATCACCCATTTGCATGTAAACACAAATTAATACACACTCAACTATTATACTGCAAATACATGTCCACAGACAGTATATGTATTATAGTCAACAAACAATATCCACAAAACAGTCTATGACAGAAATATATTTACAGATAAATCACTCCATCAATACAGACCAGACATAACATTAATTGACAAAATAAAATCATATAAAACAAAGATATGTATACTCTATAACCAATATCCGACATGTAAGATAGTCATGAGGTTGTTCAGATAACTTATTTTTTGGGTAACTGATTATGTACGAAAAAATATATTAACCTATCCCGTGTTGAAATTTTTCTCCGTTGCGTGTTGCTTTGCATTGAATTTTCGTCAATGTTAAGCCTAATGTATACTTTTTAAAATAATAATTGTGGCTATTGTATGGTTAAAAATTATTTTTTTATTTCTTACAAACAAAAATAAATATATTGAAAAATATAAAAACCAAAAAATATATACTTTAGAAGATGATCTAGTTTCAAAAACGTTCGATTCAGCATGACACACAGTCCTCAGAAAACACCACACAAAAGTGCCAGTGCTGCCAGCTAAAAAACACACCAACAAAAAAAATATTGGAGTAGCCCAAGATATAGCCAAAGATTGCAGCACCACAGCACTAGTGAAAATTTAAATTTGCTGACTGGAATGTTTTTGGATAACCGACTTTCAGATAAACGATGCTGTACTGTATACAGAACTTGTCAAAGAAATAAATTACTTGTAGACTGTGGCGTACCATAGTGGGGGCGGCAAAATTACTTTTTGGGGGCGGAAAAATTTCACAATAAATAATAATAACATCTTGTAAAAATTTGAAACATCCTAAACTATACTTGCATCGTGCCTACGATAGTACTATTGTCTGGACAGTCCAGGAATTGGCTCGCCATCTGGGTGAACTAGTAATTTTTTCATCCAAGGAAATCCTGCAAAACTTGTTGACCCTTTTTTTTTTTGCTTGTACGATTCATTCGCATTCATATACACCACTAATATCCAATAGAACTATTTAAACAGGTTGCTGCACTACCACTGAATTTTTCATTGCTAGTTCTATGACAAAACTGAATTTTGGTCTTTTAAATTGAAATACCGAAATAAGGGGGCCGAAATTTTCCTCTGCCCCGGGCGGCTGACACCCATGGTATGCCACTGCTTGTAGAAAATAGATTATTTGCTCTAAAGTCCTCTTGTCATATATGTACACTTTTATGTGTATGTTATGATTAAATAATGTAAACATATTAACATATTACATTATGTTACATTGTAGAAAACAGCAATAATATATATGTGTCACATAGGAACTTTTTAAATACAGATAGACAGTAGAACCTGTCTATCTCAAACATGTTTATCTCAAAATTTATTTTTTTCCCTGCATTTTCAGAATAAATTTAATATATCATCCATGTTTACCTCAAATAATTTTCTTCCAAAATCTTTATATCTCAAATTATGGACTGAAGTGTCGATTACAAATTCAAATCTCAGTGACTACATTTTGATATCATAAATTGTAGTTGAAAAACATCGTTTGCAATATAGTACATAGTTTTAATTAATGCTGCTTTCCTCTGATTGGCTATAAGTTTGGCTTGTGTTTATTGGTTGAAGAAAGTCAGGCATCAGAAACTATTGACAAACTGTTTCTGTTAAGGTATGTCAAAAAAATCTTTTGTTAATACCTAATACAGGTATATATTGTACAGTACTTCCTATCGTATTAATAAAATACTGTATTGGCAATCAAATCTGTTACTGTTTACTGTGTAGGAATCTCCTTCTCTTGAAATTTTTTCTTGTTCCCATGAGATTTGAGGTAGACAGGTATAAATAAAATCAAAACCTTTAAGTAATCCAGCAAACCGTTTTTTAATATCTTAAAAACGCTTTCGAATGCTTTAAGCAATCATCCTCAGTTATCATTTTGAATCGAACGAAGAATTCGAAATTACGTAAAACAAAATTCAAAAAGCGGTTACATAAATGTACGTTAACATTTACCAAGTTTAAATAATTGCAAAAATTATACAAGTTAATTAAATCTAAACAAAGAAATAAAATAAAATATATACATTCAGTAAAAATTATCTTAATTATTCTTCCCTCTTACATAAACTACGTCAACTCATCATAGAAGGATTTCCATGCCGATGACAATCCGTCAGCATCCCTATGATTAATACAGTTTGTGTGCAACTGCGCCTTGTGAATTTCTAGTTTTTCCAGATGTTTTATGGCCTGCATGGATCTTGAAGCTTTAATGATCAACGCCCGATCCCAAAAGACTTTGATATTCTGTTGCTTGGCAAAGGCAGCAAGCACCATAGAGTCTACGTTTTTATTTACCGAGTGCTTATGTTCAGCAATTCTTTTCTTTAAGTTTCTCATGGTTGCTCCTATGTATACCAAATTAGAATTAAATCTACGGTCTTTTAATGGTATTGAGTATACCCCTGCCATCATGTTGCGTTCGTAACTGCCTTTATCGTTCCTTAAGAGCCTGTATACAGTGGGATTACGCTTGTAAACTATCTGTATGTTCTTATCTCTGGTAATTTTTTTAGACAGGTAGACAGGTTATACTGTATATACTGACAGTATAAAAACATTATAAAACTGTTTGTTTTTAGTAATTGCGCTTTGACTTTGGCCAGGTGTAGAACTTGGAATCTGTATCATTTTTGAGAAATAATGAAAAATGATAGTGTTTAAGTTAAAAATTATATTGAATATATTTTTATAATTCTTTCTAAAATATGTAAGTGTTTTAATAGGGTGGAGCAAAAAAACGACGTTTAGACAGTCTTCGTGTTAAAGAGTGGCAGCATAATCTGGAAACTTTGACACAATGGTTTGATAAAATTGAAGAAACCTTAGGTGTAACAGAAGAGGAACAGAATCATTTTCTGTGGGATAAGTTTCCTATTGATGAGCAACAATTATTATTACAGGTAAGAAGTGTTTATACAAATTAAATAAAAGTATTATCAGCTGAAAAATTTTATTTAAATATAGAATATTGAAAAAGAAATAACCTCTCATGAAGAAGAAGTGGAAATGGTTTTGAAACAAGGAAGACAAGTTATTGATGATTTGAAATCTGGTAAACAGTTTTTATTTTTTTTTATTTTGGATAATAAAATATTACAAATCATATAGTTCTGATTATTGAAAAAATATTACAACTGTATATTGATTAATTTAGTTATATGAAATTGTGTATTTCTATGAAACTGAACTGAAACTGTCATATAATTAAAATGTCATATTATTACATATATTATTACATAATTTTTTCATTAAAATCAAGGACTTGTAATTTGCATGGAAAATGAATAATTTATTAGCCCTTTAATGAGTGGGTTTACTAGTGGCTCCCTCTCCTTCCAGAGTTAATTTTTAAGCTAAGCACACTTCATTTTCTATTCTAACACAAACTAAGAATTGAGTTGAAGTGCTAGCAAGTCAAGTAATGTTTTATTGAGCCATCTATAACAATGTTGCTGTTGCAGCAGTAATGTCACTTGCATAAAAAGAATTTTTAAAAAATTGCATGCACTTGTGCTAGTGACCTTTATCTTGAAAACAAAATCATAGGCATCTGATTTTTATTAATTTTTAATTTTTTTGTCTCTTATTTTCTAAATTGACAAAGTTTGAGAACAAACTTAATTGTATGAGGCACATAAAAAAAGGCTTCATAGATACACCATCTCAAAAATGTAATGTATTTTTATAGAATGACCATCAGGCTGGTCTATCTGGGAAGATCACAAAATCAAATATTTCCATATGGTAAAAACTGGCATGCCAGTTTAGTGAGTTTATACATTCCTCTCTAGAAACCACATAAAAAAAAAAACAAATGAGTTACATCACATCAAAACAAACAAGTTTTTATTCTAAAACTGTAAAACTCAGAATTACATAAAAAACTACAATTATATGTTTAATTGTTTTGTTTTCTTTCTAATGATGTAAAATACTCCTAGAATTCCAAAAGTACTTTTTTATGTGTATTTTATTCTTGTTTGATTCAAAAATGCAATGGGTGTGAATACCAGATGTGTTTTTCAGTGGGATAGAGTATATCCTGGACTTTTCAAGTATGGAAGCAGCATCCCTGTCATTGCATAGCAGTCTCCTGAGATTTGGCTGCAGAGTGATGGGCAGAAATGGCTTGTGTTGTCTAAAATACAACAAATGTGGACAGTGATATCCTGCTGCATCTCCAAACATCAAAAATGCAAAAATAAACATATTAAATTTAAGAAACTGGCTGTAAATTATCTCAGCTTACACTGATTATCTTCAGCTTTATATGAAATTTGAGAGGAAGGTGCTATTTTTAAGATCAGAGCATCTACTCTGATCTTAATGTGGATTACACTGACCATCAATGTGGATTACACTGACCATGTAGTCAGTGTAATCCACATTGACTGACTGACTGACTTATCACTATTACTACTACTACTAATGTCAATAAGTTGTTAATTGTTTTATTGTTTGTAAATGAAAATGAAAACTCTTTTCCTTCTTTTAAGTTGATCAAATTACAATGTTGTTATTTTATTGTGTTCTGAAGAAGGTTTTCTTTAATTAATGTTTAATTAACAACTAGTTTTGTTAGATCTGACTAATTTTATATTTTAGTCTTAGTTTAACTGGCATATTGGTCATTCTGTGAAAATACAGTAAGATTTACAAAAATAATTATCTCATTTTTAAATGTGTATTTCTTAATAAACTAGGCAGTATTTTCTTTTTCCAGTTCTATTGTGTTGAATAGCTTTAATAATTCAGAAGGTGATAGCAAGTGTAAATGATGATTGGATGTCATGTTTGTCTTTACACTAGAAAATTCTAGGTTAAATCTCACAACTTACAAAAATAATGAGGAAAAAGTTGTCTAGACTTGTCAAGACTTGTCTTTAGCAGTCTGAAAAGCTTCAAATTTGTTTATAAATACACAAATATATGAGCATATTATAATGAGACAAACATGAATAAATAAATACGTACATACATACATACATACATACATACATACATACATACATACATGCATACTTACAGTAGAATCTCATTTTAACAAATTGTTTGGGCCATTGAAAATCATCTGTTGTTTCAAGAATTTGTTATGTTGCAAACAACAATTTCTCACACATCTGTAAATGTCTGTTGTTTGAAAAAATTTCCATTTTTTAACCCCCTACATATAAGAAATATCTTCTTTTTCTTCTTAGCGTTGTCCCACAGATGTAGAGTCCACTATTCAGATCTTCGAACGCCACTTTGTTCGATCAAGTGCATCATTTGGGTTCAGGTGCAGAGCCTTTAGGTCTGTGCTGATAGCATCTTGCTATTGTTGCTTTGGTCTTCTGCGTGGCTGTTGGCCATTCACCTCTAGGTGGTAGGCAATGTTGGCAACAGTATCCGGGGCTGATCGTCGGACATGGCCAAACCAGCACACGCATCTCTCTCTCATTTTTGTTTCAATGGATGCGATGCCAAATTGTTGGCGTATCATGTCATTAGTGATATGTCAAGGAGGGAAACACCAAGAGTTTTGCGAGCCATATGCATCTCCATGGAATGGAGACGCCATTTGGTTGTTCTTGTTGATGGCCAACATTTGGAACCATAGAGTGACAAGTCGTACCACAGTCCAATTTTAGGTACATGGACACCTTTTTGTCGCAGAGAACACCAGTGACTTCTCTCCATCATAGCCATGCTGCATTCACCCTTGCTTGTACCTCGTCATCAATGCCTCCGTTACTCTGTAGAGTTGAGCCAAAGTAGTGAAACGTGTGCATTTTATACAAGTTATCACCGTTGACTTGGATTGTGCCCTCATTTGGAAACATTTCAAGATATTTGGTTTTCTTGGTGTTAAGGTACAAGCCAAAACAACTCAAACAGTTGCTCCAGACCTGCATCTGGCACTGTAGCTCTTCTCAAGTGGTAGCTGCAAGCATGATGTCTTCAGCATAAAGCAGCATCCAAGGCACATCGCTCTGTATATTCTTTGTGATAGTGTCCATGATGAGAATGAATAACAATGGCGACAGTGTGGAGCCCTGATGAACGCCAACGTTCACTGGGAAATTGTCAGATGTACTGTACCAGCTGTGCACCTCGCTTGGCTGCTGGTATTTGTGTACAGCATTCTGACCCAGTCAACAAGGTCCTCAGCCCTACATATAAGAAATATCTGTGCTTGAAATTATTCAGTCTCTTGAGATCTTTTCTTTATTCTATAGAAACGCATAGTTACAAGGTTGCATATTATGTTGTACTGTACATGTGTGCAACAAAGCTGAAGGAAACTATATACTGTAAGCACAAAAACAGGCAAAGTATGTATGATCATTAGCATTTCAGTCAACTTCACAATTTGTTAAAATTCTCATCTATATTGATTTGTTTTGATTCTTCTTTTCTGACTATTGAATACAACAATTGCTTGATATTAGTAATTTCACATACAGTTTGTTTGTTTATGCTGAAACTTGTCAGGAAGGTCTTTATGACTGGAAAGACTCGATGAACTTGCTAAATTTTGACACTTCACTTGGACCAATGTCAGAATGTTTAACTAGGCAGCTCCTCCTCAGTTGTATCAGCCTGCTGACTCTCTTCATACAATTTTTCAATTGTATACTACATAAAATTGATAAACACTTAAAAACGATGCTAAATGAGTATTAATTAATAAATAAATAAACATATATATATTTATTAATTAATACTCATTTGGCATTGTTAATATTTGGGTGTTTCCAGGAATTTGTAGAGTTTGATGATGTGCTTGTTACATCTGGGATATGTACTGTACAGCACAATTAATAAACATTAATTGTGCTGTACAGTACATATCCCAGATGTAACAAGCACATCATCAAACTCTACAAATTTCTGGAAACACCCAAATATTAATTAAACATTGAAACATTGAAAAAATATAGTTTATAATAGGTAAGGGTAGGAAAATTTGTTATTTTGAGTTACAGATCCATTAAAAGGAAGTAAATTACATAGGTTTGGTAGGACCTGGGAAAAAATCTGTTATTCTGAGAAATTTGTTGTTTTGTGATTCATTAAAACAAGAATTTACTGTGTCTGTGTGCTCACTTTAAGAGCCAACCATATGTATTGCATATATGTACCAGAGTACTCATCAAAGAGATGAAAATTAGATTAAAATTTAGTAATAAAGTTGTTGTTATGTTTATACTATTAAAATTGATTGCTTTAATAAATATGTAATTAAAACTACTCTGGTAGAGTTATTTATTTATTAATCTGAAATCTGGAGTTATATTTGTATATATCATAAAATTTGATATTCAAATAATTTTCAGTGAGAGAAGAAACTGGGACTGTACATAGTGTAATACAAGAAATTGAAAAAAGATGGAAAGATCTTCAGAATGCTGTTTTTAAACAACAACAACTAATAGAGAAAAGCATGGAAATAAAAAGATTGCAAAATGAATTAAAAATTTTACAACAATTTTTAAATTCTCATTCAAATTGGATAGAATCCAATAAACATATCATTCATTCTTCACAATCTGAAGAGTTAAGAAGATTTATGGAACAATGCAAGGTAAAAATAAATATTAATTAAATAATTCTATTATGGTCATGAGTGATTATTAAAAATTAATATTTTAATTGTGTGTATGTATATATGTATGTATGTATATAAAATAGAGCATAAACATTTCATATGTGAAAAGTAAAATTGTCAAATATAATGAATGCACTATTTATATAAAAAATTATTAAAATGAAACTAAGTAATGAGAATTTTTGTTAACTAATACTTCATTACTAATTGCATAAGTGTTGAATATTGATGCAGTTTGTTATTATGTATTATTCAGTATTTGAGTGTGTGTAATATTATCATACTAATATTATTAAAAATTTTAAATTGTTATAATTACTAAATTTTAAAAAATTAGATGTTAATTTTAAAGGCATTTTTAGAAAAATTGAATAAATATATATATAATTATATAGATTAATTTCTCGCTGCATCATTTGAGAGCATCTATTTTCATGGGTATTTTATGGCATTTAGGTAACTGTAACTTTAACATTAGTAAGATATATGTATATTTCAATATATAATCTATATTTAATTATTCAAAATATAGAAATTATTAACCCAATGTATAAGCAAAAATTGTTGGAATTTTTTCATACTATTTTTATGTTGTTGTAGAAATTTTTATCAGTTGAATGCCATAGAAGGTCTATATTTGGAGACATTGTTTCTGGTTAAAGCAAAGCAAGGGCATAATTATTATGATTTTAATCATGCTTTAAAATCGTTCTTACAATGTTTATTTGCTCTAATTGACTGACTTATTTTTAATTTAATGACATTTAACTGTGAGAGATTTTCATTCTTGTTATATTAGGAATTCAGCTGAAAGTCAAGTCCAAAATTCCTGATAATCTCAAAATATGTCTGGAGCAAGTTAAAATGTTAATATAACATTACATAATTATTTTTTTATGTGATAGAAATAACCTAAAATAATTTTATGAAGTAAATGTACTACAAACGTTTTTTTCTAGTATGGTAATAAACCTATTTTTTAAGTATTGATTTTGCTTATATTTGAACTTTATTATTAAACTTTAAAAGATAGCTTTTAGAATTTATTATATGATGATGTAAACTAGTTTGATTAATATAATTTATATAAATTCTAATTGTTTTTTTACTTATAAAATTTTAATAATGTTTTACTTCAAATATTAATGAATATTGATTTTTGCATGATGAATAGTTTTGAAGATATATAATTTACAAATACTATTTTAATGTTTGAATAATGTTAAAATCTATATCTATTTGCATTTAGTTAAGACTTCATTCAATTAAAAATCAAGAAGAAAAAGTTGCCAGTTTACAAGATGAATCAAGAAATCTTCAAATGCATTCAATTACTACCTCATCAGACTTATTTAAAGAAGTGGAACAATTTATTCTGCAATGGGAGTCAGTTACTAAAAGTTTATGTATGTATTGTTTACTATTAAAATAGATTTTAATATAATATAATATAATTTTAATAATGTTTAATATTTTAGTGCTATATAAGATCAGATGGTTGAAAGAATTTGATAAGATTCGATATAAGAAATATAAATAAAAATAAATGAATGAGAATATATAGACATATTATTGAAATTTATTCACAATAGACTGATGAAATTTCAAATAGATTTCCAATAACTTGGTTTATAGGTTTCTTTCATATTAAATGTTAGGTTTTAAAAGTTATAAATAAAATTGATTGTTTTTACGGTAATGGATTAAATATAATATACAAATATTTATTTTTAAATTAATTTTCACCTACATTTTTTTCTCCTAGTAATGAAATGGTCATTAAGTTTAATAATACTTTACAAGAATATTTTTGTATTTGAAAATCATATTTATTTCAAATATGATTTAACAAATAAATTTATATGTTTGAAATTTTGCTGGTACATATTCTTATCACATTACAGTGAAATTCTAAGTTGAAATGCCATTTAGAATCATAATTTAATTGCTATTGCAAAGAAATTATATTACTAAGTTGCATTGAACATATATAATATCTCTTATTACTCATTGTACCTGTTATATAATTAAGTTAGCTCATATTATAAATTATACATTATGCTAAAGATTAGACATTGCTGAATCATTGGTGATTTTATGCATAATAATGTATAATTGTTTGTTATTTATTTATTTGCATAATTATAATTATAACAATATAATGGCTTATGCAATTTAATGCCTGACTGGTGTGTTGAATGGTATAGATTTGTGTATTGGCATATACTTAAATTTTCTTACGTTTCTGTTTCCATCTGGCTCTAATTTTTACTCATATGCTTTCGAAGGAGTATTAAGCCCGAATGAAAAAGATGAGTCTAATGCTAGTCACACTTTTCCATCCATTGTGTCAGTAGTTAAGAATGCATACATCTCTGATCTTAAGAACTCTCTTAGCAGATAAAGCTTTATCTTTTTTCTTGTTTTTTTTTATAATTAATAAGATGATGACAATTTATTTTCAAAATGTAGTTTCCACTTTAGAAATTGCTACAGTATCTATAAGATTATTGGAAAAACCATCTTTGATAATGTGATCAACTAATCCCTTACAAGAAGGGCAGGTGGATATATCTTCCATTATCTATCCAAAAAATGTATTTCAATAAAATAAATATTTTATTTTTCTTTAGCTAAAGGTTAAATAAACATTGAATAGTACAGGCATTTTTTTTTTTTGAGAGTGATTGCCCCAGGCCTTTTTTTTTCTTCTTCTTCTTCTTTGGATAGAGGAAAGCCGTGACTAGAAAAACTTTATCTTTGACACGAGGAGGGCAATCTTATATAGCGGACAATCGGATACAAAAGAGAAAGTGTGGGAATGCAAGACTAACCAAGTGTGTTCTATGCCAGGAAACAGGCAGTCTTGACTAGGTAAGCGAATAATGGGGTAAGCCTACTGACTCTATACCAGTAAAAATAATTTTTTTTAATAGTCGTATCGTCAATTATCGGCAATAAAATAATTGTAAATGTAAAAATTTACATTAATAAGNCTTATAAGCTGGAACAGTTGGTTAAAAGCAGTACATATCATTCATACTTTTTTCAGAACATTAAAATTTAATGGAAGCACAAATGTTTTCAGCCACTTTAAGGGGCCTTCATCAAATGAGAGAGCCATTTTTTCTACATCAAATAAGTTACAAAACAATTTTTTTTTTGTGTTTTGTAACTGGTATGAGTGGTGTGAATTGTTTTTACATAAAAAGTTTTATAAGTGCTTTAAATTTTACTTTACATGAAAATAAAATAATTATAAATAATAATAGTAATGTTAATAACAAGTTTTATTAAAAGTTTATGAATATTCTTGCTTACGGTTATAATTTTATTGAATTCAATATATGTATATATTTAACAAGATTATAGTATAACTAGAAGTTTTAAATTATATTATTGAGTAAGCAGTAATATAATTTAATTTATTTGATGAAAATGAAATAAAATTTAGGATACATGTAAAAACTCATTCTGAATCAATCTTTTCTTATAGAATAGTCTAAATTGTTTAATTTAATTCAAAAATTATTATAATTATTAAAATTTGTTATAAGATGGTTTAGTAACTGTCTATTTTTAGTTCAAATTATTCAATATCACTGATATTAATAAGCCTGATAGTTAATCTGGCCTTATCATTTTACTATTAGAATATTTGTCTTTAATATTAAAACAGCTTTATGTGTAAACATTGAAATAAGTTTAAAGAGAGTAAAATTTAAACTTGGTACAAAATATACAGGGTGGGGCAGAAAGGATGGACGTTTTTTAAAAAATCACATCTGTAATTATTACTACAAGAGACATTTGTTGGAAGATGTGAGTTCATATTGAATCAAGTGTTGTTTTCCACAACATCTCCCATGTTGTGTCCATTATCAGTGATGCATTTCTGGAGGCGATTTTGGCGACTTCCACACTAATAGCTTCCTTCAGTTCTTGCAAAGAACAGGCTTATGCTCATATACACATGCCTTGAGGTGTCCCCACAAGAAATAATTGCACATGGATAGATCAGGTGAATGAGGAGGCCAATGAATGTCACCAAACCAGAAAATGAGGCAACCAGGTAAGAGACAATGAATAATGCCAACTGATGCTCTAACGGTGTGGGCCATTGCCCCATCCTGTTGAAACCACACACGTCTGATGGGAATACGTTTACATCGTATGCAAGGATGCAGAAATGTATTCTCATCAGATGTATATGACTGATTGATTTGTGTGACCGTTGGGTCAGTATCTCTTTGATACCACGTCAGGATGACACCACTGTATCCTTAGGTCGATACAGAGACCACAAGTTTGCGTGAGCGGTGACGTATGAGGTTTGGACCCGAAATGGAGTGAACGGAGAGAAGAACGGAAGAAGCTGCACTCAAAGTTGCTTTAAACATAAATAGCCATTTATTTATATGAAATCTAAGTTAGTTATACATCGGAATTTAAGTTGCTACATATCAGTTACATTTACATGAATCGCGTTCATTCTAGTTCACTTCCTAGTTATAATCGAGTTCGCAATTGGTTTACGCGGAGAGAGAGCGTACAATAGTGCGCGAGCAGGATAAATACTTTATATTATACTGTTGATCAAGTAACTGCAATAAAGTCCCACAGTTCGAAGTTAAATAGGTGAATTGTTGATATCTTCGAGTTCAGTAGGCAAGGAGGAGGTGTTGGTTGACGAACAGGAACAGTCTCTTGAAGAAAATCTCGGCGCGGCGCACACACACAATCAAATAATAACTTCCACACTCTTACTCATCGTGCCTGTCCTTTTTATATGAAGTCCTCTTTTCGGGTCTTTCCTCAATTTCGTCAGGGATGACGATTTCCTTGAACCAATAAGGTGACGAGTGACACAATCGTGACACAGAGATGTACTCATCTCAACAAGGAACCCAACTTATGGGAATTGAGGTTTAACCACATTTTGTTTCCCTTATCTCTTTTGATTTTCTTTATAATTCATTCCGTCTTTATAAAATTGCATTCAAAGTTCAATTAAAATTTTGGAAAAATTTTTAAAGTTTATAACACGAAATTTCTGATCCTCACATCTGTTTTGCATATGACTGTTTCCTCAATCATACACAAACACAGTGTTCTATCATCCTTGGCTCCATGCCTTCAACTGAAAAGACAATGCTAAGACCTCGCTACCTGCCACACATCTGTCACTTCATCTGGTGGTGAGTTGTAGCCGTTTCAAAAACGTCCGCCCTTTCTGCCCCGCCCTGTATAATAAATTTGAATTTTCTACTTAAAATTAAAAACTATGAATTAGATTTTGTATTTTATGTGAAACTTCTATTATTATGTCATATCATTCAAGTTTATTGATTTGTTATTAGTTATTTATGAAAAAGTTGAAAGTTTGAAATTTTTGTAGAATTCTAAGCATTTCTATTAAAGACAGTGTTGGATTTTATTAATGCTTTATTTTTTGGCTGATTAGAAGTTAATTATTAACAAATTTTGAATTTGAAGTAGACAGTTTTTTTATGTTGTCATAATTTTAATAATAAAATATCAATAGCAAAAATATCATTTTATCATTTTCAAATGATATGAAATGATATCAGTTGATATTTCTGAAATGGTTTTTGGATAATTTTAAATGACCAAATGATATGAAATGATTTTAAAAATGATATGTAGGTCAATTGACAGAATAAATTTTAGAATATGCCTACATTTAAAATAATGAAAGTACAGTAATATAAAATCAAATATTACACACTATTATTGACAACTAGTATATTTATTCAAATAAAGTAAGCATATTGAACTTTTTAAAAATTTTATTGGGTTGCAATTTGAAAAAAATTGTAGACTTATAAATTTCCACTGTTGTCCATCTGTTTTTCCTCATTCTCAAGAATGGAGTTAAGTAGATGAAAGACAAGACCCCCAGATATGGAAAACTTAGGGGCAGGAGGTTCCGATTAACTATATGTGAACTTCTGATGCAAACTGAATGTTATTTCAATTATAAATTTTTCCCTGAAAGGTGTTAGATAGATGATTGTCATGACTCTATTGTGAACAGGAAAAGTATGATGTACAGGAGCAAGACACTACTAATTTGAGGTGAAGAGCATATTTTAAATTAAATAAAGTAAAAATATGATTAAAAATTGCAGCTTGCCATTGTGACAATGTCACAATAAATCTATATATATAAAAATGAATGTATGTCTGTCTGTGTGTCTGTGTGTCTGTGTGTCCTATGTCCTTCATGCATTACCACACCGTTTATCCGATTGCCATGAAACTTTGGGAAGTTGTTTAATATACTCCGGCGAAGGTTTGTGGCATAGTCGATTGCCATGAAACTTCGGGAAGTTTTTTAATACACTCCCGCGAAGTACATTTATCCTACGATAGATGGCGCGCGTTTACACGAGCATTCGCGCATAGTGTGTTTGATCGATTTCAAATTGTGAAGACCATTTCCCCCCTTCAAAAATATATATGTCTCTATATATGCATTTGTGAACTGTTATTTACGATATTTGTAATCATTTTTGTTTAATCACTTTATTTCGACTTTTTTTGCTAATTATGTTTTCGCTCGAACTTCGTTAAAATCTTAACTGTACCCCGAACAACGACCGAAGTTGTAGGAAGAAATTCGCCTATTTTACCGATCTAGGTATCGCCCTTTTTCAAATTTTAATATCGACTCGAAATAATTTAAAAAGACAAATTACAATAAAACGGTTTATTATCTAACTATCAGAAATTTCCCAACATGCCAAGGAAGAGAGGAAGGAGCAATTAAATAATTAAAATTATAAAGGATTTAAAAATATATATATAAATGGGGAATATCGCGCTTTTGACAATCGCTGCAAGTGTGTGGGCTAAATTTGGAGAATCCGTGCTTCTCGCATGGACAACTGTATGTGGCCAGCTCACGCGTCGGAAAACCTTCCGAATTATTCGTGTACGCACCAGACGAAAAAACAAAAAATATCGTGTATCCACGAGCACTCCAATAAATAAATAGAATTGAAACGACACTTTGAAATGTTTTCCCGATGAAAACGAATAATAATAATATATTTCAATAAAAATGATAAAATGAAAATTTAATTTTATTATAACGAGTTTGCTTGAATTTCATCTCTTCTGAGATCGCAGCAATGCGCGACGGGTAAGCTAGTAGTTAATAAAATTTAAAAATATTATGACAAAATTTCACATTACAATAAATTATTTTCTACAGTTCATGAAGATTATATAATAATTTTTACTTTATAGTGATTATTTTTCATTTAGATATTTAATTACACTTTGTAATTACTTTTTTTCCACTATTTATAATTTTTCATTTGCTAAGTGATCATTGATGGCTTGTGATAAGCACTATATAACTGCATCCCCCAAAGAAAACTAAAATCACAAAATAATGTCTTGATTTTTATTATACAGTAATACCTCAAACTTACGCGATAGGTGGGACCAAGCGATAACCGTGTAAGTCAAATTTGCATAAGTCGGGGTATAATTTTGCAATTTGTGTAAAATTCAAGTCGGATGTATGTAAGCTAATAAATGTTCTCGTTAATCTTATCTCGTGTTTTGATTCGTTCACGGTCACAAGAAATCACCACATAGAGTCTCTCAAGTCTCCGTAGATATAACAAACACAGAAATAAATAACACAAAATAAATTGTAGCTGTCTGTCAATTCTGCACGATACGTCCGAACATGTAAGTTGAACAATAGTGTGGGGGGAGTGAGTAATTAAGAGTTGCATGGCGCTCAAACAAAAGACAAATCGACAAGATTTGAAAATCGCATAACTCCGGGTTCATGTAAGTCGGGGTAGAATAAGTCAAGGTATTACTGTATAATATTAATTTTAATTGTGTATAATAATTTATATTATTGTTTTTTATGAAAACCAGCACTGATCAAAACAATGTATGAAAAAAAGACTTTATTAGGGTGGTTGTGTTTTATATATCTTTTTGTAAAAGCATATAACGACCAGTCCATCTCCCTCACCTCCCACTCAGAGAATAGTCTTGCTTGTTTGACCATTACATCTCATGATTTAATGAAATGCTTGAGATAGTGCTGCACTGTTTAACAATGCTGTCACAAACAGTGTGGCTGCATGGCAGGAATTAGTTATTGAGTCAGATCAGGGTTGTAGAATACTCTGTTACCTAGAGAGCCAAAAGTCACCACTGTGATATGATTTGATGTCACTTATGAAATGATATCAGTTGACATTAATTAACATTATGTATTCGGAATTTAAAAGTATGCGAACATTCCAAGATCATTTATTAACACTTTACATCATTTTCACTATTTAACACTCTCTTCTATAAAGTAAATAGATGCAAAGGACTTGCTGTTTGTTAGCATTTTTTTTATTATGTTAAAAAATTATTATTAATTTTTTGATAAAAATAGAAATACTGTATTACTAATTTCCAAGGAAAGTAAAATTAATTTAGTTGTAAAGAAGTCAGGTATAAAAAAACAGAGCAATACATAATATATTCTTTCTATATTTCTACTAATATCAGTAGTTTGAATATGTGAAAGATAAATAGTAAAAAAGTTGAAACTGTTTAAAAAATACATTGCATTCAGTTTCAATTTTGAAAATATTATGTTAATTTTAAACTTTATTATTATTAAACTTTTTTTGTGAAACATAATTTTATTTATTTAAATTGTTAATCAAAACAGAGATATAAACTGTTGAGACTGGCAGTTTTTATTTATAGTGTAATAATAGAACTTTAAAAAAAATGCTGATTATAAAAGTATTCTTGGATAATTATTTGAGTTGACCAAGTTTCTTCAAGAACTGTAATCATGGAACAAGTAAACTAAATGATACATTAATAAATATTTTTCTTTTTCTTTAGGAGATTCAAACAACAGTTATTGAAGAAGAAGCAAACCTTCAAGATGTAAACTGCACTGCTGAACAACTACTACAGAGTGAAGATGGAGCAATTTGGGTTTCAGATATGGAAAAGAAACTACATAATTTAAATGAACGTTGGTCAAATGTTACTTCTTTAATTGAGGAAATTCAAGGAAAATTAGAGACTACAATTTTCCAGTTGAAACAATTACAGGTTATACAGTATTTTTATTAAAAAATTTATTTACTTATAAGAAATGAAGTAAAGAATGAACATTTGAATATTATATGTTAAATTAAGATTATAAATTGTTTAATCTCATTGATATAATAATTATAAGAAATAAAGCAGATTACAAGATAGAATAAAAATCAATAAGTGGCATCTATATATATAAGAATTAATGTAATAAAGTAAATTATATAAATGAAGCCATTTTCTTTAGGAAGTCAAATTTATTTATTACAACCAAAATGTTTTCAACCTGTTTCAGGTCATCATCATGTTAATATCACAAATTTTTGAGAACAGAATGTTTGTTATGAAGTTAATATAAATTGAATATTAATATTTATTATGTTTCACTTTATGTTAACTGTTTAATGCACATTTTGTTTTGAAAAATTTGTGATTTTGAGTTGAATATGACCAAAATTAAATTGAAAACATTTTGATTGTAATAAATAAATTTTACTTTATTTATGTAGTTTGAAAGATTGTGCTAATTTACACAATTTATTTAAAATTATTTGTATAATGTTTTAATACAGGAAGAAATGGATGGATTGTCAAGTTGGATGGAAGAAGTTACTGTATTTTTAAATGCAGAGGATGCTGCTCTTGGTAATATTGAAACATTACAAGCACAATTGGAACAGAGCACTGTTAGTATATAATATTGTTTTATCATCATATATTGAATTTTGATAATATATATTTTAAATAATTTATTTTATTAAATTAACAAATGTAATGAACAGATATAATAATTAATTAATTTTAAAATAATTATTATATTTTTTATTCTCCCATTTATAAATACAGTGGGTGATCGGTTAACGAGCATAATCTGTTCCAATACTTTGTTTGCTATTTGAATTGTTCATTAACTGATTATCAATTTACCATAGGTTTTAATGGGAATTTAATTAATTCATTCTGGAGACCTCCAAAAATAAAAAATATATACTTTTTTACTACGTTTATTTATATGTAATAATAAAAATACATACATACACAGTCTTGCATTTTTATTAGTCATGTTTTTTCCGTTTGAAAGGGTTAAAGAATCTGTCTAATGTTGATTGCTTTTCTCTCTTCTTCAGGATTTTTCAGAAGTAATTAAATTAATTAATAGCATTGTAATTGTAGAAATCCTCAAGCCTCAATCTGGTTTGGATGACATTCTAAGACTGTTGTTCTGACATCCTCCCACTTCTTCAAAAGATCTTTAATAGCAGATATCAGCATTAATCCTCTTTTTCAGAAGAAAACATATCTCGCCGAGTTTCTTGGTGTTATTCTGTCATCAGATTCGTTTCAGGTTCCATTATGAACTCTTCGATGTTCTTTATTTCTCAGATGTGATTTTTGTTACTCCTTTAGCTGCTTGAGTCTTCTTGATTATACAGTATCTTTCTTCAATAAGATTGAACTGTGGCCTACTGTAGACCTGTTCATGCCATACTGCCCAGCAATATTAGGCATATTCTGCCCACTCTCTACCTTTGCTATTATACTCTCACCTTTCAAAAAGAAAAACAGACGCAAAACTTAATGAGTGCCTACTCGGCAGTCTCGCGAATACAAACAAGAATTGTTTCTGTCAGAAAAATAAAAGGCTGGAATTTCAAGGGAGAGTTTCAAAGTTTGGAGGAATACTATCCAATCGATATATACCGAGTTGAGTGTCGATGTCAATGTCTCCTGCATTCCAAAAAGTTTTGAATTGTTGCTCGAAGACAAAGGAAGACTAATTGATATTCATTATTTTACGTTTCTTCTTCTGTGTTTGTTCTGTGGGGTGTTCATTATCTGATCATGTGTTTGTTGTCCAAACATAAAAATCTTTTGCAAAAGTGTTCGTTAACCAATCACCCACTGTATATGTAAACAATGTATTTTACACTATATTGCATTACAAACTATAACTATATAAATAATTCCTAAGTTGCAGTTTAACAATGCAGTTTTAACTTTATGTATTTAATGGCTAACTTATGTTCTACAGGGGTTGCCCTGGAAAATTTTTAAAAAATTATCACCCATTTTGGCAGGTTTAAATTTTTTCACCACTTCAAATTATTTATTGCCATCAGTTTTACTTACTAATTAATGCAGGTGCTGGTAACTTTATCAGTTTAGAGTCTGCAAAGTAAAAATAACATGTTAAGCCATCACTTAGATATAGGAATCATTTTTGAATTATTTTTTAATAAATAATTTTGAATAACACATTTGATCACATGTTTAAATAGTATTTCACAAGTTCTGCCATTTCAAAATTTTTATGCTTTAGTCTACTGAAAAAAGATCAAAAATGAAAAAAATGTCACCCCAAAAAATTCCCCAAATTTTCTGTCAGCCAATAGAAAAATCTCCAATCTGGAAATGATGGGCAGCATTACATGAAAAGTGCCTTCAGTTCTCAATGTTCCTTCCTGCTTTTCTGCATGATTTCATGACATTTGTAGGTATATGGTGCATGGGATTCCTATTGTACATACTGCTGTTGAATTTCAATTTTAATGTTTGAATTATAAATTTTTGAAATTAAATAATTTCAAAATGTATTCCATTTTAGAATATGTAGCTACTCTTATTTCAATAGATGAAGATGTCTTCAAGAAAGCCAAAATGGCTTGAGGAATAAACATTTTTTTTTTGTTTCCTTAAGTAAACAGTATACTGATATGTTTTGATATGTTTATGATACTGAATTTAATGGAATTTGATAATATTAGCAGATATAAATCTACCACATATTTTAATTATGTGCTGTTTTGTTATCTAATTTTATGATTAATATTTAGAAGTTTGATTATTAATGTCATTTTTTTTGTTAGAGTTTATAACTAATGTTATTTTTGTATTATGATAGTGTAATTGTTACTAGATGAATTAATTTCGGGTGGAAAATTGTTTTAAATTTATATCAATTTAAAATCATTTTAAATTGACTTATGAATTTTTCTAATAAGTAATATATGTCAAATACTTTTGTGATTTGTATATTTGTATGATTGATTGATTTAAAGTTTAGAAATATTTATAAATATAAATCTATAAGTAATTTTACATTAGAAGTTACATTAGAAGTTTAGAGATGATGGTAATGTTATTAAGGACTATTTTCAAGAAATATGATAACTGATAACTATTTGATCATAAGACTGGTTAATGCTAATTTACTTTTTGAACTTAAAAATATTATTATAAATATTATAAATAAGATAAAAAAAATAAAAACTCATAATTTTGTTATCAAAAAAACAAACATTATATTCTGAAATAAATACATTTCTATAGGCTTTACAAGATGATATCAAAACACTGCAACCAAATTTGGATAGCATTAATTCATCTGGGAAAGAATTATTGAAAAATGCAGAAACAGAGTATGGAACTAAATTAAGAAAGCAGCTTTCTGAGTTGAATTGCAATTGGGAAAAGGTAATAAAAATTAATAATATTTTTTATATTTTAATATAAATATTTAAAAATGAAAGAAAAATAAAAAGTAATAAAGAATATTTAATTTTTTGATTTAAGATGAACTTAATGAAGATTTCTTTGAACTTAAGATTACTATTAAGTTATTAATAGTAATCTTAATCCTAAATCTTAAATCTTAAGTTTATCTCTTTAAATAGACTAAAATTTTAAATATTAATTGCAAAAGTTAAAACAGTATTTTTTATATTTTGATATTTTGATATTTTTTATTTATATTTTTTATATATTGAAATGACAGTTATATAAAAATTGTAGTTTTATAATATAATTAAGTATAAAAATTACACAAAAAAAGGAAAAGTAAAAATGATTAAAATTAATAAAATTAGAAAACTATAAAAATTTAATATTTTACTAGTAGTCTATTTGGTTAAAACAGTTTTTTTTGTGCTTTATATTGTTTTTAATCTACATTGTTAAGTTTAATTTAAAAAGTGAATATAATTATTATCTTAAATTATTTTATATTTTAACTACACAAATAATTTAAAATTTTATAAGTTTAATTTGAAATTAAACTAAATTTTTTCTCATTTATAAATCATGGTATAATCCTATGTATACATCATTTAATTCAGGAACTATTAGTGTCTAAATACATAATATGGAACTATTGTAGTTCTGAAAATAATAAATAGACTCTAATAATATACATTTATATCCTTTTATTTAAAACTATTTTCTTTAAACTATAGAAGAAATAATATATATATATAAAATTTATGAAAATTATAATTAAAATAATAAATTTTGTTAATTTATTTGAAATGTTTAATATAGATAGTAAAGCTGGCACATGAAAAAAATCAGACTTTACAAGATGCATTAAACAGAAGTCAAAATATACTTATAAGAATTAAAGAATTTTCTGAATGGGTTATTAATGCAGAAAAAGAGCTCCATCAAGATTCAGTGGTAAAGACTTCAATTGAATTGCAGCAAAAAGTTAAAAAGTTGCAGGTTATTATTTTTTTATATTATTGTAAAAGAAATTACTTAAATTTTAGAAAAATAATAGCTGTAATAGTAATTCTATTACATTGATATAAATTAATACATTTTTAAAAACATTATATAATTTATTTTAAATGTAACATTATTACAACTTAGATAAATAATTATAACTTTTAGTGAAATATTAAATTTTGAAGATCATTAAATTAGAATTCGGTTAATTCATTTAATATGATATGCATATATAGATTACACGAAGATATGTCATTAACACTTGGTAAGATGAGTCTACTTATGATCCAGTTTTACAAAATTCACTCATTAGCTTGAATAGTTATAATTAATTAATTCGAGAGGGGCGCTTCTGTTTGCCGAAGCTGCTGGCGCGTTTTACTACTCACTTCAAATACAGGTAAAGAATGTATCCTGTCAAATAATTTTACGTTAAATTTTTTGTTGGTGCTGTGTGGTAATATTATTAATGTTGGAAAATTTATCAATATAATTAATATGCAACGTTCGCCAATTAAAAGAGGAAGACCACCATGTCAAAAGGCAAAATCAACTAGCAGAAAGGAATCTGCTTCGACCACAAATATCAGTTTAACCTCAGATTACAATGTGTACGTCAAAAGAACTTCTCCTGAACCACTCTCTGTAAATGCAGGTTTGAACCCTGAAACATCACTTCTAAGTTCATAGATATCAGGTGAGCCATTCGATTTTTTATCATCATCACCAGGAAAATTGGAAGATTTGTCTGAAATGTCGAGTTTGACACTATGGAATAAAATTTCCGAATTAATTAATGTTTCTAACACGAGAATATTAAATCAAATGATTACTATTAGAGAAGATTTGGACCAGATTCGTAATAGTATCCAAGAAACTAAGGATCAGAATCAAAAAATGAATAGCCAAATAATTAATCTTGAACATCAAATTGCTTATTTGAAAATAGAAAATGAAAGTATACAATATCGTATGGATAATATGGTTAATGTGCAACATCGTAATAATATAATGTTTTATAGATATCCTAGTAAAACCTGTCCTACCAAGTTAGAAGTGTTTAATCTTATTAAGGAATCATTTGAATTACATGAAGTTACTATGGATGATTTAATAGCGATTATTCCAATAACTAAATCACAGTATCCAACAATTAAATTAATTATTAAAAATTCTCAAATAAGAGATCATATTTATTCGAGTTTTATAAAGATGAAACAGCAAAATCTATCGAACCTATGGAAAGAAACTCAAATTTCACAGGACCTCACTAAAAGATCTAGATTAAGACGAAAACAATTAATTCCTTTTTTAAGCGAATTAAGGAAAGCAGGTAAATATCCTAAACTCCGAGGTGATACTATACTGTTGGGCAATAATTCTTTGACGTATAGCTATGTGTTGGAGGAGCTGGTATACTTGGATTCTTTTACTCTGTTTACTACTTCCGAAAATACTCCGCAATGACATAATATTAATTTAAATACTCCTATCCAAGACTCACGCTTTGTGGAGATTCAAATTTTAAGTTCCTTGCTTGCTGCATATAATAATAATGAAAGTTTATTCGATATTGCATACAATTAAAAAGTCTCCCATTTTGAAAAAATGGAAGAAATTATATATTCCCAAAAAAGAAATAATTACATCATTGTTTATTTATTGATTAATAAATTAGAAATAAATAACCTGATTTATAAAATTTTGGTTAAAATTTTGTTATATGTATTTCCCGAGCAACAGCAAATACTTTTTGAAGTATTATGTATATACGAAATTTTTGAGAAATTCTATTCTTTTTGATATTATGACTGGAGATTTAAATGCTCGTATTGCACAGTTTATGGTTTTGCTATATAAAGGATTGAACGTTATAATTTAAAACATTTGTGAATCCAAAGATGTTAAACAGAATAAAATGGGTTATGACTTTCTAAAATTAACAACTCAAGCTTAACTATATATTTTTAATGGCAGAATTGAAAAGGTCTATCCTTCTGAATTTATTTAAGCATTTACTTCGGGAAGCTCTACTATTGATCTGTTTAAATGTTCAATATTTTTAGTGGATTTGTGTTTGGAAATTCAGGTGTTAAATTGTGATTTATCAGTCCAATTTCCTGTTAGTTCGTACTTTGAATTGAAAGTTTCGTATCATATTGATTGTGTTATACCGAAGTATCAGATAATTGACTATTAATATCAACGATATTAAGTCTTCTGAAGAACTGGATTTATCAATTCGTAAATTTAATATGAATACAGCTCCTGGAATGGATATAATTACCACTAAATTTATTATCTTTTTTCGCCAGCGGGTAGGCAAGTTCATCTTGATTTCTACAACCATTTTTATAAAATATTTATTATTTTTTCACTGAGTGTACAAAGTCTGTTGAAGCGCAATGTAAATTGCGCTTCAACAGACTTTTAATTAAGTTTCTTTTAATTTCTTCTAAATTAAAAGAAACTTATGATTTAAATTAATAAGAAAATTCAGAACCAATCAAGAAATAATTCTGTTGTGTAAGATGTATAATATTCATAACTTTTTTGTTCATATTTTAAAGATTTTGAAATATGATAGTGTAGAATGAATGATTGGTATGTTATGTTAATTAAGTTTTATGTAATAGGATATTTAAAATATGTTTAAATGAGTATTATTGTATTCTTATAATTCACTAAAGCCAAACCCCTGTAACAAGACTTTTCTTATTACAATAAAGCATTTGTAATAATAATAATAATAATAATAATTAATTAATTCAATTATTTCAGTTTTAATCCAGAACATTTTATAGAATTTTTAGAAAAAATATTGTGTATTCCAGTCTTAATTATAATTTTTTTTTTTTGGAGTAAAGTTCAGCTCTCTTTAAACTCTTTCTATTCCTCTCTACAACAGAAGTTTATACTGAGATTCAAGAAACTTACAAAAGAACTTCATCATATATAGAAAGATTATATAATTTCAATAATTTTATAGAAATCTTTAAAGTTCCCATAGCATTATTGAATATAAAAAGTATGATTTGATATATGAAGATGTATTAAAGGTGTCTGAGTTACTAAATGTAAATATTAACGAGAACCAATTGTATGATGAAATAAATAGTATTAAAGATATATTATCAAATTTAAGAGAATCAACAGAGACTACAGAAAAATTATGAGTAAACATTTTTAAGACATGTCCTGATATTTTATCTAGAAAGACAATTGTAAGTAAGGCATTATATGAGCCTGTGAGTAATGCATGTGTTGAAAGAATATTTTTATTGGTATAGTCACTGCAGAGAGATGATAGAAAATGATAGGAATGAAACTGCTCCCCAAAGTAGTAAAATTGAACTTGCTATTTGAGTTTTGATATGTCCTGTGAAGCTTTCTTCTTATACTTACAAGAAGAACAAATGAACCTAATAAAGAAAATCTGTACACAGGAAAAGTATAATTTTAAAAAATAAAAAATAATAAAATTAGTTTCTTATTATTATTTACATACGACAATATCACAAGTTTATATATGTATATAATAATTTTGTTTATTGCCTAATTTGAATTTTGTTTTTTTATCATATCTCTGAGTCAGCTGGGATTAAGAGTTGGCAACTCTAAATTCACACTGCACTCAAAAGATGCAATTGATTATAAGAATCTTTGTTTTGAGGACTAAGTAGCTTTTATGCTCTATTTGAAACTTTTGAATACTTTATTGAATTTTTACATTGTATTTTGAATGCTTGAAATTATATCATAAAGAATCTTAATCTGATAAATTGCAATTTTTTTATTGAAGATACTCTTTGAACATTCAAGAAAATTTTTCTTCAAATGTCATGCTCATTGTAGATGAATAGTCTGAAAATGTTTACTGATCAAGAATACACAACACTAAAATCCATATTAGTGCTATTTATAATATTAAAAGAAAAATATTTTAAAAATGTTAAATATTGATAGATGATGATAAAATTTGGTTAAATTTAACAATTTAAGAAATCATGTTCTTATGAATTTACACTTTGTTTACATAAGAAAGATAAATGCATTTTTAAAATATATTTATACAATAAATTTTGGTAATGAATCACTTTGCATAGTTTACTATTTAGATACTTCTAATGTAAAAATATTTATTATGTTTATATGTATTTTCAGAATTTTAAAGAAAAACTGGAAACAAAAAATTCCATTTATCAGCAATTATCTGATGTTGTTGAAAGTATTTCAAAATCATCAACTAATAATTCAGAAGAAATGATTGCAGAATTTTCAAATTTAAAAAAGAAGTGGAATGATATAATGAAAAAAGCTCAGGAATTTTATCAAAAATATAAACAAGCATCATCTAAATATGCAGAATTTCATAGTATGTAACAAATTTATTAATTTTTAAAAATTTATGTACTATATATTTATACAGCTTTTTAAAAATATTTTCATGTTAATAACTGTTGTTGTTTTTACTTTTGAATTTAATATAAATTGATTGATTATATATAATAGTATGCACATATTTTGTAAGCATATTTGTATATTTTACATTCATTATATTTAAAGAAAACAATTTAACAAAACATTTTAAATTTATTATTTTAATTAGTTATGATCAGGTATGAAATATTTAGCTGTTAGTATTTATTATTATATTTCATTTGATGTATTTACAGAAAATGATTCTTTTGATACTGTTGACTTCATTATTAACATTAAGAAATATTAAGCTGCTAATAAAGTTCAAGGAGGCATCATTTATTCTGATTAAAGTTTTTTGGGATGATTTACATCTTATCATCAGATTGAAATCTTATAAATATTTTTTTCACACGAATATATATCATATTTCTATATATTAACATATATATCATACTGATTGATAAATTTTGTAATACTGTAAATGATTGATACATTTTTAGTTTATTATACTAAGATAAGTATTACAGATGTACAGTTGTAACTAGTATCATTTGAATGACAACTCTGAAAGTTTTACACAGTAAAAGATGTTCAATGTGAGTTCCATCTTTGGCCCAACAAATGTCAATCTTTAATCTGGCTCATTCCATACTCTTTTCAACATTTTGCAGCATATCCAGACAATTAATTTCATTGACAGTGCTCTACAATCTCTTCACTCATATCTTCGTATCAGTGCTTGAGAAACAGTCTTCTGAAGACCCGCTGAACACTGATGCATAAATTTGTGTTTGCTTACTTAATCATGCTAAAGTTTTTCTGTGATAGATGCAATTTCTGAAAGTAGCAAATTCTGGTGTAGGATAGATAATATGGTGATACACTGTAGTTTTGAAATCTCTGAGTTACCTGTTATTTATGAGTATACTTTATAGTTTTCTATTTTATTCCTGAAAGTGTATCAATCATTTACAGACACCCTGGGTGTAAATAATATATGTAAATCATCTCAAGTAATATGTAATCAGAATAAATGGTTTTTGTTAATAAATGAACTTTATTAGCAGTTTTGTTTCTTAATAAAAAAATGGTTTTGAAAATGAATTGGAATTAATTTTAAAAATTTGATTTTTACTTGCAAATATGTTTACATTAAAAAAAATGAGATTAAAAGATGTAATAAACTATATCTGTTCTGATTCTGAATTTATGAATTTTTTGGTACGAAAGAATTCTTGGAATGAAAAATGATTAAGATAAAATTTTATGCCAAATATCTAGAAAATAAAAATAGTTTTTATTTTGAATAATTTGTCACTCTTCAAAATTGTCACAATGTAATAATATATTGTGTAAATAATATAAAATATGAATAATTAATATTATTAAAACTTTAACTTTTAAAAACCAGATCTAATGATGACAGAAAGAGATTGGTTAGAAAGATTAGAAAAGAAATTGAAACGATCTCCTGAATCTGCTGCTGATGCAGAAGAAATGTCCGAAAATTTAGATGTTAGTGCACTTTTTCAAAATTTTTTTAGATTTCAAAATATATTAATATCTGTAAAGCACATATTAATATTTATTTTATTATAAAATTTATTATTTATAGGATTTGGAGAATTATTTAAGACATCATCCACCAGATAGGATACCAAGAATTCAAAATCTTGGTCAGTTTCTGATAGATCAAAGTATTATGACTGATTACATTAAAGAAGAGCTTCAAAAAGTCAATCATAAATGGAAAGAACTAACTTTAAGGGTAAAAATAGAAATTAATTTTATTAATAATTAAAATAAATAATTGTTCTTAGTAAAAGAAATTATTTTTATTAAAAACAAATAATTTTAAATTATTTGTTTTTAATAAAAATAATTTCTTTTACTTTAATAATTACTTTTACTTTAATAATAATAAAAAAATAATTATATTGATGTGATTAAAAACAAATAATTTAAAATTATTTGTTTTTAATCACATCAATATAAATTATTAAAAAAGAAGTATATAATTATAATGCTAATAGGATATATTTTTTATTTTACTTACTTGTTAAACAGACTTTATCATTACCTTTAAATTTTTTAGACTTTAAAAGATATCATGTTTTAAAATTTACAATACAAATAATATTAACTTAAAAAGTAACAATGTGTGATTGCTAAAAGTAGAAAAACAAATTTAATATTGTCAGTTTGATTTAAACTTGAAAAAATGAGTTAAATGTGTGCATGCATTTGAAACTTTTAAATACTTATGGTATTATAGTTTACATTTTCAACATTTTTTTGTGGTAATAGTAATTGAAAATTTATATTTCTTGTGCAGAAGTAATAATATAGTTCCATATTTTTGAAATTTTTAATATAGAAATATTAATTAAAGGAATGTTTATATACAGGGTCATTACAATTAAAGTTCCACTTTGAAATGGCCATAAAAGGAAAACTACTGGACAGAATGTTATCAAACTTGGTAATACTATAAAGGATGTCATGGGATTTTATTTCCCATGGAAAAAAAAAGTTCAAAAACTCACCACCAATGGGAAATGGCACTGTCTGCAATATTGTTAAACAAAATAAGACATGAAGACATCATTGAAAATGTTTTTTAATCGGTTTTAAAACATGTTACAGAGCATGTTCAATGTGGTGTCCACCATTTTTGATAAGCAAGTTACATCACATTACTGTGTTCTCAACAGTAGTTCTTAGCATATCACTTTCTTCCTGCCGTAAGCTATAGTGATTTTGCGTAACCCCACAAACAGTTTTGTTTTAAAACCAATTAAAAACATTTTCAACGATGTCTTCATGTCTTATTTCGTTTAACAGTATTGGAGACAGCGCCATTTTTCATTGGTGGTGAGTTTTTGAACTTTTTTTTTCCATGGGAAATAAAATCCCATGACATCCTGTATAGTATTACCAAGTTTGATGATATTCTGTCCAGTAGTTTTCCTTTTATGGCCATTTCAAAGTGGAACTTTAATTATAAACACCCTGTATATATATTATACAGGATGATCTGTTTGGGATATAAAAGTTGTCATAATAAGCAAATTAGTTGTATGAGGTTCAAATTTTGCCACAACAGCAAGATAAGGCAAAAGTTTCATTGGGTAATTTTTTCACAGACAAAATGAAAATGATGCTTTGCTCTCCATGGAGTTGACTCTGCTACAAACAACATTGTATGTTCACAGTGTATACAAGTGCTCTGAGTACATTTTCACATAATGTCAATATGTCAATCTGTTGTATGACATTATGTGAAAATGTACTCACTTTAAAGAATCAACTTTAAGAACAACAATCATACACTTTCTTGGGTTACACATTAATGCAATGAAAACATGTCCTTTTTTTTTCTCAGGATCATGCTTACGACTATTGGAGCTTCATGATTGATTTCATTTCTTCAAATGTGCAATACCAACACATTATGCAGTTGTACTTAGGCACCTTTCTGAAACCATGAACATGACAAAACTCATGTTTAACATTCTCCCTTAAGCTTTGCATACCAAATGACACTTAATGCATTGTTCCATGATCAGTACTATTTTCATTTTAGTCATATGACAAAACTACCCATGAAACTCCCACCTTATCTCACCACTTGGCAGAATTTGAACTTCTTATAACTAATTTGTTTATTATGACCCAACTTTCAAATTATCCTCACCAAAACAGAATCACTCTCTTCACTCTGTATATTAGTGCCCTAATATGTAGTGTTTCTGGCAAGAACAAAGTTTTCAGATTATTAGATGTGAAAAAGTAAGATTGTTATATACATCTAATAATCAAGTCTTTCTAACCTGTGTATTATTATCATCTGTGGCTAAAATAGTCAATATTGTGCTTTTTCTTTGAGATATTAATTAATTAAGGTACTACAACCAAAATACTGCCATTTATAATGGGTGTTCAATAAATAACCAGCCAAATGCAACAGCATAAAATAGAAACAATTTAAAATAAAATAAACAAACACCTTTCTCTATTCCAGCACAATGTTTACAGCCTTAAAAAACATTTTTGACCATTTTAAGTGATCTTCCTCAGTTCAAATTCGAACCACGTTGTGCTGGAATAGAGAAAGGTGTTTATTTTATTTATTTAATTCCAGTAAGCATTTATTTATTTAGAAAGAATTTATTTCAACAATAATTGCCCTGATTGTTACTGTCCCATTGTGATACTAGCCAAGTTATGCTCTGGAAGAAGAATATAGCAGGATACTGGTGGAGCCAATGTTGGACAGCATCTTGCACTTCAGTGTCTGAGGAAAATTGTCTGCCTTTAAGTGTCCTTTTGAGTTCCCCAAAAGCATGGAAGTTGTAGGGTGACAGGTCAGGACTATAGGGAGGATGCTCAAATACCTCCCAATGAAACTGCTGTAGCAGGTTCTTTGTCATGTTGGCTGTGTGAGGATGTGCATTCTCATGCAGCAAGATGACCCCATTCTTGAGTTTTCCTGGATGCCTGTGTTGAATTTGTGTGTACAGTGGGTGATCGGTTAACGAACATAATCCGTTCCCAGGCTTTGTTCGCTATCCGAATTGTTTGTTAACTGATTATCGATTTACCATAGGTTTTAATGGAAATTTAATTAATTTGTTCTGGAGACTCCCCAAAATAAAAAATATATACTTTCTTACTACGTTTATTTATATATAATAATAAAAATACATACGTACACAGTCTTGTGTTTTTATTAGTCATGTTTTTTCAGTTTGAAAGGGTTAAAGAATCTGTTTAATGTCAACTGCTTTTCTCTCTTCTTCAGGATTTTTCATAAGTAATTAATAGCATTGCAATTGTAGAAATCCTTAAGCCTCAACCTGGTTTGGATGCCATTCTAAGACCGTTGTTCTGACATCCTCACACTTCTTCAAAGGATCTTTAATAACAGATATCGGCATTAACCCTTTTTTTCAGAAGAAAACATATCTCACCGAGTTTCTTGGTGTTCTTCATTCAAGAGTTCATGGCATTCTTCTGTCGTCAGATCCGTTTCAGGTTCCATTATGAACTCTTCGATGTTCTATATTTCTCAGATGTGATTTTTGTTACTTGTTTAGCTGCTTGAGTCTTCTTGATTATACAGTATTTTTCTTAAAAAAATGAACTGCAGCCTACTGTAGACTTATAACGCCATACTGCCCAGCAACATTAGGCATCTTCTGCCAACTCTTTACCTTTGCTATTATATTCTCACCTTACAAAAAAAAACAGACGCAAAACTTAATGAGTGCCTATCCGACAGTCTCACGAATACATAAAAGAATTATTTTCTCATAAAAATAAAAGGCTGGAATTATAAGGGAGAGTTTTAAAGTTCAGAGGAATACTATCCGATCAGTATATACCGGCTTGAGCGTAGATTTCGACGTCTCCCACACTCCGAAAAGTTTCGAATTGTTGCCCGAAGACAAGGAAAGTCCAATCGGTATTCGTTAATTTACGTCGCTTCTTCTTGTGTTTGTTCTGTGGGGTGTTCATTATACGATCATGTGTTCGTTGTCCGAACATAAAAATCTTTCGCAAAAGTGTTCGTTATCCGATTTGTTCGTTGTCCGATCTGTTCGTTAACCGATCACCCACTGTATAATGTGTGTAAGGTGTTGCAGTAGGATGTTGCATTGATGGTGCTGCCATATTGCATAAACTGAACAAGTAGAGGCCCCTGATGGTCAAAAAACAGGATGAGCATTACCTTCCCTGCCAATGGTCACACATCCTTGCTCTTTTTGGTTGAAGATGAATATGGTGTTTCTACTGCATGCTGTAGCTACTGCATCAGATAGCAGTAGAAACACCATGCATACTGCATGGTGTTTCTACTGCTATCTGATGCTTCAGCTTCAGATCATAATGGAAACATCATGTCTCACTCCCATCACACTGCGATGAAGAAAACCATTACCATGTGAAGCAAAATGCATCAGATGTTCCAATGATAAGCTCATCCGATTGCTGGTCTGTTCTTCAGTGAGTGAATGTGGCACCCACTGTGCATACACCTTCCTGAAATGCAACATTTTTTGCACAACACTGTGCACAGTACAATGGACATTCAGGTCTACTGCAGCTGCAATGTACAGCTGTCATGGACCATTATCCATCTGTTTGCTATTACCAAGTTTTCCACCATTTGCACATTCTGCATTATGGCTGCATGCTGCGAACATCCTGGTCATTGGTCATCCTTCCCAAAATTTTTTTGGCCCACACAGGCTTAGGGTATACCATACACCTGATGTATTTGCCAATGAATTGCAGTGGGTCCTCAATTTTTTACAACAATGAACCTGATTTTTCCACATTGTTCAACTTTGGAGGCTTCCATTGCCCAACAAAATCACTTGAACAAATGACTGAGGCTATGGATGTTTGCCTTATATGGGGTGTCATTTGCATGCAAATTTTTTGCTTAGAGCTGTGCTCATTGGCTGGTTATTTATTGAACACTCCTTATATTTATTTATGTCTTAATAAAATCACTGCCACAGTTTATTTATGTGAGATACATTAATTTTTTTATAAGGTTAAGAATCCCAATTTTTGTAATACCATGACACAGTGGCGTACGGTAGTGGGGCGGCAGGGGTGGCCTGCCCTGGCGGCAGTTTTAGGGGATGGCAAAATTTCACAATAAATAATAATAATAATATCTTGTAAAAATTTGAACCATTTTATTTGATATTTTTGTCACACCTACGATTCGGACTGATTGAAATGAGCATGGAATAGTGTTACCACTTGTTTGGTTTTCACCCGGACAGTCCTGGAATTGACTCACTGTCTGGATGAACTGTTAATTTTGTCTGGGAATATCATGCACAACCTGTCAACTTTTTTTTTTGCTTGTACGATTCATATTCATGCACGTCTCCAATGTCCAATAGAGCTGTAGTTGTTTTTTCTAATGTAGTTGTTACTCCTACCCAAGTCTCCCTAGTCCCTAACTGTAACTGATTTAGAACCGGCATGCACTGCACGTTATTCTTTGCATTGCAAAATGACATTACGCATGCGTCAGGAACTTCTGTTCGAACAAACCTCACCTGCCGTCCGGGTCAGCGATTTTAAAAAGGTGGCAACACTAGCACGGAATTTTTCATTACTCATTCTGTGACGAAACTGAATTTTAGTCTTTTAAATTGAGATACCTAAATAAGGAGATGGCAAAATTTTCCTTTGCCTTAGGTGGCTGACACCCACACTATGCCACTACCATGACATCATAAGAATACAAGCGAAGCTTGAAATTTTAAATCTTTTGTTCTAATTGACGTTTGAAATTATGTTAAACCTGAGGAAGCTTAAAATAAAAACATTTTTAAAAATTAAAATGAAAAAAAATTTAAGATTTTCAGAATTTGATCTTTATATTTGATATGGGTATTTAATCATCACTTCCAGAAATATTTTAAATCTTTGTTTAAAGAGTTTTTATTTGATTTTTTTCTGATTTTTAAAGGTTTATTAAAATAATAATAAAATATAAAATGTTTAGGGCCATGAACGTCAACAAGTTTTAGAAAACAGTATTGTTCAAGCACAACAGTGTGAAAGGAAAATTTTAAATCTTCAAGGATGGATTTCTCATATTGATACTGTACTTCAGAATCGTTTAGATAATGATATTTCAGCTCAAGATGTTCCAGAAGAAGTTTCTGTAAGTATTTGATTTTATTGTAAACTTTTGTAATGCTATCATGTTTAAGTATCAATGCAATAAAAACAGTTAATTTTTTAAGGAAACCAAATAATTTTTTTAATTCAAGAAATGTTTTTGGGCCTATTGAAGGGACCAGCTTTAGAATTATAACCATATTTTAGAATACATTTTAAGAAGAAATTTTAAATTTTATAATTACCCACCTAAGAAAGTTGTTTATAATGTAATATAATGTTATTGTGATTGAAGTTATTAATTAATCACATGCATTCTTTGTCAGTCTTATTTTTCTTATTTAGTTCCCTATTTAAAAAAACATGCATTCCTTATCAGTCTTTAATTCATTAGATTGAATTTCTGAATTTTTAACTCTGATCTCTGTTTTTCAAATTATACTTTCAATTAACAACCTTTCTCAAAATGTAAAACTTTGTATATTAAAACCATTTGCCCAATAATCTTCTCATTATAAGTATTTATCGAGTTAGAGTTCTATTTTAGAGGTCTATCACTGAAATATCAGTGTTAGCTTCTGGGTTTGATGATTTAGAAAAGAAATTATTCAACTTATTAGTCTTATTTACAAAAATTGATGAATCTTAACCAAAATAGTAGTAAAGTCAGTTATTAAGTAATAATTAGAAACTGAAAGCTGAATGTTTCTAAAAACAGTTTTAGAACAGCTCAACTCAAGTCTCCTAATAGTAGCAGATTCTGCACCAGCAACCTCATTATTTGAGACTTGTATATCTTGATCTTCCTTGACACTTATTGTGAGAATTCGGACGCTAGTATAAATTTTCTCACTAATGCGTCACATTCAAAGGTGACTTTCATTGTCCGAAGAGGGACCCCCTCTCACCAGGGATTCATGTTAAAGTTGGACGCTGTTGTTAAGTATATATCGGTATACGTCGACTTCTTACTAAATTGTACGTGTTAGTCGACCACCTCTTTTCCTTTTGTGACGCGAGCACAATTGCAGCGCAAAATTCTAGAATATGCGTGTAGGTCAACCACTTCTTTTCTTTTTTTTTCTTTTTGACGCGAACGCGAATGTGACGCGGAATTAGTGTAAGAGACAATTAGGATATTTAATAGAGAGTGGTGTTATAACTGTGTTATAATACTATTCGGAGAGAGACGTTGAGGGAGAGAGATCAGGGGTCTAAAGAAGAGACTAATTCGCCCTTGAAACGAATGCTTCAGTTCAGTGACTGAAGAAGGAAGTCAACGAAAACTACAGTGCTTCTGGTAATGCTGAGATAGACCCCGCTAATTGTCGGAATCATCGAAGGATATTGTTAAGATGTTTTAAACAAATTAATACTTATTAAAAAATGAAATGGAGAACAACCTGGTATGGAGCAACCTACTTGTTGTTGCTGGAATTGTTTACAACGGTCAGTTCTGCCTTCGGCCGGATGAGGAACATCATCTTGGTTCTAATAATGTAAAAGGAAAAATCACACTAAAACCTGTACGATTTTTAGAAAAGTGGGGGATAGTGTGAGAATTCAGACGCTAGTATAAATTTTCACACTAATGCGTCACATTCAAAGGTGGTTTTCATCGTCCAAAGAGGGACCCCCTCTCGCCAGGGGATCACTTGGTTATAAGGTGACTGCATCGTTTAAATAAATATCCAATTGGCTGCAGCAAACATGTGATGCTAATCCAGAAGGTCATCGGTGAGAGTAAAACAAATCCTGTGATCCCCATAAGTCCGAGTGACCTGACAAGAAATGACCAAAAAAGGCAATGAGTTTTTCTACAGCAGGGGAGACGGTAATAAATCTGGAGAGATGTCAAATTACGTCAACGAAATCCCAGATTTTTTCCCACAAGAAGTGAGTATAAAAGGGGGACAAATTTGCTCCTCCAGGCGGCTAGCCAAGGAGCTAACGCCGAAGCAACCCCTCTGGACAGCTGAGGAAGACCTCTATATTGTCATCAAAGACCTCTACCCCATCCATCGCTGCCTATCGCCATCCAAGGGAACTCCGATTGGAAACCAAAGGAAACTTCAATTGGAACATCAGTGATTGATCCCAGTGCGTCCTACCAATGCTCTATACGAGGAGATTGCATCCTACGAGGTAAACCCTAGCCAGAATTTTGTCTCTCTCCCCAATGCATCCCTCTTAGAGAGGTCTCTCTCGATCTTTAGCTTTAGGTTAGGCTAGAATATAGGATAGATTTTTATTTGTATTACGTGTGAGTTATATTTATTATCTTTGATATGTATAATCTCTTATTCGTTTATTAAATGTGTTAGTATTATTCAACCCGTGTAGTTATCTGGACACCTTGTCACGACCTCACGACCCCTCCCCACTCATTTTCCAAAGCCATTCCTGACAACGAAGCCGGTAAGTGGGGAGAAGTGCACTACTCTACCCCCTCAGTTCACACTTATTCCTCTAAGCTACTCTTGAAAATGATATTAATTTTGTTTGAATTAGCATTCTGTTCTCCTTGGTTGAATTCATTCTTCAATACGTTATTGGTGGATGACCCCTTTTCTATGGAGATCTCTGCAAAGGTCAGGGATTGATTTCTATATCTGATGTAAATAACTATAGTAATAACTGTATAATTCTGAAATTATCCTTTTTACAACTGTAGAATATAGTTATCATTAATTATACAACTTTTTTCAGCATACTCACACAGCAAAAATAATGTCAAACTACACTTTGAATAAAGCATCCCCTATTGTTCTGGTACTTTGAAACCGTGCTAGTAGTTATTAGTAGTAATTCAATTTAATAGGGGATAGTAATTGAATTAATATCCCCTATTGTTATTATTATTGAATATGATTACCTAAATTCAGACATATATTTATAAATTACAAAAACTTAATGAATTAACAAAAGAATATGATGTAATAAACTATTGATTATTCACATAATTTTTGTTATAATTTTCTTGTATTAAAAGATAGGTATATTGAAATTATTGTTTAATTGTTATTTCAGCAATTACAAATAGAGTTTGCTGATAAGGAAAATGATATTAAAGATTTGAATGAACATATCAAACATTATGAGACACAGGGTCGTACAGAAGCAGCGTCACGTTTAGAAGAACAACTTACTCTTATTAAGGTATATTTAAAGTGATTTACTTTTTTAAGATTTTATTATGGTGATGTTCATTAACTCTGTGAATTAATTAATTGTAAATAAATTTAATATACTAAATGAAGATTAAATTAAATTAAAAGCAAGATATTGTAGAGTTTCAATATTTTTTATCCTATGATTAAATAATTTTTTATTGAATCATTCTGTTATTTATTTATTGTTTAAAATCTAACCAAATTCTATAATTGTGCAATTAAGTTTCTTATTGATATGACAAAAAGTTTTTAATTTCTTGCAGCTTTAATATTATACATTACATTACAGTCTTTAAGATTAAGATGTATGCATTACATATTACTATATAATGTAACTAAGTATTTATAAATTTTAAAAAAGAATGCAGTAGGGGTCAGAATAGTCAATGACTTCATTGATATTGGGATCATAATTTAATGTTATCTTTTACAATCTAGAAAATTTACAAATTCTGAGGTCAAATCAAAATTCAAGATACATCAGCAGAAAATGAAGAATGATTAGAACAAAAAATACTAGATTTAATATTCTGCATTATAATTTCTGATAAAACAACAGAAAAGAGAGATCCAATAAACATGACTTTTGTCTTAAAGTAAATTTCATTTCAAAAACAAAAATAGTTTAAAAAAAGACAACCAAGAGCTAACATGCTTGTTTATATAGCTATTTATATTTTAAGTGCTATTGTGGTTGGTCATATATACATTGCATGTATGGTTTGTATGTTTTAGAATTACCAACTGTTTGGCATTGTTTGGTTGAAGAAGTCTTTACAGCATTAAACTATGCCATCAAATCAAACCAAAATATTAAACATTAATAATTTTAATTGTTGCTTACTCACAGTATGATAGTTCCAATTGCTGACATTTCTGATTTCAGTTACATGCTATCCACTGTTAAAGGTGGTATACCAAAAACCAATAGGCAAACAACAATAGATGAATTGCCATTAATTAATGATAATGATCATATGTAATAAATTTTCAAGTTGTACATGTTTTAATTGTTTGTCAATAAAACCAGAAAGTTAGTCTTATTTACTTATCCTGCTTAATGGTATCAATCAGTTATTATCATCATATTATATACTGAGATTAGTGAATTCTTCTGTAAAGTAGGTCCTCACCACACCTTATCAATTTAAACAAAATATTAAACAACTAAAAGTTTTATGTTAGATTATCTTCAGCTTCATATATACCAACTCTAAAATCATTTATTGCAGTAAAAATTTCTTTATTCAAATGTTTTCAATCATCTTAAACAAGCTTCTTCAGGAAAAAATTACATTTAAAAGAACAAATGTCTAACAATTTTTCTTGAATGTATTTGATTTACAAAATGCATTTGATGGAATAAATTTTTAATTTTGAAAGATCATATTGATAATAAATAAATAAAATACATAGGTAGATAAATATATACAACTAATAATAATTAAAAATCATTCAGTATTGCTATGCAGCAATGCTTTCCACACTCCCAATATTATGTTAACATCCTTGAAATTAATTGTCTCTTCTTCAATGTAACTTATATAAAATATGCAGAACTTGGCACATTTAAAAGGTTACATTGAAGGAGCAGGCAATTAATGTAAAGGACACTAATTTAATACCAAGAGCATGTAAAGTATTGCTGCATAGTAGTACTGAATGACATTTGAAATATTATTATTTGTATATCTTTATTTACTTATGCATTATGTTTTATGTATTTATTTATTGAATTATTCATTTATTTATTTATTATTGATATAAGCTTTCAAAATCAAAAATTTTTTCTATCAAATGCATTTTGTAAATCAAATACATTCAAGAAAAATTATTAGGAATTTGTTTTTTTAGAATGTAATTTTTCCTTAAGAAGATTGTTTAAGATGATTGAAAACGTTTGAGTAAAGAAACCTTTACTGCATTACATGGTTTTAGAGTTGGTATTTGTACAAATGCAGTTCCTATAGTATTAAGTTCAGCTTTATAGTTTTTATTTAGATTTCAACAGTTTTATTTATCTATACTAATATTATAAAGAGGTAATGTTTGTAAGTTTATATGTAGGTAATCTCCGAAATTATTCATCCGATTTCAAAAATTCTTTTACCAATATTTAGAATGGAACTTCAGGGTGGACATAGGCTGTATATTATTCTGTTAAACATTCATATAAATTAAAAGATATCATCTAGGGTTAAGGCTTTTATGTCCAACAGATGGCGCTATGAGTACGACGACCTAAGTTTGCTTTTCTGTGAGGCATTATGCTTTTCTATGAGGATGAACTAAAGCAGATCATCTTCTATCTATCTGTATAAATAAAAATGTAATGTTTGTTTGTTCCTACCGATTCCTTTGAAATTTTGACACAATGCTGCATTTGAATAAGCATGTGTTTTTATATAATATACGTGTCAAAATTCCCCCCACGGGGGGGGGGAGATAGACAGGATTAAGGCTTACTGTAAAAAACTCTGCTTCTATTTATACTATTTTAGATGCAATTTTTTGCATTTTTGATTTTAATAGGGTGCGTTTTAATAGGTTTGATTTGCGTTTTAATAGGGTGCATCAAGAGAATGTTCACTAAGAAGGGATTTTTCGAAAAATTCCCCCCACGGGAATTTTTATACATTTATAATAGATACATTTTGAGCCACAACAATGCATGGCGGGATCTGCTAGTTTTTCATAAAGTTATTAATCAAAAATTATATACTTTAAAAAATATAGAATTATTGAACATTTATTATTTTACTGTTTTGTGATGATTTTTATTTATAATTATTTTCATATAGGAACAATATGAAGAAATTTTATCACAGTTTAAAAGATTTCAAAAACCATCAGATTTTGATTCTAAGTTAAGTAGAGTAATAAAAATGCTTGATGAAATAGAGCAAGGATTGCATATCATGGAAGTAACTTGTCATGAATCTGCTGCCATTCAAGATCAGTTGGAACAATGTATGGTAAGCAATATGTTTATTGTTTAATATTTTAGATAAATAATATATAATATTAGTATTTTAATACAACTTTAAATAGATATCATGAGAGACTATGTAATCTGTTAATTTGAACAGATGTTATGTAGTTATGATATTAAAGTTTTTTTTTTATATAGCACTTTTATAAACTACTTAGTGATATAAAAATGGAAGTAGAATTATCTATTCATCAAGGACGACAAATCGTAGAAAAGAATCAAACTGATAATCCAAAAGAATTGAATCAGAAGTTAGATCATTTGAAAAGTCATTATAATCAGCTTGGAGCAAAGGTATATTTATATTTATATATATATTAATTTTGAATATTATTATCATTAATTGTTTTATATAGAATTTTAATTGTATTAAAAAAAAAAGAGGGACAAATTGGTGTATTTATTTTATTTTAATGTGTAATATGTGAAATATTCTGTTATAATCTCTTAACGAAGGTATAACTTTTAAAGTCAATTTTTAATAATAAATATGACATGAATTACAAAATTTGTTTCTACCTTGTGCTCAATTTTAATATTCAACAGTTAAAAGTAAAAAATTTATTTAGTTTTATTCTTTTTAATTTATAGGTAACAGAAAATAAATCCAAATTAGAAACTGCTCTACAAACCAGTAAGAAGCTTGAAACAGAAATTACAGAATTAGAAGAGTTACTAGATTCAATAGAAAGTGAATTATTAAATGAGAAAAGAAAAAAAAATTGCCCAGTTGACAAAAATATTATAAAGGTAAAGAAAAAATATAATTGTGCTCATTATTATTTATTAACTTCTTAGTTGAAAATATTGCTCATGAAAAACAATAAAATAAAAATATTCAATTCAATTCAATTCAAGTTTATTAACATAATTTGGAAAAAAATTCCAGTTACAAGGGGTGCATTGAGTTACAAATATTAGTAAATATATAATATCTTCCGACAATAAATAATTATTATGTAAGTTTCTTCTACTCTTAAATTTAATCAATCTATTATAATATTAAACATAAATTAGAACACCAACAAAATTAAATATATATATCATTCATTAAGGCTCTCCACCATTTTAATATATTTAATAATGAACTGATAAATTCTGATAATCATAGTTGGACCCATCTGAAATATTTTTTGATAAAATTCTTGCATAGATTTAATGGCTGACAAGGTAGAAATACCAATCTGTTCTCTAAGTTTGGAACAACCTTTGCACAAACTAATTATATGATATACAGAAATTTGGTCATTACATAGCTTACACATAGACGAATCATGGCCGAGTGGCCGAGTGGTTTGTGATTGCGGGCGCTCTGGATTTTCTAGTGTTTTACAGTGGATTTTCTGTGTCATAGTGGATAATTTATATATCGTTGGATTTGTTAAAGTGTAAGGATTACAGTGATGTTTTTTTATTGAGCGTGGCTCAAATTTTTGGAGAGCAGTGAACGTTTGAACTCACGGATTATTGGGGTCTGGTCATCCGGAACTCGGTGGCCGATCCACTGGACGTGAAGGTTACAACTCTTCTAGAATAGACAGTGAGTACTAAATGAATTCTTATGGTCCTGAGACCAATATTTGGTGATTTGTTGGGAATTTTATGCTGGCCATACGCGGGCTTTGGAGGGCAGAAACGAGCTAATTTTGGTGCTAACTA